GGAAATACCCTGTCCCCTCTACAACAGGGGTATGATGGGTTATAGATTGTGTGATGACTCAAGGAAGGAGGGATTAACCCCCCTTTTTACTCATTCTACATTCTAGATAATGTTTACAAACATGTTTATTCTCCATGAAGTAACTCACGTAGACAGTTGACTACGTGAATCATGAACGTCTACTATCAAAACTTCAATTTTATGGAATTCGCCGTTTACGTAATAATTTGTTAAGATCCCATTTAACAATCTTGCAAGGCAATTTGCAAAATTTAACGGTCATAAATCAAGCAATTTAAATTTTGAAACCGGTGTCCTTCAGATTAATGCGCTTGGTAAACTACTATTCGTATTATACATTAATGTACCGTATGATCGAAAAAAAAGCGGCGTCGGACACGGCTAGGGAATAACAATCGATGATAATTTTACCGGGGTCAAGCCCTAGACGGCATTTACTTAGGCCGTACTCTTTATTTTTTTTGAACATTTATTGAACATTTATTTTTATATTGAGTAAAAATTATTTTCAAATGGTGTAGTTTTTGAGAATAGATTTGTGTTTCCGCAAACGTTCTATCCTTTTTTAATCTCTCTATAATTAGTGTTATTTTTTGACAAGTTTTACGTCAATTTTTAGTACCTAAATGACATCTAGGGATTGACCTCGCCAAAATTTTTTATTGACATTTCACAGCCGTCTTTGACGCCATTTTTTTTCGATCATACGGTACTTTAATCAACAAATTCCGAAAATATCAACTTAATGCCAATAGTCAACATGTGCCAATCACTGGCACGCAAAAGTGTCTACACGGTATCACTACCCTGCCAGTGCTGGCAAATCAGTTTTCAATAATTCCAATCATAATAAGTGGGCTAAATCCTACTCTATTAGAATTGTTTTAGGATCATTTTTTTAGTAGCAATTTATTTCTTCTATGCCGATTCCCTAGCAAGAAGTTATTTTTCTACCAAACCACTTTACTGATGTTTTGATTCATAAATACATCTTAAATACACACTGTAGCTAAATGAATGGCATTCCTTGTTACTTCTCTACTCTGGAAATGACGGCGAAATATTTGCGACGACCTTGAACCATAGTAGCGTGCATAGATCTAAGAAAATACCGTTTTTTTGACCTACGTAGTGTATGATGATTTGAATACGTCGATCGTGGTATTTTAATATTCGAAAACTAGATCTGTGGAGATCAGACCACGGTCAAGGCTGCCGGATATCGAAAATTCTATATTCAAACACCTTCATTGGTATCTGTGGGGATTCTCTCAAAATTTTGATGTTTGTATACAAATGCCTTTATTTTCAATTTCTATCGAATAAAGTAAAAATATACTGAGGGTGCCATTAAAAATCCAAAGTTGTGGTCATTTCCGGTGAAACAGGAAGTAACCAAAAACAATTGAATACGTCAATCAATCTTAATTTATGTCATATACTAACCTACCAAATCTCGTTTTTTTTTATCTGAAAAAATAAAAAAAACTTATAAGGGTGAGTAACTTTTGAGACGCACCCGGTACGGGGAATTTCGGTACTAGCAGATTTTGGTTGTTTTTCTAGTCGCGGTTCTGGGATGTCTCAAAAGAACCGGGAATTTCCTCTTTTAAAATAACCTAAAATGCATCTACAGGGTGACAATTTGAAATCGAACAGTATTTAATATTACCTCTACCGATGATAGTATGAAAATTTGGCGAGAAATACGTCAATTTACATATCAAGGGGGACAATTTTTGAGGCATTTGTTGTCGTGTTACTTTCAACCCTTTGACCCCCAGGGCACCTACCCCTAAAATTTTAAATGGCAACCCCTATTTCTTTTACCATTTTTCTGTTCCTTATAATAAAAAATAATGCAGTTTATGTAGAATTCTATAAGAAACACAAAAATGGTAAAAGAAATAGGGATTGCGATTTAAAATATTAGGGGTAGGTGTAGTGATGTTGGTAGCGAATATTTCCATTCGAATTTTGCAGGAAATTTCAGAAATTTCCGAAATATTCGGTCTCAAAATTGCGGTAAAGACATTGAGCAAACATTTAACGAAAGTATATCAAGAATGCCTATTCTTAAATCAGAAGAAAAAGAATGCTTCACCGCCTTACAAAATAGAAAACGTATGGCTCTTAAAATAATGCATTTTGCCGCGAATCTCTTGGCCCCCTCTGTTTCCTGGGAGAGCACCTTAACAATAAAGAACACATAGCCGCTATGGAATTTATTATAAAGTTAAGTAAGTTATTATAAGTAAGGTTTAAGTATAATAAACCTTAATCAAATTTACCTTTATTTTAATCGTAGAAACTAAAAATGTAATAATATACAGGGTGTTTCATTTAAAAAAATACAACTTTGATATTTTTTACTTATTTGGGACACTCTGTATCTTGTCAAATTATTTTTAAATTGTACCTCTAATAGTCCTTCATCGAACCCAAAACTTAAAATTTGTAAAAATATAATCGTTTAGCTACAATACTCCGTGTCGTATGTGGTGAACAACCCTGCATAAACAAAAACTGCTATGTAAGATGATCGGCCCTATACAGCTGTGCCTAAATGCGTTCTTTGTTAGTGAAGTTGTACATATTTTAAATAGTTAGAGTTCAGTTGCATAGATACCTTCCGAGTGCGTGTTTCTAGTAAAAGAATAAATAATTCTTTATTATAATCGACCGTGTATTATTAATCCCATAACACAACAGTGAAAACCGCGTGTTTTTCAAAAATGTGCATTTTTAACAAATCGCTATAACTGTTTTGCTATGGAAAATTTTGAATTTTTGTGAAAACATTTCCAAAGCACCTTTTTGCGTAGAATTTAAGTATATATATTTTTTAAATTAATAATTTAAGAGTTAGCAACAGAAAAAATGATTTTTTTTATTTGGGACACCCTGTGTATTTTTAATTAAGTGAAAAGAACTTAAAATGACCTGTCCAAAAATATAGCACACTTGATATTTTGTTATAGTCCCCTTCGAAATACAAAATTTTTAAAATTCGCCACTTTTAACTAGTAGGCTTTGGACCCCTTATTGATGATATGCCCTTAATGGAACTCGAAAACATATTTTTCCAGCAAGCCGACGCACCGCCTCAGAACGTTGAAGTAATCAGCAAATTTTTGCAGCCAATTTCGAGATTAATTGAATTCGTTTTAATTGCTGCTCACAGCTAGAATTTTTTTGGTTTACAGCCTTACTACTTAGTGGGCGAATTTTTAAAAAATAGTTAAAATCTACGTAAAAAGGTGCTTTGGAAATGTTTTCGCAAAAAAATAAAATTTTCCACAGCAAAAAAGTTACAGGGATTTGTTAACAATGCACATTTTTGAAAAACACCCCGTAACTCCGAAACGGTAACAGATATAGATGTACGGTTTTCACCATCATGTTTTTGATAAAAATTGAGCTCTAGACACCGATATTAGTTTTCGTCTATCTCCTATAGAAAAGGGTGTTTCCCTGTAAAAGCGTCAAATTTGACCCACCCTGTACCTATTTTTAAATTAAAAACTGAAGAGCTGAAGAACCTATGAATTTGTCAATATCAATTGATACAACATGACCGAAAAAACGCCGTCAGCGATAGCTATGAAATGAAGATTTTATATTATGTAAAATTATATGGGTATTGTCATTGATGTTTATTTCCGAGCCAACTGGAGGCCGTTTTTTTCGATCATACGGTATTTCCTAGGCTTTTGCTTAATTCAACCAAGTAGATACTATGACACAAAAGCACTGAGCTTTCAAAAATTTAAAAATATTAGAAACTCTAAATTCAATAATTATTTCTCTGAAAGATAAACCCGAGGATACACCCATGAATCAAAATTAAACTTTATAAAAATAGGAAAACAATAACTGCCTTGACTCCTTTTATTTTAGATCATAGATATACCGTATGATCGAAAAAAAAAAACGGCGTCAGCGATGGCTATATTTTTATATTGAGTAAAAATGATTTTTAAATGGTGTACCTAATTTAAAAATTGAGAAAAATAATTTTTTGGAATTACGTTCTATTCTTTTTTAATCTTTCTATAATTAGTGTATTAGTGTTAAGGTAGAGATTGACCTCGCCAAAATTATCATCTATTGTCATTTCCCGGCCGTCTTAGACGCTGTTTTTTTTCGATCATACGATACAATACAATCCAAGCCACCTGGCCACCCTTTTATTCGATCATACTGTGTATTTGTGTCAACAAAATTTAATAAATCATCGTATGAAAATCAAGATTTCTAGGTATCCCTATCAAGTCAAGTCTGCAATGAATACTATCTCCTGTTGCTCACTCAATTATTAATTCATTTAATCATCGAGTAGATTACTTGAAATGACAATTTTTTAAAAATTAACTCTGATTTTAACGTCAATATTAAATTGTTATACATTTACATTATTTTATCCTGTTTAAATGTAAACAAAAAAAAACAAATTAAAGCGCCTCGTTATCGCCTCCTTCAATTTTTACAGCACATTCGATTGGCCAATAAAATCCGCCCGATAATGGATAAACAAACAAGCTACTAAATAGGTACAAGAAACAGATTATTTGCGATATTGAAAGGAACACGCTAGAAGTCGAACTTATCTCAAAAACCCACTCCAATACACTCGACTTAGGTATTCTATTTCTAAAACAACACGCCTAGAAAGTGTTTTGTTTTTTCGATTGATTTCCGAATTTTCTCAGCCAAATTACGGGAACCAGGGACTAGGTAGTTGCAAATAAAACTCCCGGCGCCCGAGAAAAATCGATACCTTAGAAAAACAGACGGATTTGCCGCTTTCGCAATCGTTTTCGGGGGCCCCACTTTCAGATAACGCTCCGCCGATGTCTGGCAAACGGTTTTTTATTCAATTTTTGACAGATGACGCTACTACTACGGGGACGACGGCACACAAAACCAAACTGGTTTCTATTTAAAGGCTTTAAATGGGTGCGTAAATGTCGATGTACCTTTGAGGAAGGGCAGGGGCTGCAACTCCACGTCCTGCGAGTTCCTGTACCGGGAGCTGCCCTGCGACTTTTTCGTCTTTTTCTTCAGCGACCGCTTGGCGAAGGGATCGATCCTGTCTACGAACGGCGTGGTAGACATGCTGCTGTGCTGTTCGGGAGGCTGTATGGTGGCAGGCGGAGAGACGACGTTTAATGGACGAATTACGCGGGGGTCGCAAACGGCATTGCACCACCGACAGACAGGTCAACATCAAACGAACCCCGACAACAGCATTTGAGGGCTCTCGCGGCGGCAGAGGCGTGTTCTCTAGGCCGATTTGCCTCGAGTTCCACTTTTCTCGCACTTGCCGACGGCTACGCGGAAAAGGTCCCCCGTTTCGGCGCCTGGAATCCGCGAAAAGACGGCGAATCACACCTTCTTCACACTGTCGGGATCACTGGGTCGTTTGGCAAGTCCACCCGCCATCAGCTGGTTAATTCTGCACAAAAAGCACTGTTCCCGTCGACCGCTGCACTTTACGCGCGACACTACACATTTTCCGCACTTTAAACCTGCCGATGCACGTCTTTTTCAACGATAAAAAACGAAAATTACAACCGAAAAACTTACTTTTTTACTGATAATTTTTGCACACCGAGTGACACCGAAGCTAGAAAGTGCCTAGGGCTGAACATAGATGGGGGGTACGAGCCTAGTCAGTTCACCATCTTTAAACCACTCGAATTTAATCAAAGCACACAGACTTTAATAAAAACATATACTGTAAATTAATAATATATTTTTCTTAACTAAAAATAATCCTATTTTTTTTAAAAAACTTTTTTTCTCAAGATATCAATTTCTGGTCTATAATCATAACAACCAATCATATTTGAGGCATCAAACCATCCGACCAATCGGATTGATTTTCATGCCGAACGACGAAATGTCTTTTCGGAAAAAAATGTTAACGATTGTCAATATATGACACTAATGACAGTTACTGCTCTAACCTATTTTTCAAATAAATTCATTCAAAATACAAAACTTCCATGTTTTGGAATGAACAAAATATGTCTTGCCCAGGATGGTACTGTGGAAAAATTCAATTAGACGATGATAAATTCAGTGAGTGCGGGTCATGTCCCAGAGGCTACAGAAGAAACGACCTGACATTCATTTGCGAGCCTTGTACAGATAGTCCTCAACTTTATGACTGGTTGTATTTAGGGTTTATGGTACTGATTGTATTAATACTTCATTGGTTTTTTATCGACATGATTGCTATGCGAAGAAGGTAAAATCATTAAGGAAATTAAATCTGAAGTGTTAACAAATTATTCCAGTTTCAGCGTCTATGTTTTAAGCTTGCATTTCACAGCTCTAATTGAAGTTCTTCTATCCTGTATTTTAGCATTGTTACTTACAGACCCTATAGGGAGCTTTCAGATTTACAGTTGCCCAACAAAATCATTATCTGATTGGTATACATTGTTTCATAATCCTACTCCAAATTATGATGAAAAAGTGTATTGTACACAAGAAGCTGTATATCCTCTGTGAGTATAATTATACTTTTTTGTAATAGTACGTTTAGTAAGTGCTTTCTTTTAGGTATACTATAGTGTTTCTTTTTTATATATTGTCCTTGGCGTTCATGTTGTTAATAAGACCATGGGTTTGCAAAAAGTTTTTTTCAAAAAGAGGAAAAATGTCTATATACGCTGCTATGTATTTTATACCCATTTTAGCTTTAACTCACGCAGTTATAGGAGGCTTAATTTGTACGTTAAACATATTTATCTTATTAAAATTTAATACATTTATTGTTTTAGATTACGCTTTTCCATATTTGATCGTGATTATATCAGTGATATCATCTGCCGCACATTTTGCAGTTAAAATAGAACAAAGTGTTACAGCATTGATCAGAACTACTGTGACTCAACCGAGAAACATCGTTATTCTCCTAGGACATTGGTGTCTCCATGCTTACGGAATAATTTCGATAACTCAGTTGAATCAACCATTACTCCATAGTCTTCTTATGTTACTTGTGCCCCTTCCAGCATTGTTTTATGTATTCACTTCCAGGTAAAGTACAGAGTTATGTTATTTTAGATTATTTTTACTGAAAATTGTGTACATAGATTTACAGACCCTGCAAAATTCTACTTATAGCAGAAAGTTAACACTATAACCACTACGAGTGTAAGGGATGAATCTGGAAACTACGTTTTAACTTATACTTTTGGTAATAATAATAACAATAATAACAATAGAGCTGGCGCCACTAGACGGACAGCTCACTGAAGGTATCTTCTAAGAAGTTATTGTATAAGAATTTTATTTATTTTTTATAATGAAACAATATTGTACATATAGTAATTGTTTTAATGTAATAAATTAAGGTTAAAAAACGTTTTAATATAAATTCAGTTTAGTCGTTATGAGAACTCTCAAAGTTTGATCGTAGGCGGAGCATACAGATAGCCCTAACTTATCGACACACCAATCAAAAGCTGTTATTGGCTGGTTAGATAGAACAGCGTTTTGTAGTTGTTGCAATTCTCCAATTACTCCGTAAGGTATCCCATCTGAGTCTTCTTCAACCCTTTTTGCAGGGTAATTACTAAAAAGACATTAAGATATTACACAGGGTCCTGCAAAAGTAAGTCTGGAATCTGAAGCTCCTATAATAAAAAACTTAGGAATTTTGTTCCTAAAATGTATTTTGAAAAATACAATTTTTTCATTAATTTATTTGTATCTCTGAAGTTATTAAATCAAATTGAATACATTCTTAGGACCTTAGGACTATGTAAAGTAATAATTACGTATGAAGCAAAGAAAATCAATCCAATTGACTCATACTTTTTTGAGCAACCCTGTATAAGTTAAAGGATTTTCCTGAAATAGGTCCTAATACATACTTTAAGTATGCACTTACACAAAATTCCTAGGTTCTTGTTTATAGGACCTACAGATGCCCGAGGCACTGCTGCAGAACTCTGTATCTGGGCCACCCTGTATAAATGAAATACGTACTACTTCCATAAACAAAGGCTGCCAGAGCCGCCTGTCGTCATGAAAATCTCCCTGTTTTGAGGCAGATGTTTCACTTGCCAAATGGTAGAATCGTGAGCTTTTTCAGTTAAATGAGCAAAACCCTTCTTGGGATGTTCAGTACGTACATCGAAACAGAAAATTTTTGATTCCAGCGTCGTCACTAAGAGTTTATTCATCGGGATATCTTTGCGGTCGAATTGTAAATTCACCACCTGAAAGATTTTTATAAACATTATTCTCAGTCTGTCCATTGAGAGAATATACTGGCCCTGGTCGCTTTATTTGCATGGTCTATATTTAAATGAATACGACAGAGAGATAAAAACTATAAATTACCCCATTTTTTAGGCATTTCGACCATCTGACGCTCATAGTTTTCAGATCGAACATCTTTACATCGCCGTTATCATAACCAGCTACTACAATTCTTTCCTCGTTGTTGTAAGAATTGCCGAAGACCACACACCAACAATCCCTACCAGCTTGCCCTTCGAGAGGGGTGAATTTGGCCACAGGCACATCTTTCTGACGCACATCCCAAACCATTACGCATCCTAAAGAAACGATAACAATATTTTCTTTTTAAAAAATTAGTTATTTTGAAAGAATATTTGTATACCATCTCGAGATCCTGTTACTATTTCTGGCGCTCCGCAATTGGCACTTTGTCCTGCAACACCATCTATAGAGTTTATTACGGCTGTATGAACAGAAGTCTGGTATACTGGCAACAAAGTATCCTCCAGGTCCCTTTTTATCTCAAAAAATTATAAATCATTTGAAAAACAAACCTTATCTGTACTCACCACACTTGTAATCTACCAGAAAAATCGCCCGTAGCTAAATGTCTGTTTCTCAAACTGGAAGCATCGAAAGTACAACATTTAAAATAATCTTTGCGGAAGAATTCGTCCAATTTTTGAACACCGTCGCTTGATATTGAGTAAATTTCGGCGATGCCTGCTCCGTTAGATTTCCCTCCTACGGCAACGAATTTAGCAGAACACGGTATCCATTTTACGTCGTGAATTGCATAATCTAAAGTTTTTTCGTTGTGACAAATTATTTGCGGTTTTGCGAAAGTCTCCATGGTTTAAAAAGTTTAAAATCCAGACAATTTTTGAAAAGTTTATATAGCAGAGAGCTAATTTATCGATCAAACGGAAACATGCAGCGACATCTGTACGTCTTCATCTGAATGAAGGAAAATACGTTTTACAATATCGATATACTATTTTTTGAAATCATACAATTTATTTATAAAAATGATCTTTTAACTATTTTAAAACTAATTATGGCTAATTTGCTTGCATGTGACTGTGTTTATAATATAAAAATACACCTTTTTAACTTAAAATATTTTTTTTTTAATAAAATTTAACTAGACTGTCCTTGACCCAGGCAATATTTAATTAACCTTAATTTGATAACAAATGTTAAGAAAGTTCTGTGATTTTAATTTTAGTTAAATAACCGTGAATTACAATAAAAACGAACAAAATGATAGTTGAGATTATAGGCAGACGATAATTTGTATTACGTAAAAGCTTAAGATGTTGTTTATTTAGTATGTTAGTGAAAGTAAAAATACTATTTTTCGCGCAAGCTAAAGAATTGGCCGGTAAAAATTCTGATATTTTTGGTGTTTCTGATAAAACTAACTGTCTGGATTTATTAAACGAATTAGTAGAAAAGTACGGGTTACAGAAAATTAGGAACAACATTCTGTTATCAGTTAATGAAGAACTTTATCAAATCGAAGATATATTAAACTTAAAAGAAGGAGACGAGATAGCTGTTATACCGCCTTTGAGTGGAGGATAATACAACAATGGCTAATTTTATAAAACTTTCTCCGGATAAACTCAACGTCCAGGAAATCATGGACTCAGTCACAGCAGCTTCTTGTGGAGCGATCTCTGTGTTTGTTGGTACGACAAGAGATAATTTCGAAGGTAAACCTGTGATAACTTTAAACTATGAATCTTATGAGCCTATGGCTATAAAGGCAATGGAAAAAATTTGTACAGAAATAAGATCACAATGGTGTGAAGTGGAAAACGTTGCTATATACCATAGGCTTGGAGAAGTCCCAGTTAAAGAAGCAAGTGTTGTTATTGCAATATCTTCGCCACACAGAGAAGAAGCTATAAAAGCTACTGAATTTTGTATAAATAGTTTGAAAAAATCAGTCCCTATTTGGAAGAAAGAAGTGTATTCTGATAAAGAGTCAACATGGAAAGAGAATAAAGAATGTACGTGGTCCACTAATTATATTGAATCTTAGGAGAAACGTGATCTTTATAGAAGCTTTATATATAGTAGAATTTTTTCTTGTTATAATTGCTATATTTTATGACTCTTTACATCACTGTTATCTTTACTGTTCAAAAGAATGATTAAAATTTGTTTATTTAGTAATAAATTGTTTTATTTTAGCCAACAAGGATATATATCCTCCTAAAAGAAAAAAATACAATTTTGACATAGTTCAAGAAGTACAAGTAAACTATGTCCCACCCCATTTAATTCAAATCAAAGCTTCAAATCAAGATCTTAATACTAGAATACAGAAATTTATGGATAGGAAAAGAGAAGACATCAACCTACATAACATTACAGAGTTCTTTCACAAGTAGGAAAAATTGTTTTTTTTTTAAGTAAATTAAATGTAATTATTAATTTTTTAGAGATAGAGATCCTGAACATACTTGTGCTCGCGTAGATGCAGTTGTGTATAAAAGAAAAGACTCTAAAAGTCATTTACAAGGTAATATAAAACTATAAACTACAAATTTTAAAATAATAATTGGAAAATTATTGTAGTCGAAAGAGTTTTAAACAGTTATCAGCATAGAGATCAGAACAATTCAGATTATCTTAAAAAATTCATTCCTATTAATGGAATAGAAGAAAGATTACAAAATCTAGAATCTCAATTAAGTCTAGACAAGGCTACACCAAAAAACGTCTACAAAAGGCTGAAAGACTTAGAAGACAGATTAGTATTACTGGAAAGTATTTCCCCAGAATACATTCAATTCTGGGTAAGATATTAAAAGAACGGTGAAGGTAGAAAAGAGTTAAATTACTTTTATTTCAGGATAAGACAAATTTGCCGCACAAATCTATAAAGAAAAAAGTTTTTTCTTTAAAAGAAATCGACGAACTTATAACAGAAGCTGAAAAGAAAAATACAAAAGTATCATAATTGACTCATAAGTATTTTAATATTTATTTTATGTTATAAGTACTATGTAAATTATGATTATGTATTATTAGTTTAAAAATATAAAAATACACTTTGTAACGCATTATAAAAGCCTAAAAATAAGAACAATTTCAAATTAAAGATTAATTAATAATTATTTTCAGAGTTCTTTTCTTCTAATTTCAAAATTTGAATTTGAAATATTTCTAGATCATATCTTTCTTCACCTTTTAGACACTGTGGCCAAGTGTTTCAAGTCAACTAACAAAAATCATATTATTAACATATTTTTTAAAATTATATATATGCTACAAATTATATTCATATACAATATTTATATGACATATGCTCGTATAGTTTTCTGTTTTATCGGCAACGTCAAAAATCTGACGTACTGACGTGGAGCTGGAGATGTGGAGGATTTAAAAGGGGCTGTTTTTAGTTTTAAAAAGAAACATCTTTTTTACTTAAAGAAGGTGTTAAAAGTGCCACAAAAAGGTGAAATCACTACACTACATTTTATTTAAAATATTTTTAATTACGATATCATACGAAGTTTGAAGTAAACAAAATTGAAAAAATCGTATATCTTTCTAAGTTATACACATTTATTAGTGGAGAAAATGTATATTACCGTCCCGATTTTGTTTTTAGATGGCTACTTACGAAGAATACATACAACAAAACGAAGACCGCGACGGTATACGCCTTACTTGGAATGTATGGCCTTCCAGTAGAATTGAAGCTACACGCTTGGTAGTTCCACTGGCCTGTTTGTACCAGCCTATCAAAGAACGTCCAGACTTACCACCGATTCAGTACGATCCAGTTTTATGCACCAGGAACAACTGCAGAGCCATATTGAACCCTTTGTGCCAAGTAGATTACAGAGCAAAGTTGTGGGTGTGCAATTTTTGTTTCCAAAGAAACCCGGTCAGTTTTTTAGCGTATTTCTTAATATTTATTTAATTTACGTGCATTGTTTATACAGTTTCCTCCTCAATATGCTGCTATATCAGAACAGCACCAGCCAGCTGAGCTTATGCCAATGTTTTCAACTATCGAATATACCATTACAAGAGCACAAACATTGCCACCTATTTATCTTTATGTTGTCGATACATGCATGGATGAGGAGGAATTAACAGCTTTAAAAGACTCACTCCAAATGTCTTTGAGTTTGTTACCACCCAATGCCCTGATTGGTTTAATTACTTTTGGAAAGATGGTACAAGTACATGAGCTAGGTAAGTTTAGAGACAATTATTGGTTCTTATTTTAATTTTTGATATATTATTTAAGGCTCGGAGGGTTTAAGTAAGTCATATGTGTTTAGAGGCACAAAAGACCTTAATGCCAAACAAGTTCAGGATATGTTAGGTATAGGTAAAGTGCCTGTTAATCCTCAGGGTATGCAAAACCCTAATATGAGACCTGGGCAACCAGGACAGCCTGTGCAACCCATTCCACCAGCTAGTAGATTTATTCAACCAGTAAGTGATTAATTTGGACTTTTGTTGTAAGTTTATTTTTTCTTGTAGTTTTTAGAGTTATACAGGGAGATATTCCGCGGACATAGAATAACTACATATTTTTTTTAATCAAAATCTGTTAATTGTTTTTTTTTCTGATGCGACCTCTTAATATTATTATTAAGAGCTCAAACTTTTTTGCCAGTATTTTTTTCTTTTTTATTTATTTTTTATAAAAAGTAGATTTTTCTAAAACAGTCTTAACTGAACATGCTACAATACACCTTTTACTACATTAGATGTATTTGTTTCCATTGAATTAGGTAGCAAACTGTGAAATGAACCTCACAGACCTCATAGGGGAGCTCCAGAGGGACCCGTGGCCTGTGCCCCAAGGCAAACGTTCCTTAAGATCGACTGGAACAGCCTTGTCAATTGCCATAGGTCTTCTGGAAAGCAGTTACCCAAACACCGGTGCTAGAGTCATGTTGTTTGTTGGCGGACCATGTTCTCAAGGCCCTGGTCAAGTGTTGAATGACGACTTAAAGTTACCAATTAGGTAATTGTCACTTACTTATATACCGGGTGAACCAGTGTTCTGAAAAGTTCTATATCAGGTTTTTTATTTGTGATTTTTACTGCTCCAATATCGTGGTTGCTGACTAAGATATTATTTTTTATATAAATGATGCATATCCTAAAAATATTGTTTTATACAGGGTGCCCAAATAAATGTAATGATAAGGTTTTAATTTTTTTTTGTTTATTATTTGACAATTATCCTAATGTCAGTCATTATTTTGTATAATATCATGTGGTTGTTGAATTTTTGTGAACAATTCGCGTTTTTTTTGGGCCTATTTTCGTAGTCTTTTTTTAAAAATTGTATTTTTAAGCACAAACAGTTGTTTTAAGATCTAAATTTTCGAGTTTTTGTACTGAATTTCTTGAAATGATGGGTGTTGAAAATATGCCTAAGCATTTAAACGGTCGAAGCAAAGAGTTTGTAGGTTCCCTGATAAACTATTTTGAACGAGAACATGACAATAAAGGTCCTTTACTACCCTTGACTGCAGTCAGAGAAGTAAGTTTAATTGATAAGCACATTACACCAATAAATAAATAACCCATAATAACGCTTTATTCATAATATACTAGTTTTTGCCAATATATAATAAGTAAAATAAAACAAAAATATAATATAATAAATATAATAAAAATATTAGTTATTAAATTAAAAATAAATCGTAAAAATCTTTAAAAAATGATGTGTTGCGATTACCATATGTTGTTTTGCGATTGCCGTATGTATTTCTATGAGAATATTTTTAAAATGTGGTATTACTGTGGTATAAAATGTGGTACATACATTTACATTAAAAATTAGAGCGAAAATTTTATATATGAAATCTGATATAAAGTTTTTTGGTTGAACCGAACACTCGAACACCCTGTAGTGAAAAACACATTCACCAGTGAAGATGATTTTTTTATAGGTCTCACCACGATATACAAAAGGATAACGCAAAATACATGAAAAAGGCCATAAAGCATTACGAAGCTCTGGCTATGAGAGCTGCAACCAATGGTCACTGTGTAGACATTTATTCATGCGCATTAGATCAAACAGGTCTTATGGAAATGAAGCAGTGTTGCAATTCGACTGGTGGACACATGGTGATGGGAGATTCCTTCAACTCTTCCTTGTTCAAGCAAACATTTCAAAGGGTCTTTGTTAAAGACCAGAAAAATGATCTTAAAATGGCTTTCAATGGTACCTTGGAAGTGAAGTGTTCCAGGGAACTAAAAAGTAAGTTAATATACCTGTTTATATTTTTATTTCTTGCTGAATTAATATATACTTATATCGTTTTGGTTACGCTCTGCTTTTTATAGGTAACAAACATGAAATACAATAGAGATTTTGAGATAAACGAAAATAGATACTCATTATCAAGAATAATATATCTCATCAAGAACATAGCATACCAAAAATAATTTTATATTAATAATCTACAGGGTGGTTCGAACTGTATTCCGGAAACTTCGGCAGCATATTCTGCAGATAAAAATAAGTAAAAAAGTTCGTATAAATGTATGTCCTAAAATGCTTAGTTTCGAATATACAGGGTGTAGAAGTTTCATTCCAACCAAACCTTCATTCCTAACCAAACCAAACCAAAACAAATAGGAGTCATATTGACATCAAAATCAAATTTTTCATGTCAGAAAACTCCCACACACTAAATTTCATCTAAATATTGACATTACTACAGAAATTATTTGGAAAAAATCTCGAAATAAAAATGAAACTTCTACACCCTGTATCTCCGAAACTAAGCATTTTAGGAAATACATTTATACGAACTTTTTTACTTATTTTTATCTGCAGAATATGCTGCCGAAGTTTCCGGAACTGAAACAAATAATTTCTGTTCTTGATGAGATATACATCTTTATATATCTCAATAATTAATTAGCAAACCCTAATTTATTTGTTCTTGTTATATCTTTTGACAGTACAAGGTGGTATTGGCGCTTGCGTATCGCTGAACGTCAAGAGCCCCCTGGTGGCGGACACCGAAATAGGAATGGGCAACACCGTCCAGTGGAAAATGTGTAGCTTCACTCCCAGCACTACAGTAGCCCTGTTTTTCGAGGTTGTCAATCAGCATTCGGCGCCCATACCTCAAGGCGGGCGGGGCTGTGTACAGTTCATAACACAATATCAGGTTAGGTTATACAGGGTGTCCGGAAATTAATGCAACAAAATTTGGTCATAGATTCTTGAAAAAAAAAATAGGTGACGCTAAAAAGAGTTAAACTATTGGACGAAAATCACTAAATTTAGTACACGTTGTTTTACCATAAAATGAAACTATTTTTTTAAATATTTCCTTTTTTTAAAGCATTCTAGTGGTCAAAAGCGAATCAGGGTGACGACGATAGCTAGAAACTGGGCAGATGCAACTGCTAACATCCACCACATTAGTGCGGGTTTCGACCAGGAGTGCGCTGCGGTCATAATGGCACGTATGGCTGTTTACAGAGCTGAAACAGACGAAAGTCCCGACGTTCTGAGATGGGTGGATAGAATGTTGATCCGGTTGGTAAGTAGTATTGTTTCTGGAACCGGAGCTGATTTTTTGGAACCGGGAATTTCGAAACTACATCTCTAAGGAAACGACATTTCCCGGTACTTTCAGTATTAGCCTTGTATATGAATTTTTAAAGTAGCTCAACCTACGGCGTTTATGGATGTAAAGCACCAGATGGCGGGGCGTATTTCACTAGTCTTTTGCTACAGAAAATTATTTTTTGTTACTCTGAATTTTGAAGCAACCAATAAAAACAGAGAAAATAAAAATTGATAATTTTCGGACTGTGCCTATTGGTTACTAATCGACCAGATACTTTTTGTCTATTAGATATGCTATAAAAGCTTGTAATTATACAATCGACCATTATAAATACCCGACAAATTCCGCAAGGCCGAGGCTGATGTTTTTCACTGATAAGAAAAAAAAATGTTTGTTTAGATAATTTTCGAGATATTTTTTTCTTTCTGAATGCATATTTTTAAAGTATTTTATATTCTTTGTCCGCTTGATCTATTATACTGGTCGCACGTATCGAAGTTCTGTTTCTTCTAGTTTTAAAAAATGTTCTTATTTCTTTGTAGTTGTAGTGGTTGTAGTGTAAAATTAGATTGTTTTATTAAGTTTAATTATAATGTTTAGTGTAGAATACCAGAAATACTTTAGTAGTAGTGTTTTTATAGTTTATTTTGTAGTTAAGTAGTAGGTGAAGGGATAATTTGGTTAAAAAATGATATAATAAATATGTTGTTTGTCAATTTTAAATTAAAATTCATCTCATAAATCCATCACAATCTGGCAGCGCTGTCGCCATCGCTTGTCGCTCGAAGTTGATCACGTGCATCGGATATTGTTTTGCGATTACCATATCTGTGTACTCCGAGGGGTGTCTCACTATTGGAATTACATGTACATTTTCTTGGCAGTCGCTGGCAGTCATTGGCAGTTTTATGGCAGTCGCCTATAATAATTACATGGCAGTCATAGGCAGTCTTCTTCGTAGTCATTGGCAGTCGCTTGGAATTGGAAGATTATTTTGGCAGTACGTGTACATTTTTTACCCGAGTGAGACACCCCTCGGTGTACTCATAAACGAGAATCCCTGTGAAACAGACCAAAATGGGACATCCTGTACAAACTAACATATTATTTTTCGAATTTCAGTGCCAGAAATTTGGGGAATACAACAAAGACGACCCGACTTCCTTCCGCTTAGGTGAAAACTTCAGTTTGTACCCCCAGTTCATGTATCACCTTCGTCGATCGCAGTTTCTGCAAGTTTTCAACAACTCGCCGGACGAAACGTCGTTCTACAGGCACATGCTGATGAGAGAAGATTTGACGCAATCCTTGATAATGATACAGCCGATTTTGTACAGCTACAGCTTCAACGGACCTCCCGAACCCGTGTTGTTGGACACTAGTTCAATACAGCCGGATAGAATTCTGCTTATGGATACGTTTTTCCAAATTCTGATCTTCCATGGAGAGGTAAGAGTGTTTTTTTTAGTTTTAATTTTTTCAAATAATATTTTAAGAATTGTTGACAAAATGGTGAATGCGCCAAAAAATTAACTCTTCATCTAATTTTTTACCCACCCGCCGCCACTTGTACCAAATTATTGGTAAAAAAATGCTTTTTCCAAATATGCTAATGAGCCACCCTCGTTCCATTTGAAAAAATTGCGATATGATTAAAAATACGATTTGGACATCTTTTAACCGACCAGGACAAGACACTAAAAACATTAGACAATCAAATCTATTTTTCCAATGTTCAATTTTACCACAATTCTTTTCTTTTCTTCGCAGACTATAGCATCGTGGCGTAACCTGAAATACCAGGACATGCCCGAATACGAGAACTTCCGCCAGTTGCTCCAGGCTCCAGTAGATGACGCGCAGGAGATCCTGCAAACGCGTTTTCCGATGCCTCGGTATATTGACACCGAACAGGGGGGATCCCAGTCTAGGTTCCTGCTTTCCAAAGTTAACCCAAGCCAGACTCACAATAATATGTACTCGTATGGAGGGGTAAGTTGATTTCGTCTGATTGTTTGTTTTTATAATTGAGCGTCCGGATTGCACAATGACCTTAGCGCGTGGCCGCGGGCAGCTCAGTAGGTAAGCGAGACAGCATTTCGTTAATAATTATCGTATTGTGTTGATTTTTTCATAGAAATACTCATGAGTCTTTAGCGCGACAAGCCTAAATAACGGGATTATTTTTTATATTTTCGATTTGTTTACATTGCCCGAGCATATTATAACTTTGAGATCAAAATCACTGTTATAAATTTTAAAACTGACAGATATGAATACTATCATTTAATTAGTTATACATTTAGTTACAACATATTCAAAATTCAGGTCTATCGGTTTATGCTAGCAGTAATAACGAGTATAAATAAAGAAATGGTCAGTTCAACGCTCGCCGTTTTTAGCCCACGTTCAGTTTTGGTTTTAGTTTTAGCGCTATTTTTACAGAAAATAAATTCTGAACTTTGATCAAATGACAAGAACATTATCATTTCCGATATCTCCTATTTATAATGTAGTTCTTTTTTCAAAATATTGCATTGTTTTAGCTTAAAAAAAACTTGAATTATGCGGCTTTTTTTGCGAGAGCTACCGGCGCTGCGTTAATAAAGAGATGGTTATGGTACGTCAATCGAAAGACAGTATTTGCGATAGTCGTCTATTGTTTACACGGAGTATAGAACATTTTTGCCACAGCTTGTTTACTACCAGTAGTATTTGTGCGTTTTTTAAATTATTTATTATTAAATAGAGGGAAATACGACCGAAAAGAAAGGTCAAAAGTTAGTAGAAATCCGGATAAATGGAAGTGCAATATTTCCAAAAAAATCTCGTGACGAGGTAAAATTACAGTCCATTGTGGCTATGATTGACGTACATAGCCATCTCTTTATTAACGCAGCTCCGGTAGCTCTCGCAAAAAAAAGCCGCATAATTCAAGTTTTTTTAAGCTAAAACAATGCAATATTTTTAAAAAAGAACTACATTATAACCAGGAGATATGGGCAATGATAATGTTCTTGTGATTTGATCAAAGTTCAGAATTTATTTTCTGTAAAAATAGCGCTAAAACTAAACCCAAAGCTGAACGTGCGCTAAAAACGGCGAGCGTTGTACTGCCCATTTTTTTTATTTATACTCGTTATTACTGCTAGCATAAACCAATAGACCTAAATTTTGAATATTTTGTAACTAAATGTATAACTAATTAAATGATAGTATTCATATTTGTCAGTTTTAAAATAAAATAAACAGAGATTTTTATCTCAAAGTTACAATATGCTCGGGCAACGTAAATAAATCGAAAATATAAAAGATAATCCAGTTATTTAGGCTTGTTGGAAGCGCTAAAGACTCATGAGTATTTCGATGCAAAAATCACCACGATACGATAATTATTAACGAAATGACGGCATGTTTTAAATTATTTATTTTGTTAAATCGGCGCGCAGCAAAGCGTCGATGTCTCGGTTGCCTACTGGACTGCCCGCGGCCACGCGCTAAGGTCGTTGTGCAATCCGGACGCTCAATTGTTTCTAGAGTCACAACTAAAACGGTTAAAAGTTTAAAATCAAAATAATCAAAAGAGATATTAACAAATTTTGAACTCTCCCTTTGAATAAGAAGACTAAGGAAGGAGCATATCAAAAATCTTAGGTACACCGCGATGGGCCTCAAATATGGCCGACTTAAATTCCGGTTTATCAGTGTCGTTCTAATTTTATTTAAAAAATGTAAAACTATGATGTAGGGTAGACGTGAGGTAGACTCAATAATTTGTTGTTTTATTTTACGTTGTGAATAAATGTTGGTAGTTATTAAAATTGTTATAAAAATATATAATTCTAATAAAAATAGATAAGTTATAATCAAGAACGGTAAACTAATAGGATTGCTCATCCTCATAAGACCTCTTCCCGCGCTTCAGCTGACAGTTGTGACGTCATTGTAGCCCTTGTCAAAGCCTTCGTGACCTTGTCATGATAGTGTGTATTATTAGTTGCCTATGGGTAACTTATAAAAATAACAGCTGAGAAATTTTGAGTTAATTATTTTGTCAATTTTAAATGTGAAAAAGGTGTCTTTAAAGTTTTTAGAGCTATAGAGTGTATAAATACGTTCATTTTGTGTTGTGGATTGTGACAAAGTGCATACTAAGTGCCCACGATTCTGTTTATTAACTGTGTTTATTAATTATTTTAAAGCAAAATATGGAAGTACTCTAAAAAGAATGCTTGCAAAAGGTGATGCTGGGACCTGCTGTTCTTAAAAATGCATTATCCGAGTATTTAATACGATTTATACAGTTAATTTTCTTTACTGCATACATATAAGGTGTTTAAATAAATAAACTAAATAATGAACGTTTTGCATTCGGTAACCAATAATGCACGTGTGTATTATTGGTTGCCGGATAAGGACTTAATAACTATGACAAGGGCTACAATGACGTCACAAAGCGAGTAGTTTTCGCATGCACCTGGCGGACACTTTTGGCTGAATGAGCAGTCCTATTAGATTAACTGTTCTTGAGTTATAATAAGTATTTATTAACACAAACATCCGATACGCTACTGAAGCAGGTAAGTCAAATTAACGTATCTAAATTCTTTGACATCTAATCTTTGACAAGTAATAAATAAAAGCTAAAATGCAAGAAAAATATATAATTTAGTTAATTTAAGTGAATTTCATAAATGATCGGTTTACTACTTTTTTTCACACATTTTTGCCGAGATCTACCGCACGCTATACAACCAACTATTTTAGAGTCTTTTTCGATAAATCGCGATAGTGTCACTGTTAATTTAAGTTCTGCCACAATTTCCATCTAGATTTACTACCTTTATACAACTATCAGTAGTAGAATAAATAATAAATAACATAAAATAAGCTCCGTAAAGACTGACAAATCCACAAAATTTCAAATCAAATTCAAATGTGTCAAATGAATCGTCAAACAGAACTGTCAAGGATCACACCCTAGAGTGCTTTTATGGTGCTTTTTCCGCCCACCATGCATGAATACATGGATACAAATACGTTAAAATAAAAACAATAATTTAAATTAATAGTAAATTTAAACGTATTTGCATGGATAGCATTATGCTCCTTCCTTAGTCTTCTTATTCAAAGAACTCTCCAAATATTGGTTCCCCTATTGATTTTATAGCAAAGTCGTAAATAAGTTTTTTAAAGGTCTACGTTTAGTAAACATAAGAGGGCATCAAAACAAGTCATTTGAGTGTAGGAACCCATGTCCAGAAATGTGGCGTTTTGGCAGGAGATGGAGTGAAACGTAAATTTCCAGTTGCATTATTTATTCAAAACATTTACAAAAACTGCTCAAAGTTGTTGTTGAAGACACACTTTCACTCAAACGACTTGTTTTGATGCCCTCTACAACCCTTTTCAGTTTGTCGCACTGATTGTGGGACACCTTGTATAAAACTCTAAAATATAAAAGTTCTAACTACAGGAATTTATTTTGTAAAATTAGATGGCCTTGTGTGAGGTTCTTGCTTTTTTGTGTTGTCATAGAGTATTATTATTGTTTTAAATGTTTTGTTATTAAACTATTTTTGTGTTACAGGCTGTTATGGCTGGTGCTAGTGGGGTAATTGTCTTTTTTATGTTTTGTATTTAATTTTATCACGGTGTGGGGCATCTATTCAACTTTTTTTCTCCATTTTTTTCTAAAAATCCTTTGTATTTTTTAGGACACCGGTGCCCCTGTACTCACTGACGATGTTTCTTTGCAAGTTTTCATGGACCACCTTAAAAAACTCGCTGTATCCTCCACAGCCTAATCAAAACCGTTTTTTTTTAATTATTTATTCTGTACAGATCAAGAGAAGAAGCCAGAAAAAAAAACAGTTCCCTATATATTTTTTTCATATTTTATTATATACTTTAATTTTGTATGTATTATGTATTCTGTTAGTTAGGTAAAAAGGTTGAGTAATTGAAAATTTGTTACTGGATTGTGTAGTTTTAAGTGTTTAATAAAAAGAGTTTAGTAAGTAAAGTGTGTTTTAAACATGCAAGAGTCCACCAATAAGGGATAAAAATAAATTAAACCTATAGGTAGGTAAATCATATTACCCTATATAAATTCAGAGATATATTAAAAAAATCTTTAGTGTTATAATTCTTTTACAAATTACAACAAAAATATAAAGTATTTTGTATCTTATCTAGCTAACTTTTCAAACATATATTTACAAATAATTATATCTTGTAAGCACCACTTTATAAATAAACAATAAAATCACCTTATTCTTAATCTAATGCTATTGTATTAAACTTAACTATATTTACATCTCAATTCAAAAACCTAATGCTCATTTTCTGTTCTACATCCGTCCTTTGCAGCGCCTTACAAAACTCTTCGAAAGAAATCATTTGATCCCCATCTTCATCGGCTTCTAAAATCGTTCTCTCAGCTATACTGGTTAGTTGTTCTTCACTAATATTTGTCCCAACCATCATATGTAAAATTGCCAAAAGTTCATCCTTGGAAATCATGTCATCGTTATCCAAATCATATAACTTAAATGCAACTAAAATGTCATATTTGGATGAAAATTCGTATAATTAATCTATTATTTTACTTACATTTTAGTTTTTCTTCTCTAGAGTTCAATTTATTTCCCTTATTTTTCTTTACTGGTCTAAAATGGGCTAGAACTTGCATAAACTGTCTAAAGTTTACTCGATCTGTGAATTCGTCGCCTTGAAAGAACGCGTTGACTATTCTTTCTCCCAGAGGGTTTATTGCTAGCTCGGGTATCCTCAAAAAATCGTCTCTAGATAATGTTCCACAATCGTTCCTATCCAATGCAGTAAAACGAGAATATAATCGTTCAATTTGATTTGGAGTGACTAAAAACGATTAGATTTTATATTAAAACACTTTATGGAATACTAATTACAAAAATGGGTGGTGTAATCTTTTAAAACATGATGAAAACATAAATTATAATTTGCATACTTACAACCAGTTTCTTCCTGAATTTGGGCTATCTCTTCTTCCCGAAGAAGTAACGAAGCCCTATTGCCCATACTAAATTTCGCCTTTAAAGCTTTAGAGTTGAATTTAAACAAATAAAACTGGTTTTGAACCTTTTACAGCTGATTAGAAACACAAAAAAAACTCAATTCACAGACTTAATTATGACAAATCATTTTGGATTTGACAACTAAAATGTTCGTTAACCTTCAACCTTTGACTTTTAATCGCTGGACAACAGAGTGGGTTTCGGATTTTAGGATCGGAATGTCCTAAATAGCATCTGTAAGTAGATTTCTGTGTACTTTCGTATCTCCTATTCACTAATAGATGGCGGTAGTGTCGTCAAATTATTTCAATTTGAATTTTTACAGTTTAACGTCAGCAAAATGATGTTTTAAAAAATTGTCATTGAAGAACACAAATCTGGGGAACAAATTTTTCATCAATAAACTCCAAGTAATATCATTAATCATGTAATAATCATGCGTTACTTTTCCTAGTATGAATAATTTCAAAAAAAAGGTTTCTATTCAAAACGCAGATGTTTATCCAGATTATTCCCAGGTAACCGAATGAATTTAGATATATAACACGTATAGTGTAGTTGTTTAAATACGTATTTTTTTAGAAAAAATCAAAAGAATCTACTAGTTCTAGGAGAATTTCGTATTTAGTTCCGGATCAGGAAATTTCTCCAAGTGGTGATAATAATTTTAGGTAATTATTGGAAAAACTGGAATTCGTTCTTATTTTATAAAAAAAATATGTGTACACCCTATTTTGATGTCGCAGTCACGAATCTGAATAACAATATAATAAAAATAAACAGTCAGGTTGTAATCACCAGCTCTTGTGTCACGGCATTGCATTTTTACTGCCAGCGCGCGTAAAGAATTTATAGCCTAGTTTTTTAGTGCGTGTTTTGATTGCTATGTGTTTTTGATTGCTAAAATTATTAGTTTATAGGGCTTAAATTTAGAACACATTTTCGTTCTTCTGAGCAACGGTAAGAGACCGCCAAAAAAAAACGACCACGAAATAGGGTGTAAAGAAATATTTGTGACAAAAGAACGATTTACCCAGTTGTTCCAATAACTACCTACCTCATTTTAGTGGCGGTAAAGCAGAATCAGGGTTTCCTCCTCCGCCCGTTCCGGACGGTAGGGAGGATTTATGGGATTTGCAATTCTGCCGTTGGTGGGGTTGGAATTGGGTAAGGAAAAAGGACAACGTTGAACTGAGAGGAAGTTGCGGAGATAACGCCGGGGAGTGTCTATTGCCGAAGGATCTGAAAAAGATGGAAAAACGGTGGAAGGCGCATAGCAAAGGTGGGTGTATGCTTCTTCTTCTTCTAGTGCAGATCCATTAATGGATGTTTGCGGCAACATTTTCCATCGCTTCTCTGTTCAATTCTCTTACATGTAGTTTTTTTTTGCGAAGAAATATTTCATTTATTTTTTAAAGTAAATGCCAGTAAAAGTAAATATTATTTTTAAATAGTAATTTCTACATACTCTACATATATAAAATGCTAATGTTTATCTGTGTCGTCTCTACTGAAGTAACGGCTTGCTCTAGAAAGTTGATTTTTTTACTAAAAGATAGCTAATTGGCTCTTCTAAAAACTGTCGCCGCCGGATTTTTTGTTTTTCATTTAATTAAAAAAAATAAAAAGTATTTTTTTTCTTGATGTCGTGGCGGATGCGCCAGGCTTCAACTAGTAATATATAAAATGCTAATGTTTATCTGTGTCGTCTATTCTGAAGTAACGACTTGCTCTAGAAAGTTGATTTTTTTACTAAAAGATAGCTAATTGGCTCTTCTAAAAACTGTCGTCGCCGGATTTTTATTTCATTTAATTAAAAAAAAATAAAAAGTATTTTTTTTCTTGATGTCGTGGCGGATGCGCCAGGCTTCAACTAGTAATATATAAAATGCTAATGTTTATCTGTGTCGTCTCTACTGAAGTAACGACTTGCTCTAGAAAGTTACTTTTTTTACTAAAAGATAGCTAATTGGCTCTTCTAAAAACTGTCGTCGCCGGATTTTTATTTCATTTAATTAAATCAATTAAAATTACCTATTATTGCAGTGTAACAACAGAGTATTAATAAAAAAAATGCAAAAAATATAGACATACTATCCCTAAATATATAGACATACTATAATTTCACGATCTGAAATACGCCTTTGGCATGCATGAGGTGCCAATTCCACGCGTGTTTTTTTCTTTTGTCAGATTTATTCTATCGCGTCACTTAATAACTTCGTTCACTGTTCATCGGGGTAATAAATCTAATTGGTCTCACACTTGCCATCCGCACTCATAATTTTATAACTGTTGTTTCTTTATAATAACAGCTACTGTTAAGAACTGTTATTTATAAATAACAGTTTTAAAATAAGAGTTTTTTCCAAAAATTATAGTTTTCGAAGTAACAACTGTTGCAAACTGTTATTTCTAATTAACACTTCGAACAATAACGGATCCTAAAATAACCACGCCTCGCTAGCATATCAATTTTAGTGCTCTTTCCAGATTTGCAGAGCCTAAGAAAGCAGGAAGATCACGACATGCAAACTACAAATCTTCCAACCAAGGAACAGTTCAAGGAGCTGTGCAAATGTTTTTTTCGACCGCCTCCATATCAGAGAACGCACTATGTGGAAGACATATTTAGGACACCGTCTCATAGCGTGACCGCCATGAAAAGGTAAATCAATTTGTTTTGTATAGGGTGTCCCACTAAGAATAGCTCTCGGCTGTATCTCGGAAAGTATTAGCCGTAGAGCTTACGGAAAAAAATATTTGAAACTAATGAGATTTCGTTAATAAATAAACAAATCGTCCAGAAAATCGACAGAATATTGAATTTTCTTGTGAAATAAAATGACAAACAATAACTGTCAGGTATCCTGTCTCTGGGCCGACTTTAGTAATACTGTCAGCAAAATCTTTTATTACTATGCTTACGGAATGCACAATATATAAGCGTATGGTTCGCATTTTGTTGTCTTTTTTGAATAAGGAAAATAGAATCTGTGAAACTTGAGAAATAAAATGACAAACAATAACTGTCATTGTCAGGTATCCTGTCTCTGGGCCGACTTTAGAAATACTGTCAGCAATATTTTTTTTTTACTTACTGAATGCACAATATATAAGTGGATGGTTCGCATTTTGTTTTCTTTTTTGAATAAGGATATGTTAATATCTGTAGTTTAAAAAGGTTTATAAATCATTTTTATTAGTTAAAAAGTTATTTTAATTATTTTTCTCTCTCTGATATAGTACTACTTTTTAGTAAATACATCTCCAGCAAAAACAAAAACAAATTAAATGTAAATGGTTAAAAAAAATAGAAAAATCTGGTATTCATATTTAAATGTCCTTAACATATTATGTCTTCCCTATATGGGAACGTATACAGGGTGCTACAAATTCGAGGTACGAGCATTGGTATCTCGGAAACCGTAATAGGTACCAAGATGGTTCAATTGGGGCAAAGTTGCGGTTTGGGATGTTCACCAAGATGCCATCAAACATGTTTTAAAAATTTCAATAATTGCTGAGTTTTTTTGAAAATCAATTTTATTTTTTCGTGTCGTTACTTTTTAGAAACTCAAAAAACTAATTGCACAATCTCATAGCCACTTTATTAGGGCTATCTGATGGTATTTTTAGATTTTCAAATTAGCTGATAATTTGTGAGATACAGAGGCCAACTTAATTTTTTTAAATACTGACCTGCATTCTATTCCAGGTTTTGAAAGAACTCGGTCTCTTGAGTATAATGATATGCCACACTTTATACTTTTTTTTGTTTGGTGTACCTTAACAACAACAAAACTATATAATTATTATTTAAAATAATTTCAAGTCCGACTCTGGTTTTTAAATTATTTAATCTGATTATATTCATCGCAACAATATTGATCAGCACTAATTAATATTGAATAAGGAAAATCGAGCCAATTTTCAATCAATTCAAATAAGTAATATCCAGGTCAGCAATTTAAAGATATTATTTTTAACTTTTTCTATTGTGAATATGAAATCTCAGTTTACGATCTAATAATATGCTTAATATTAATCGTAATTATTATAAATAAATCAACTTCTACAAACTAGTTTCTATTGTTTTCCATGTTGGAAAGGGTTACCATGCACCCCCTCTCTATTGCACAAATTTATTATTCGTTCAATTTTATTTATAGCTCTTTGAACATATCTTCTTCTTATACTTCCGAATTTTGTACTCTTTATTGTAAATGTTGTAAAATATTAATTTTACTTTTACAAATTGATTTTCAAAAAAAATCCGTTTTTTCCAAAAAAACTCGGCAGACCTTCAAAATTTTAAAACATTTTTAAAAGCATCTTAGTATCCTAAAGCCCAACTTTGCCCCAATTTAACCATGTTCATATCTATTAGGGTTACCGAGATACCAGTGCTCGTACCTCGAATTTGTAGCACCCTGTAGAGGGTACTACAATAATATATTAATTTAAATAAAGTATTTTTTCAGTTTCAACTCGTTTAGAAGGAAGTCATCAGGAAAACGATTTTCATCGATGGCGCACGGGTCACAAAGGGGTAAAAACAGCATTATGATCAATTCAGCTGAAAATGACGTGACGGATAAGCGTACGCCACTTAAGCACACAAGCGTCCAGGTGACTGACTCGGACGAAGAGATGAGAAGTTCAACGGAAAACGCCCTAGAAGCGATGAACCAATCTATGAGGGCATCTCAGGCGACGAGACATTCAAGTGTAAATCCTCGCCAATCTGTGAGGCCTTCCCAGGTGACTTGGAATTCACCTGAGGATGATCGACAATCTGTGAGGGGATCTCAGGCGACGAGACATTCAAGCGTAAATCCTCGCCAATCTATGGGGGAATCTCAGGCGATGTGGGATTCAGTTGAAGATCCTCGCCAATCAATGAGGGAGTCGCAGGTGATGAGGGATTCGTATGTAGATCCTCGACAATCTATGAGGGAGTCACAGGTGATGAGGGATTCGTATGTAGATCCTCGCCAATCTATGAGGGAGTCACAGGTGATGAGGGATTCGTATGTAGATCCTCGCCAATCAATGAAGGAGCCGCAGGTGATCAGGGATTCGTATGTGGATCCTCGCCAATCTATGAGGGAGTCACAGGTGATGAGGGATGCGTATGTAGATCCTCGACAATCTATGAGGGAGTCACAGGTGATGAGGGATTCGTATGTAGATCCTCGCCAATCTATGAGGGAGTCACAGGTGATGAAGGATTCGTATGTAGGTCCTGGCCAATCTATGATGGAGTCACAGGTGATGAGGGATTCGTATGTAGATCCTCGACAATCTCTGAGGGAGTCACAGGTGATGAGGGATTCGTATGTAGATCCTCGCCAATCTATGAGGGAGTCACAGGTGATAAAGGATTCGTATGTAGGTCCTGGCCAATCTATGATGGAGTCACAGGTGATGAGGGATTCGTATGTAGATCCTCGCCAATCTATGAGGGAGTCACAGGTGATGAGGGATTCGTATGTAGATCCTCGCCAATCTATGAAGGAGTCACAGGTGATGAGGGATTCGTATGTAGATCCTCGCCAATCTATGAAGGAGTCACAGGTGATGAGGGATTCGTATGTAGATCCTCGCCAATCTATGAGGGAGTCACATGTGATGAGGGTTGCGTATGTAGGTCCTGGCCAATCTATAAGGGAGTCACAGGTGATGAGGGATTCGTATGTAGATCCTCGCCAATCTATGAGGGAGACACAGGTGATGAAGGATTCGTATGTAGATCCTCGCCAATCTGTGAGGCCTTCCCAGATGACTGGGAATTCACCTGAGGATAATCGACAATCTGTGAGGGGGTCTCAGTGGCTGAAGAGTTTGTGCTTCCCTCGCCAATCTATGAAGGCATCTCAGGAGACGAGACATACAAGCGTAAATCCTCGCCAATCTACGAAGGAATCTCAGTGGCTGAAGAGTTTGTGCTTCCCTCGCCAATCTATGAAGGAATCTCAGGCGATGAAACATTCAAGCGTAAATCCTCACATATCTATCAGGGATGATCCATCAGTGATGGAATCGTATGAAAACTTTTTCGAGAAAAATTCTCCTGAACCGGCGACAGAATTCGTAGAAAGTTATAGGAAACACGACGATATTCGAAGGAAGAATTCAGCTAGAAAGACTGTTGAACCGGCGATAGGATGGGCACCGTACAGGAACAGCATGGGCGCGGAAACTTCAGAAGAGGTGCTTCCTGGGCCAATGGGGAACCAGGAAGAGAAAAGTTCCAGGAAGAGAAAAGATCCAAAAAGAAAGGTAAACGTTAGCTCGTTAGATTTGTTCAAGACCTCAAAAGTCAATTATAAAACAAAAAACTACTGGTGAAGATATTTATCAAAGACAATTTATTAACAAAATTCACTTATTCAAGTTATTATTTTCTATTTGTCATAAAGCGTCGTTGTCATCCTGCTGTCACTCTTAGATTAAGACCATAAATAAACTAAACAAGTTTAGATTGGAAAGTGCCTATAAGGACAAATCGGATCGGTTCGGCTTTTTCCGGAATTATATCGCCAAATGTTATTTATTCAAATTTATTATTTTTTTTTAATTTTATAAATAAAATACAGTGTGTTGCATACAAGAAACTTCATTTTATATAAGGACATGTATGAAATACCTATAAAACATTGGAAACCGACGTTATGCCACGATCCACGATGGTTTTTTAGTTTTTAACGCCATTTTTTCACAATTATCACGGGTTTGGTTTGGTTAGGTTAGCTAGCCATCTTGATTGCGATTTTATTGAAAAATCGTTTTTTATTCAAAATATGAGCTAGATAGGTATAGGAAACTCTAATGTAGTTTGAAAGAGCATTTTAATCTCCTTCGATTTATTTAAAAAAATACAGAGTGTTGCATTTGAAATAATGAACTTTTTGTATAAGATAAATCCTTAAAATAGATCAGCAATTTTTGGTACACCTGTATAAATTTAATGAAGCAATAATATTTCTCAGTAAAGTTTATGTCCCCATCTTTAAACTCAGCACAAGAATTAATTCTAAAAAGTAATGTACAGGGTGTTAATAATCTGTTCTATTGTAGTCTGCTTATTTAAATATCTTTAAATATCTCAAAAACCAAAGATTTTAAACATATTTAACCCTTATAATATATGTCTTTTTTTGGATCGAAGAATCGAAAAATGGAATAAAATACCGGGTGTTCCATAAGAAAAAATGTAACTTTGGTATGGATCTTAGTTCTGAGACACCCTGTATATCTCAAAATAAGTTTAAATTGTGCACATTGCCTCCCCACATATACCCATAAAATATATGTTTTCTACATCTTTCCGTTTTCGTATAATCAACCGGGGCGAATGAGGTGCGCCACCCTGTATATACTATACACATATGTTAATATACTTTCATTGTTCTATAGTTAATGTCGCGTACAACCAATAGAGATAGTCCACAAACTTGCACGAGTGAAGACATTCCCAATGGACATTGTTGCTCGGACAGGGGTACGTCTAGTACCGAAGAGAGTATAGAATATATTGCGTTACGTGTTTCGAGCTTCAGAAACTGCCAATGTCACTGCAATCAACAAAATCAACAACATCAACAAAATCAACATCAACAAAATAAAGAACATCAACAAAATCAAGAACATCAACAAAATCAACATCAACAAAATCAACAACATCAACAAAATCAAGAACATCAACAAAATCAAGAACATCAACAAAATCAACAACATCAACAAAATCAACAAGTAAGTACCTACTGCAATCGGTGGCTCAAGCCCTATATTTTGTCACAAACGATGAATATGTCCTTTTAAGTGTATCTTTTCTCGTTTTAAAACGAGAATATGCACTTTGAGTGTAAAGTTTTGTGAGGGTGCCATTTAAAAATCAAAAGTTGTAGTCGTTTCCGGTAAAACAGGAAGTGGCCAAAAACGCTGGAATACGTCAATCAATCTTAATTTATGTCATATACTAACATACCAAATCTATATAGTTTTTTTATCAGAAAAAATAAAAAAGTTATCTATACTAATATATAAAATCCTTAAGTGACTGACATACTGATTAATCACGATCCTGCTCAAACCACTCAACGTAAGAAGCTCAATTTTGGCATACAGGTTGATTCTAGGGTGTAGAGGTTCGATAAGAAGGGATTTTTCGAAATTCCAGTTCCATGAGGGTGAAACGACCCCTCAAATATTACAATATTTTTTATTTAAAAAACGGTCGAGTTTCCGAAAAAACGCTTAAACACGTATATTTTATTTTGTTTTTACATATTTTAAGATTTTTTAAAAATGTATACAGGGTGTTTCGAAAAATCTGGTCATTGATTAATCACGATCCTGCTTAAAGCGCTTGACGTAAAAAGCTGATTTTTGGAAAACAGATTGACTTTGGGGTGTAGAGGTTCGATAAGACGGGATTTTTCGAAACTCGAATTCTAAAGGGGTGAAACTATCCCTCAAATATTAAAATATTTTTTATGTAAAAACCGGTGAATTTTTCGGAAAAACTCTTCGGAAAAACACGTATATTTTATTTTGTTGTTTTACATATTTTAAGATTTTTTTTAAATTTATACAATTTATACATTTATATTCATAAAACATGACCATTGAGTAATCACGATTCTGTCTAAACTGCTTGACGTTTAAAGCTGATTTTTGGCAAACGGATTGACTGTGGGGTGTAGAGGTTCGATAAGGAGGGGTTTCTCGAATCTCAAATTCCAAAAGGTTGAAAACGCCCCTCAAATATTACAATATTTGTTATTTAAAAAACGGTTAGTTAGTCTTTCGAGAAAACGCTTGGACAAGCATAATTTATTTGGTTTTTTTACATATTTTGAATTTTTTTTAAATATCATACAGGGTGTTCCAAAAAATTGGGTAATTTCTTAACCACGATCCTGCTTAAACTGCTTGACGTAAAAAGCTTATTTTTGGCAAACGGATTTTTCGAAAGTCAAATTCCAACGAGATGAAACTACCCCTCAAATATTACCAAGTTATAAATAATATCGCCATATTGTTTTTTCTCATGTTGACATAAATGTGAGAAAATTTTATCCAGTTAATGGAAATTCTTGCTTTGCTTTATCATCATCATTACAAATGATTAATTCGACGCGAACGAAGTCACTGGTACACGCTAGTTTTACTATAAAATGCTTCAATAGACCACAAAATTACATTCGCAATAATATCGCAAATCGCAACTCCTAAAAAGTCAAACTCGCAGATATAAGGTTATCACGGTCCTAGTTTACGAAATCACAGTCGCAGCAAAATCCCAAATCCCAAATCGCAATCGCAATTTTCTATGAGAGCCAATCGCAGGTTGCGATTGCGATTTTCTACGATTTTTACCTCGTCTCTAACCTAATAGTTTCTTTCAACTTTTCTAATAAACCTGTTCTATTTTGTTGACAGGAACCCAAACGGGATACACAAATGGTAGAAGCACAAACAAGCGCTTTCGTATTTCCATTAGAAGAGAAAGATACACAAACGTCGGGCCAAGAGAAAGACTGTTGTCAGCCATATTGTAACGACGGCGAGAGGTACATAAAACTAGGCAAGAAGAGGAAAGTAATTCGTATTTCTGTGTGCTGTTGCTCGTGCGCTAAAGAAAATGGCCAGCCTAGCGAGCCGTCCGCATTGATCCAAAAAAGCTCGAACAAGGCCTTGCTCAAAGACATCCCTCGTCAGACTTCGAAGGGTAGCACCAACAACAATCCTTCGCTGATCGAAGAGACCAGGGAAACCACCACCTACAACTTTACGGTACCTCCCATCAGCGCGAAGACCTTCTCCAAGTTCGGAACTCCCTCCAAAAACTACTCCTGGATCAGGAACATCGGATCGGACACCACGACTGCCAGCCTGAATTTCCCACAAACTTTCAAAAGTCCAAACTCCGGAAAAACGTACGACTTTACCTCTTGGAACTTTAACGACAGACCTAACCTCACTTTACCCGAACCGATTGACGTTTCCGATGACGTCACGTACTTGAAACAACTTCAGACTTCTAGGAAGTCGTGTAAAGAGGACAGGATGCTTCTTGATGCCGTTTGTGACGCCATCCTGTCCGAGCACGAGTTAAAGTTCGGCAGCGAGAGCGATTTTGAAGGAAGGAACGGTGAAACGGTTGTAAATAAGGCGAATAATGTTATTAGACCAAAATTCCAAAGAAAGCGCCCAAGAATGCGCATCCCTAGAGTTCCTAAAATAGATAACGTCTTCGAGAACCTTATCCAGCAGGTTCTGAAGTCAGACGTTGAAGTGTATTCTTCGGACGAGATGTATAGCAACTTTGAGCCGGTGCTTAACAAGTTAAAGTCGTTTAGTATACTGGCAAGCGCCTACGAACAAGAAACGAACTCTTTACCAAGCAGAAGAAAGAAAAAACGAAGGGCAATGCAAGAACTAAACATCGAGAATTCTAGCAAGAAAATGAAACAAGAAAAAATATCGACTAAAATAATACCTTCCGTATGTCCAGCATTCCAAGATTCAATAAAGAATTCTTGTGTGGTTAAAAGCAGGATAAGCGACGGGGTTGACATAGGACTGACCTGTAATGCAAAATTGGAGGATATAGTGGCTAAAATCGAGGAAATGATGAAACGAGCGCAGGCACCCAACGAGCACGTGGGGGAACCTATTACCCCTAACACAGGCAATAAAAGAAGTTACCAAATGTCTTCCGATGTATTTACCAGAACTGTAAGCTTCACAGAACAAGCAGGAAGCTTGAAAAAAAGTTACGAAATCTTCAGTAACCGAAAAAATCCGATGTTCGATACTTTCCCCGATCTGACTGCTTCAAGTCACGTCATACCCCTAGATAACGAAACCTGTCCAACGGAAGACACGCCTAAAGTTACATCTGCCGAATCGATCAAAGACACCAAACTCTCCGTGCAGAATTTCACTGTTTGCGATGTGACGCCGTCTCAGAGCGAGAAAAACGTTTCGGTTGATGAGGGACCCGAAAAAGAACCTGCGAAGAAGAAAAGTAACGGTAATGGTACCAGTCCTTCGTTGATACCGATCAGAAGGAAAATTTCTAAATAAAACAAGTTTTTTTGTTAAAAAGTTCGTTTTTATTTCAACACGATTACTTAAAAAAATAACAGACATAAATAAAGGTATTTCTAGATAGGGTGATGTTGAGCATGTTAGTTTTTTTTTGAGAAAAAATATCAGTTTTGTATATAAATACTTAGAATTAATTAACTAAAGTTAGATTTTTTTGAAGTATGTACAAGAAGAGGTGGTGTGCTAATACAGAGTGTATTATTCGTCAAAAGCATGTCTAAAGAAATTTGGAGTTTCTTCTTTGATTCCCTGATTGTAGATGTTGTTATTTTAAGCACGCGCACTGTGAACATGATCAATTTATAGAAAATAATCTCGTTTTTTGATTACTGCTAGGGTTCCAGAAGCATTGAGGAGCGCAAAAAGTATTCAATTCTCAAAATTTTGAAAATAATCTGGTTTTAATACAGTGCATTATTTAATTGTAAGTAACGAAAAATCCTTGAAAAATCGAAGTCTTCAATGTAAACATTCTCGGTACCTAACCAAAGTTATTAAATTAAACAGGTTGTCTCGTAACTTGACATTAGGCGCCATATTGCGTGTCATCGTGTCGTACTCTGCAGTTTTTAGCTTCTTAACAAATAATTTTATATTGTTTTCTTTGTATTAAGGACAAGGACCTATAATTGCATTATAGGACGGTTTTAGTGAAGATACTATTTTTTTAAATATCTATACCTATGTAGCGGATTCATCTCTCCAAAAAAAAACCTTTATGGGTATTTCGCCACTGCACTGCAAGAAAATCTACAAAATAAAATAGTTATTTTCTATAAACACTTCTGCGTTAAACCTAAACGGACACTGCTTGTCAGAAGTTATGTTTACAGTTATACAAATTAACGTCAACGGTTTCTTGTAGACGTATCTGTTGTAAGAAAGTAAAATGTTCTCGAATAGTTGAATTTAAATATTTTAAATAGTTTTTTTTCTTTATTCTTTGTATTTTTTTTTGCTTCCAAGAGATAAACTTTCCGAAACGTTAAGCATTTTTTTCTTTGTTAGGCAAATTTGTATAACTCATAGATAAATGAAACAAGTTTAGATTGGAAAGTGCCCATAAGGACAATGTAAACACTATTTGGCGCTATTCTTGCAACGGTCGCGACCCAAAACTTTTGAAAATTTCGGAGCGGTTCGGCTTTTTCCGGAATTATATCGCCAAACATTGTTTATTCAAAAGTAGTATTATTTTCGTTTAATTTTGTAAATAAAATACAGTGTGTTGCATACAAGAAACTTTATTTTATATAAGGACGCATGTATGAAATACCTATGAAACATTGGAAACCGACGTTATGCCACGATCCACGATGGTTTTTGCAGTTCACAGTTCACAGCACAGCTTTTTAAGTTTTTAATGCCACTTTTTCACAATTATCACCGGTTGGAGTAAATAAAACTTGAATTAAACTCACAAGATAGCAATAATTACTTTGAAAATGGACGCTATAAACACTTTTCGGGATTCCTTTAATGAGAGCGGTTTAGATTTTGAAAAATTATTATGATTTTTGAAGATTCTGACTTTGACAAGAGAAAATTATTTCTGTTTTTGTTTGCCGTTGTTCTTAGCGACCGCTATAGTAGCGCCAGATCGCGTATAACGGTCGCGACCCAAAATAATTTCGCGATCCAAAATTTATACGGGCTTTCCAATCTAAACTTGTTGCATTTATCTATGGTATAACTGTAAAGATAACATCTGACAAGCAGTGTCCGATTAGGTTAAACGCAGAAGTGTTTACAAAAAATAACTATAGTAAACGCCACGAATGTTTGGGAGTGATTCTTCGCTTGATGAAGTTAGAATCGATACGCGCGCTATCGTTTTTACATTAAAAACGTACATTTTTACCGCAGACGTAGGTTTTTAAAGGCCCGGTCTAATCATCTGCCTGCGCTCCTCCTACTTATTCTAAAATGTTAGCGTGATTGACAATTACGATACTATATCGCGTTTCTTTGATTGATTCGTTTTTTTGCGTCAGTCCATTGGTGTGCTTGCAGTGCGACCAATGGGGCATTCCATTTTATATTTATAACCAAATATATGTTTTGACAAGACTTTGACAGTTAAAACAACAAATTACAACAGATTATATATTGATTATTATATGACTTGAAACACCACGGCACTGGAATTTAGTTTTATGTGACCTTGAACTGATTAGTTCACATGGTAGCGACCGATGAATCACTCGCAAACATTCGTGGCGTTTACTATATTTTATTTTGTAGATTTTCTTGCAGTGCAGTGGCGAAATACCCATAAAGGATACATTTTTTTAGTTTTAGTGTACTTAGTATATTATAATTGATGAACTAAATACTTTATAAAATTATTTATCAAATTTCCTCAAGAAATAAAAATCATTCCTACACGATTCCTACATATAAACAACCAATAATGTTCAGTATTTTTGTTGCTGAATCATGTATATGTATAATAAATTATCTCGACTATGTTTCAATGTTTTAACATGGTAAAAAGCTAAAACCATTTCTTCTTCGAATACAATAATACTGCTTAAAATGTTAAATGCTAGCAAAATTAAAGAAAAATAGATAAAGATTTTATAGAAGAACAATTTAACTTGGTGTATGTGTTATTATAATTAAGCCTTTTTGTTAAGCTATTTTAAATGTCCCACTAGGTGACGTAATAGCGCCAACTACTGTGATTGGTCCAAATTTCCGAGGCAACCTGTTTAATATAATAACCTTGGTACTGAACGCCTTCGGTGGTGACGTCATCACTTAAATGCGTTAGAGCTGTTCAGCCTGTTGGCTGGCTTTACTTTAGTTAGTCACGATTCTGTCAGGATTTGGCTTTTCTTGACAGATCTGATTTTTCTTGAACGCCAATCAAAGATCAGATTATAGTACGAGAGCTAGCAACGTCGGAAAAACAAGTATTTTAAGACGTCTGGCTCTTTGATATATCTTTTACTATGCTCTCTAGAACAGCATGCGGCCCTGCGTCTGGCTGCCGGTAAACGTTGCGTTCCCTACTGCGCATTGAAAGAAGAACCTATATTTTTATTAGTCCTTTAAATTCTAGTATTGAATATAAATCGAACATGTCTCCATAGTGCAGTGCGTAGAGTTTCCTACCACGAACCGATGATTCAGAGTTCGAATCCGGGTCAGGACAAAGACTTTTTTATTTTATTTTCGTTTATATTCTGATAGTAAAGTATTAAATATTTGTTTTTTTTTAATCACCAGATTTATTTAAAATACTTTACTATAGTCTATAAAATGAAAACTTTGAATTTTGACCGTTATTTTTTACCAACATGGTAAATATAAAATTCCTCTGTCAAAAAAGTTACTGATATTCTTTAAATTGAGTGCCTGAACGAATCAGATATGTAACTCTTTTTACTTTAGTGAAATAGAAAAGGAAAATAAAACAAGTCAGTTCTTCCTCTTCTTAAAAAATTAACACAATTGTCAAAAGTAAAATGTCATCAGCTTTTGACATTTCTAAATATCAGACCAATGCCGTCTCTAATAGAACAGCCTCGGAGCGACATTTATGACGTCACGCTAGTTAGATACTACGGATTAATAAATATGTTGTAGAATACATGGAAAACATAATAATTCCTCGTATTTTTGGTTTGTATTTTAAAAATTATATAGTTTACATGATATATTATATATATACCTATTTATAGTAATAAATAACTTTCGCAAATAAACCAAATAAACTATGAACCATACAAATGCAGCAAATGTTTTACAATATACAAATAATGAATAGGTACATAAGATAATGGGTAAAATGTAAAATATATTTTAAATTTTGGGGTTTGAAAATCTATCTAATTTAACAAAAAACATTCAATATCTACTAATAGTGATGTATTATTATTTGCATTCACAAAATGTATATGTATATTTTGCAAGTATCAATGTTCGAAAAATTATATTTGCAAATAATACAATATCATAGAAAAAAGGCTGCAGCGATGGCTATGAAATAAAGATCGCTGTCATTTTATATGTAAAATTATTCTAAATTTTTTTTATTTTCTTGGGATTTAGGTTCGGGAAAAACGCTGATTAAGTTTTCATTTGTTTTTTCATTATTTTTTTTGGTTAAAAAAAACGTTTCGGCTAACATCATAGCCTTCATCAGTGTTGTGTCATATGAAAAAAATAGTGTCGAATATAATCCAAAAAATTACATATAAAATATTCACACCACATAATGTTTACTGCAATTAATAAACTAATATAAACTTGTCAAAAGATGACCACGTATTTTTTTAAATTATTATTCTTAACACTAAAACTATCTACATGGACTATGGAATACGATTTCAGCCATAGTAAGTAGTAGATATTGAATCTTTTTTGTTAAATTAGATTGATTTTCAAACCCCAAAATTTAAAATATATTTTACATTTTACCCATTATCTTATGTACCTATTCATTATTTGTATATTGTAAAACATTTGCTGCATTTGTATGGTTCATAGTTTATTTGGTTTATTTGCGAAAGTTATTTATTACTATAAATAGGTATATATATTGTATTTATTAACTGTATATTATGTATATTTCATGTAAACTATATCATTTTTAAAATACAAACCAAAAATACGAGGAATTATTATGTTTTCCATGTATTCTACAACATATTTATTAATCCGTAGTATTTAACTATCCTGACGTCATAAGTCCCGCTTCGAGGCTGTTCTATTAGAGACGGCATTGCGTCAGCATGGCCGCAAGTTGCTAACCTAATAAAACTAACACTAGAAAAGCCCGCGGGAACTGTCAAATTCAAAGTTATTAGTTTCACAGACTATATCAGAATATAAACGAAAATAAAATAAAAAAGTCTTTGCCCTGGCCCCGATTCGAACTCTGAATCATCGGTTCGTGGTCGGAAACTCTACGCACTGCGCTATGGAGACATGCTCGATTTATATTCAATACTAGAATTTATAGGATTAAATTAATAAAAAAAATATAGGATCTTCTTCCGATGCGCAGTAGTGAACCAAACGGGTATCGGCAGCCAGACGGGCCGCATGCTGTTCCAGGGAGCATAGTAAAAGACATATCAAAAAGCCAGACGTCTTAAAATACTTTCTCGAAAACGATGCTAGCTCTTAGACTATTAGTGAATACACCAATCAAAGATTAGATGAATAAAACGGAAAGCAGTTGCCTAACTTATGCATATCAAATGTTCAATTAAACAATAACAAAGTTAACAATGCTCAAAATAACAACTATTCATTGAAAAAACATTTGAAAAGTCGCACTTTTTATAGACAGATTAAATATTTTGTTTAACTAATTTTTCGAATACTTGTTTGACGAATAACAGTATAAATAAATATATCAAACAATGAGATTGAGGACGTATAAAATGATAAAATTTCCTAGAGGCAGTGAATACATGAAAGGAAAAAAATCAAATACAAAATGATGTAGCATCAAATATTAACTGATAGCACACAATATGATCTTATATGACTTTATATTCTTTATTCGTAAAACATACGAATTAACCCCCACAGATAAAATTTAAAGCCACATCATTTTTTTATTAGATTTTTGAATATATTACATAACCTCCAAAAAAAGAATATAATTCTCTATTAAAACATAATAAAATAAAAATGTTAATCCACAAACGGTGAATTTAACAGAGTATTTTTAAATCAGTGCCGGTAGAATAGAAATAATTTAATTTGGATAAGCATAGGAAAGTAAATTATAAAAAAGCATATCTATGTGTTATAAGGTCTATAGATTCGATTTTGAAATGTTGGCATTTCTTTCCATTTTTATTACAATACAGGATTTGTATAAATTATTATATAATTTTTTTATTATCTAAAAATTTCGACTAGTTTAGTTTTTTTTAAAGAAAATTCTAAAAAATATTTTCTATTCTTACTCTATTATAGTGACACTCTGTAACATAAAATATCTTTTATAAATAATAAAAAAATGGAAGTTATGTAATAATATAAATAATTTTTGACTAGACATGATATATTTTTTTATTAATGAGCACCAAATCAATAGTAAATAGTTCTTCAGTAAAAGATATTATAATAGGTAATAAAAATTCACTATTTTTTACGTACAAAAAATAATTACTAAAATACGCTAGAAAAAAAAACTAACAAATTTTGATATTTATTTTTATCATAAGAAAATTAAGTAGATATGCCTTCTCCTATTAGCAATAATTCTATTTTAATTAATAAATACCAAATATAATTAATTATAACAAGAGTGTATATATGTATAATTTATTATTAAAGCTTTTTCTTGAAGATCCTCATTTGCGAATTTTTCACCAAGGGTTTTATAAGAGACGTTCGATTTAATATTATGCCTAAAATGAGTTAATTCACGCTTTTTTTAATGAAAAAACACCAGCATAATAGAAATAAATAACTTATTTTCCTAGAAAAAATAAACAAACAAAACACAAACACGCGCCTTCAAAAATCACATGTTTATCTCTTTGGCAGCGCCATCTTAATTGTTCCTTCTTTAATGACCACTTCTCAATACACGTTGATAATTCTCCTTACCTCTACCCTCTACCCTCCATAGATCAGAATCAAATTTCAGTATGATGAACAAAAAATAGCATCTCAGTGACTTTGGAACTGACAATTATTGATGACAGTTTCTGTCGGGCTCACGTATAACCCTCATTTATTAACAATTGACGCAAAGATTTGTCAAAAACTAAAAATCTTAGGTCCACCGCGAAGGGACTCAAATATGGCCGATTTAAATTCCGGTTTATCAGTGCCGTTCTAATTTTATTTAAAAAATGTAAAACTATGATGCAGGGTAGACGTGGGGTAGACTCAATAATTTGTTTTTTTTTTTATTTTACGTTGTGAATAAATGTTGGTAGTTATTAAAATTGTTATAAAAATATTAAATTCTAATAAAAATAGATAAGTCATAATAATTATTTATTAACACAAACATCCGATACGCTACTGAAGCAGGTAAGTCAAACTGACGTATCTAAATTCTTTGACAAGTAGTAAATAAAAGCAAAAATGCAAGAAAAAAATATATAATTAGTTAATTTAAGTGAATTTCATAAATGATCGGTTTACTACACGTATGTATATTATATAGTCACTTACTAGCGAAAAGTTGTTCCATTATTTCACTCGATTTTTGCCGAGATCTACCGCACGCTACACAACGAACTATTTTAGAGTCTTTTTCGATAAATCGCGATAGTGTCACTGTTAATTTAAGTTCTGCCACAATTTCCATCTAGATTTACTACCGTTATACAACTATCAGTAGTAGAATAAATAATAAATAACATAAAATAAGCTCCGTAAAGACTGACAAATCCACAAAATTTCAAATCAACTTCAAATGTGTCAAATAAATCGTCAAACAGAACTGTCACGGATCCCCACCCTAGAGTCCTTTTTCCGCCCACCATGCATGAATACATGGATAGCATTATGCTACTTCCTTAGTCTTCTTATTCAAAGAAAAAAAGTAAAGTTTTGGAATTTCTTCATAGAATATAATAATTTTGAATCAGCAACCTAGATGTTTCAAACTGTCGTTTATTTTACTAGGAAAATAAGTTGGTAATACTAATGAAGAATGAAAGGATGAATAGTCGACCTACTGTCTACATTTAAAGCTACATAAAGACACATTACCGTCTACACATCATGTCTACGTTTGACAGGACATACTTCTATCCGTTGGTTTCAGTTCTTTTCCGGTGAACGAGCGGTTAAATCTGAAAATAAAGAAAATTCCGTTTAGTTATAGATTTATACAGGGTGTTATAAAAAGTTCGCAACAAATAGGATTTGTTTATTATCGAGCTACTGAAAAAATGTTGTGGAATTTCTTTAGCTTGGTCAATAATAAAGAAAGTATTTCGCAGTGACGGGCAGTGGATAAATACCCAATAGGTAGGTAAATAAAATTTGGGTATATAACTGGTATACAGACCGGACTACCGTAGTAGTAACATCTCCGTAGTAACAGTCCGCCGGATAAAAAGCAGGCGAAAAAATGCGATAAAATAAAAATAGGTAGACATGTGATAAGAATGTTACAGAATTTGTATTTATTCGTGTTTTAATAGCCAAAACGAATACATAGATTCTCGCTACAGCTCTCGTGTAAAATTTATTTTTTAAGTAAAATAATGGATGTTTACGAAGTTCGTGAGAAAATTCAAATTGTAAATCGTAAAATGGTATTTCCAAAATAGGTCTTATCGGAATATATAAACAGGAGCCATGAGAACCTGTCCAATAGCAGCAATGGAGGTCATTCTAGATCTAACACCACTGCACATTGTCATTGGTAGATATGCCAATGCGACAATGATTAGAATGGTCACTAACGGAATTAGTACTGGGAGAATTGTCAGATCAGGGGCTTGGAACACCCTCAAAAAGGAAATACAACTCATGCAACTCCCAGTGGACGATATGCCAAGAACGTACAACTTTGACAAACATGTCAATGTAGTATTGAGCAATAAGAAGGATTGGAAGAGCGAAACGCTTGCCCAGCAGTTAAAAGATCATACCATAACTTGGTATACTGATGCTTCCAAAACCAATACGGGAACAGGGATCGGAGTGATTGGGCCGAGAGCTAATTACTCCGAACCAATGGGCACTTACCCTAGTATCCTACAGGCAGAAATCTACGCTATCGAGAGATGCGTACAACTTATCTTAGATAGGAACTATCGGAAACAAGAAATAGCCATCTTATCTGATAGTCAAGCAGCGTTAAAGGCGATCAACTCAGTCTCAATCAATTCGAAATTGGTCAAAGAATACATAGAGAAGCTGAATAAATTAGGCAAAGAAAACAAAGTCCTCCTACACTGGGTGCCTGCTCACCAAGGGATAAAAGGCAATGAAAAAGCAAATAATCTAGGTAGAAAAGGAGCGAACACTCCACTAACTGGACCAGAACCGTTCTGCTTTCCAAGTGGTAACCAACTCAAGGAGGAACTCAAGAACTTGGAAGATTCCATCCGCAACCTGGAATGGAAATCTTGCAATGGTCTAGGACACTCGAAGAAGTTTCTGAGGGCTTATGATCAATAAAAATCACAGATCTTCCTAGGTCTGAGTAAGAACAATCTTCGGATTGTCACGGGGTTTTAACAGGACACTGTCTCATCAATGAACACCTCAGTAGATTGAAACTAAGAAGAAACGGCGAATGCAGATTCTGTGGGGAAGATGGTGAAACACCAGTACACCTCATCACTGAGTGCGCCGAGACGACAACCATTCGTGCCATGAATTTTGGTACGACTGATATTGGAGATGGAGAACTACCCTCTATAAAACCGTCCCAGATACTGGCTTTTGTCAAAGCCCTGGGACTGTATGATGAGTTATGATTCAAGAAAGGGGGACACAATGGATCTGTAAGGTCGAAGTGATTAACCCCCCTCCCACTCATTCTAAATTCTAAATTCTAAACAGGCCAATTCCATCTTTACCTACTATATCAAGAATTATTAATAATTTTGAAAGACATGGGTGCGTGTCCCCACAAAAACACAAAAAGCCTGATGTGTTGATTAATGAAGAACAGGAGTTAAAGCAAGTGTTTGGGGTGGTTTTGTAGGGGAGCATATGATTGGTACATTTTTTATAAAGAGCAATTTAACTGTTGCTAAGTATTTGGACTTGTTACAGCAGCAGATTGTCGCTAGAATTCGCGAGTTATTGGGAGAAAGATTCCACAATGTCTGGTTTCAACAAGATGGTTGCTCTGCCCACAATACCCGTATTGTTCAAGAATATTTGAACAATACTTTTCCCAACCGTTTAATTAGTGAACATGGAACTATTTTGTGGCCCGCTAGATCACCAGATCTTTCTCCCAATGATTTCTTTTTGTAGGGTTATGTAAAATCCAAAGTGTATGGTCATAATAGGGCTAATAATCTGGATGAGCTTCAAGTAAAAATATGAGAGGCTTTCCAAACTATTAGCCCTAATATGTTAGCCAATGTCAGACGGGGATTTTACGACCGCCTAGGCTTCTCTCTAGCACAAGAAGGTGGTCTTTTTGAACACTTGTTATAACTTTCTTTTTTATTTAGAGTAATATTTTAGATATAAATATTTTATAAACCTGCATTAAATCAAATTAAAATAGGTATGTAACTTTTTTTTAAATATTAATTAACAGCCAATTAGCATTATCATAAATTATAAATAATGTACCAACATATCGAAATAATAATTTCTTTGTTAATACGGTTTAGAATTCTTAAAATAACAGGCAAAAATAATCCACAATTTACAATAAAATAAAAGTTTCGTTTAAATTTCTTAATCAGCTGATCACTATTAAAGTTCGCAGAAACCCGGGGCTATATTATTACATTACTCTGAGGAAAATAACGAAAATAATCGATATTTTTGACTCCGCCCCGAAAGGTTCACGATTTGTCCTCCAGTTAGCAGCACATTTTGTCTAGTCGGTTGAACAACTTTAAGAATATATAAACAAGGCTAACAGTTATGACCGCGCAGCTAATTAAGGGGAACCACTGTGCAGCGTACCAATTTAAAAATATTAAAATCGCAATCGCAGGTTACTGTCGCAGTGATTTATAAATCACAATTTCAAACAGCACATTTTTGCTAATTTTTATCACCTACCTCAAGTGACTCCTAACCAGATGGCCGCTGGCCAAAGCCGCCATCAGGGACAACTCGCCGGCCAGCACGGCCCCGCACACGATCCGCGCCAGCTGTTTGGCGTTGTCGCCCGGCACCTCCACGTGCGGCCCCTTCACGCCCAACATCTCCAAACAAGCGGACTGAGCCGGCAACACCGTGCCGCCGCCCACCGTGCCGATTTCCACGCTGGGCATGGTGCACGAGATGAGCAGGTCCTCGCCGTCCGCGCCGTAGGGCTCTATGATGGTCATGCAGTTGCTGCTGGCCACGTTTTGGGCGGCGTCCTGACCGGTCGCTATGAAAATGGCGGTCACTATGTTGGCGGCGTGAGCGTTGTACCCGCCTGAAAGGGAAATATAATGAAGCAACTCAATAATTTATTGATTTATTTTACGCTGTCAGTAAATGTTAGTAGTTACTAGTGATGGGCATTACGATTCTTTTTAGTAAATCGAATCACACGATTCAATTTCGCATATTGAATCGACTCCTACGATTCGTTCATCTGTCTTTTTCAACGAATCACATGCAGAATTTACGTTTAATGTAAATAGCTAATATTCAATTGAACAAACCGTATTGCAAGTAATGAATCGAATCTCACGATTCATTTTTAATACTCGTTCAATATTTGCCCACCTCTAGTAGTTACCAAAAATATTATAAAAATGCATAGTTATATATACAGGGTGTCCCACTTAAGATGGATACAAGCCAATATCTTGATTGTTTGTTGAGCAATATTTTTCATTTTTGGCAGGAGGTTGTATGGCTATAAGACGTACATTTTGCCCAGGGTAAGAAATGCGATACCTCATAGACGTACGTTTTAATGGGGTTTGATATTTTTCGAGTCAAGAGTAAACTACCCTTAGGACAGTTTTTATTTCAAATCTGATAAATTATATTGAATCCTCCTTACCTAAGATACTTAAATTCAAAATTTTATAAATATTGATACAGGGTGTGGCATTAAAATAAGACATTTTTATTTTTATTATTATTTTTTTTAAGTACTTACGACGCCACTGGATAAACAACTGGTTTATTATCAATAACCAATTATCAATTAATAATCGTTTTTTTATGGTGGTTTGGTCGAAGATGTTGACTTTTAGTTCGTTATAGTTTTTATAAATCTTTTTAGAGCATATTTTTCAAAGTTAATAGTGATTGTTTTAAATATCTAACTATTTGGATTTTTTAAAATATTCCTCAATAAAACGAATAAAAATCATATATCAGATTCCAATGAAAACTGGGGTTTTAAATTATTTTGTAACTCAAGTTATTCATTTGTATTAGCAAACTTAAAAAACAATTTTTTAAAGTAAACAAAATAAATTGAAAATATTTAGTATTTTTGTTATCGTATCTTAATTATTATGGAAGTTATCTGAAAACTTAAATCGATTATTAATTGATAATTGGTTATTGATAATAAACCAGTTGTTTATCCAGTGGCGTCGTAAGTACTTAAAAAAATAATAATAAAAATAAAAATGTTTTATTTTAATGACGCACCCTGTATCAATATTTATCAAAATTAGAACTTAAGTATCTTAAGTAAGGAGGATTCAATATAATTTATCAGATTTGAAATAAATACTGTCCTAAGGGTAGTTTACTCTGGACTCGAAAAATATCAAACCCCATTAAAACGTACGTCTATGAGATATCGCATTTCTTACCCTGCGCAAAATGTACGTCTTATAGCCATACAGCCTCCTGCCAAAAATGAAAAAGATCGCTCAACAACCAAAATATTGGCTTGAATCCATCTTAAGTGGGACACCCTGTATTCTGGAAAAAATTAATAAAATATATTTTTTAACTTACCAATGCTACCTGCAATAGCAGAACCAACCATATTTTTTGAAATGTTTAAATCTACCATCGCTGAAGTATTCGTTTTTAACACCGTTTTTACAATATTGGCTGGAATCACAGCTTCACAAACCACAGATTTGCCTCTACCTATAATGCAAAATAAAACCATTTTATATTGTGGATAAAAGCACTTAAATCATTTGCACCTTCAATCCAATTTATAGCAGACGGTTTTTTATCAGTACAAACATTACCGCTCAGACTGAGAATATCCATTTCTGGGAACTGGTTCTGTAGAATTTTTAAACCTTGTTCAGTGCCTAAAAAATCATTTCATATGATTGGAATTTAGTTAATTGGAGTTGTCTTTGAAAAATTCTCTTTAAATTTATTTTTTGCAAAAATTAGCAACGCTTCTCTTTTACATTAACAGAAAACCATTCTAAGCATATTCTACCTTTAGATATCATGTTCATTCCCATAGCATCTCCCGTTTGAGCTATAAACCGTATAAAAAGATATCGCCCCGCGATATGTGTGGTCAATTTAGATAATTTAGCAAATCTGCTAGTAGAGTCGAAATTTTCCTTTATTTTTTCAAAGTTTTCCCGTTTCTTCAACCACATAACAGCCTCGCTAGCTCTAGTGATCGAATGGAAACGAACAACAGGTCCCCGAGTCATTCCATCGGCTACAATTCTTGATTTTATTCCCGTTCTTTCCAAAGCCCTGCATCCTGAAATTAAAAAATATATATATTTGTATTTTAAAATTTCCCGGCTACTAACCACTGATAATAAAAATATCTAATCATATAATATAAACATAATCAAAATTTAACATTAATTCATATAAACCTAGACAGTACAAACCAATAGGCTGTTCGGACCAGAACTATTCTGAAAGAAGAAGAATTTCAAGTGACAAGACTGACAAGTGACATTTATTTATCAAAATGGCCGTCGTTGCTGTAAGCGTGTTTTTAAAAACCAGTAAATTCGTTTGATCGGTGTATTTACATTATATATTTGCATCAAATTACTAAATTATTTAAGAATGACGACTTCCGAGCAAATTGGCTTAAATAAAACATGGGAGCTTTCACTGTACGAGCTGTACCGGACACCGCAAGAAGTAATCACCGACAACACGGAGATCGCGGTATCCCCTCGCAGTCTACACAGCGAATTGATGTGCCCCATTTGCCTGGACATGTTGAAAAAGACAATGACAACGAAGGAATGCCTGCACCGGTTTTGTTCGGAGTGCATAATCACTGCTTTACGATCGGGGAACAAGGAATGTCCGACGTGTCGGAAAAAATTAGTATCGAAGCGTTCCTTGAGGCCAGATCCAAACTTCGACCTTCTCATTTCAAAGATCTATCCCAGCAGAGATGAATACGAAGCGCACCAGGAAAAAGTTTTGGCCAAATTGAATAAGGTTCACTCGAGGGAGGCATTTGTACAGTCTATAAATGAAGGCATCAAACTACAGTCGCAAAACAGAGCTCCACGCGGTAGGAAACCCAATGAAACAGTCACCAGCGAAAACCAACCAGGAGAAAATACAGGCAACGTAAGTGGAGGAGGTGGAAATGAAAATACACCTACAAATCAAACGGCGAACAATAATAACTCGCAACAAACTACAAACAACGCTAATCAAAACGCGGGCAGAAGCACCAATCCAGGCAGTCCTGCGCCTTCCGGGCGGAGTACCCCTTCGCAGCCTCCAAGCCCTGTCTCTTCCAGTGTCAGCTCGATAAAACGGCGCCCCAAAAGCGCCATGACGTCGGAACGTAGCGAGGAAAGTGACTCGACAGCACAGACTGAACAGACAGATACTGACGGTGAGGGACCCTCTGAGCCTCATACTTTAAATGAAATTGAATTGGTTTTTAAACCACACCCTACAGAAATGTCTGGTGATAATCCATTGGTTAGGGCTTTACAGGAAAACTCTATACGTTACCTGAAAACCACGGCAAACGCCACTGTGGACCACCTACATAAGTACCTGGCGATGCGATTAACAATAGATTTGGATTCTCAGCTATCGGCCAGTCATAGTCTGTTAAATTTCTGTATCTATATATTACCCTCGTCAGGTCAGTATGTTCAGTTAAATGGTAATCAAACTTTGGGACAAGTGAACGACAAATATTGGAAGGAAAATAAACCCCTGGAGATGTACTATTCGTGGAAGAAGACCTAGGGATTGCGCCGGGGGTCAGATGTAAAACCCCCCATAGAGAATGAGTCAAAAAATGTATCTAAATAAAGAAACAATAATTGTCTTTGTTGCTATCAGGTAAACCATACAAAAAAGTGTTGTTTTGCAGATATATGTTAATTTAAAAGAGAAAATGTTTTATTAAAATGAATATTTTTTATGTAGGTATTAAATAAAATTTGGAGAAAAGTATCTAAATTACAGACTTTGTTGCTATGAGATAAACAATACTTTTCTTATAAAAAAATATTTATGAAGAATAATCAATTAAACTAGTGTTCCTTATCAATTTTTTTCTTTATTTCTCAAAAAGCTAATTATACAATACCTACTCGAAAACACTAATGAACGAACGGTGTATTTTTTATATAAATTCAAAGATTTTATATTTTTCCATGTACCTATTAATTGTAAATTCTTATAATTTTAAGAATAAATTTGTTTTGTGATTATTAACTGTCCATAATTATAGCTAGGTAAATAAAAACATTGAAAAACAAGGATCGTTTTTTTTAATTCATTTCTATTATTTTTTTTTTCAATTTTTATTATCTTATATTTTGTCTATGAATGTTGAACAAGGTTGCACTGCCTTTTTTTAGCAAAATTATTATTAGAACAAATCACAAGATCTAATAAAACAAAATAGTTGTATAATGACCGAATAAAACATTTGGTAATATTCTACATTGGAATAACTGTGAAATTTTCAAATACATAGGTATTTATCAATTTATTTTGAAGGTCACCGATGACACCACGGTTTTTGATTACATAATCATTCTCAGAAATAAATTAAAGATAAATTAGTCACACAAACTTATTTATAATCTTATTTCCCATAATTTGTTATTATAAAATGATGTAAGTGAATGATAAGGTGATGTAGTGTACCTACTGAACAAACATTTTTAAATTAAGCTCTAATACACTCTAAATAATAAATTTCTGTGTTCTACAAGAATCTGCAATGTAAAATTTTTTATCGTGAACCGTTTCAAAGTTATGGCACAGGTTATGGTGCTTTTAATAACAAAAATATTTTGTATACACTGCATAATTTATTAAAATACATAAAAAAAACTTACCCCTATTTGCACTAGCTACAAGACATCCTTCTGTGGTGGCCATAGGAATAAAATACTGCTTGTCATCCAGTAAGAGAGGTCCTGCAATCCCTAAGGGTACAGGCACATACCCTATAACATTCTCGCAGCAAGCACCCATAACTTTGCCATAATCGTATTGCCTGTAAGGTAAATTAACAAAAACACTTCTTTGTTTCATCTGATTGGATACTATTTTCCTGCGTATTTTAACACCTCTTTCCGGATTCTGCACAGCCTTTTCCAAATTATATGCAGGAATATGTTTGGTATCGACCAACATGATGATTTCTTTATCTGATAACTCTTTGGCACCGTTGTCTGTTCTGTAGATTTCTAGGCACTGTTGTAAACTTCTAGGTACATCTGTGTCTTTATCATTTATTGTGTCATCATACTCTAAATAATTCGTGAATAATTTTTGTTGCATGCATTCTGTTTGGGCCTCGGCATTTATAGAGGTTGTTCTGGCACGTTGTCTCTTCTGAATATCTTTTTCTATTCCCAACAACACGTCCTGTTCGAGCTGTTCTTTCAAGTGGTCTTTTGGTTCAAAAAACATAAACTTAATCATCAGAGTAACCAAAAGAATTAGTATAACTATATGGTCAGCGCTAAGAGTGAATTGTCTCATTACATACCCATAAAATGAAGTATCATCTGAGCAGTTCATTGGATCTTTAAGGTTGTTAATTGATTCTTTAAATTCGTCATTAACTGACCAACGGCTTTGCACATGTACAACCAGCAATCCAAAGGACATGATAAGTTTAACTCTTTGAACTGCTGGATTGGCTTTCTCATTTTCTTCTAGAAGCTTTTTCTGAATAATCTGTCGTTTTTCACCGTAAAAGTTTGATATTCTAGCCAATTCCAACATTAGGCTTAAACAAGCTGGATAGAATGTCATAAAGATCAGATAATTTACTATTGCTGACAGGCATGCAAAGTAGGAGAGCATCTCTAATCGCTCTACTCCTGAAAGTGTTCCTACACCAATAACTAAAGTTTCCACAATAGTGTCTAGTGTTAATGTAGGTCCTAAAATTGATACTCCCCTAGCAATTTGAGTGCTTATTTCATCCCTTGTGGATGCTGTCAGTGCAAATTGTGCAAGAATTGCTGCTTTGGACAGGTCAATCAGCAGTAGAAAGAAGAACAAGGCATCTTTAAGATCTACTAAATCGATGTGGAGGAAGTTCAGTAGGGTAGAAGTGAAAACAAAACTAGAAAACACAACAAATAATCCCGCAATACCCAAAATATATTTTGATCCTAAATTTTGCAGATTTCTGAATTGATGGTAACTGTAAAGTATGGCAAGACACCTTATGATAGTCATGACTACCATGTCAGCTGCATGGAACTGTTCTTCTAAGCAACCCACACAATGGGGCTGCTTTTTTGTCACTGGAGATACTTGCTTGTCTAATGTTAAAAAACATGTTGTAAGTGTTACAACGGCTACAATAACTTCCCAGGGATGCGTAGCACAGAATTCACCGTACAGACGAAAGATCTTGGACATGTTTTTCGCACTTCAATACCACATTAAAACAATTTTTCTTTCATGAACGCAAGTTCAGTTACCCTTAACCGAGTTTCTTGCTGTTTAACTTTCTACTTAGACACTGACAGATGAAATAATCGACCGAACTAATAGACTAATTATATAAAATAATTGTTTATTCAGAGAACGATTGTTTTTATGTAATTTTATTGGGATTTCTGAACTTTCCCCCTGACACTTTCACTTTACGCACATATTTTTGCGATTTCGACATATCAAAATTTTAAAGGGCGCCATAGATAAATATCCAAGAAAAAGACCACAGATTTGAGGTATACTCGAATTTCTTCTTTACAAATTAATGAATTTATTTCGTAATTTTTGCTAAATATGGAAGAATCGGTTAACAAGGCCTATAATAAGCTATTAGCCAAAGAAGAATTGATTTTTTTTGAACATTGACATTTTTGTATCTAATTTCCGTAAATTTTCTGACTTCTTTAAAAATGTTAATAATGTGCCGTTTTCGAAATTGATTAATTTGTCATGTTGACAAGTATCAACAATTCAAATTCTAGTGCTTAATTCATTATTCATACGCCACTATTTCATAACTCATAAGATTGGTTCAATATCCAATAAAAGACTACTACTTCTCCATTATGAATTAGAACAGTTCTATTTTACACATTCAGAATAATAGAGGAACATGGGCTCACTTTCCAAATACATGCTAGTTTGTTTTGAAGTGTTCAATGAATTATATACAGCGGTTGGAGCCGGCGTTCTTGGAATGGTGGTGTTGATTCAGCATGGCTTTCAATCACATCAAACTATCAAAAATCTTTCTGTAGTGGCCCTAACGGCGGCCAGTTTAGCGTTTGTTTTTAGCAGGGATAAGGAGCGTCTTTTGGCGAATAAGAAAAAGGTTGTGATTATAACAGGATGTGATTCAGGTAACACATCTATTTCTTGCACTGTTAATATGATTTTTAGTGTTTTTTAACTGAAAGGTTTGGGATATTCTCTGGCCCAACACACCGCCGATTGTGGCTTTACTGTGATCGCAACTTTCCTCAGTCTCGAATCAAAAGGATCTAAAGAAATCAAACGACTCTATGGAGGATACATTATACAGATTCAGCTGGATATTACTGATAGTAAAAGTGTTCAGTCTGCCTTACAGACTATGGAACATTATTTCACAAAGAATCCAGATTTTAGTAGGTAGTTTTCATTAATATTGTACAGGAATATATTTTAAAATTTCAGCACTTCATGCTCTTGTAAATAACGCTGGTGTTATGGTATTCGGGGAGTTTGAATGGCAAACAGAAAAACTCATACAAGACCAAATTGATGTTAATCTTCTTGGTACGATGAAGGTTACAAATGCATTTTGTCCATTGATTCGGCAGCACAAAGGTAGAATCATTACTGTGTCTAGTCACTGTGCTCAAGCTAACTTGCCTGGATTAGCTGTTTATGGGGCAACTAAAGCAGGCCTGAGTTCATGGAGTGACGGTCTTAGAGTTGAGCTGTCTAAGTATGGAGTGGATGTTGTTACTTTTATACCAGGTTATTACTTAATTATTTAATTTAAATTATTGAATGGTATAAAAATTTAATATTTCAAATACAAATTTATATTGTTAGGTTCATTTACTATGGATAGCAATATTATGGGGCATCAAATAGAACATGTCCAGGAGATGCATGACCATTTTACAAAAGAACAGCACCAGTTTTACAGTGACTATTTCAAGAGATATAACATTTATTTATCATATATAACACCACCAAAGGATATTAAAAAAATTTCTAATGAACAACTGTATAAAGTATTTGAGGGTGCTCTGTTAGATGACCCCCCTTCAACAGTATATAAGTATGAACCTTGGAGGTACAAGATGTACCATTACTTGTTCAGGTTTAGTCCAGTATTTATTCGAGATTATTTTGTGGTGAAATTTATGAAAATGCCTGAATACAGAGAAAATAATGGAAGTGAAGATGATTTTGAAGATTTGGGGGGTGAAAGTATATAAGTTTAGAGCTTATATACCTTGAAATGTAAATTAAACTTGTTATAACAACATATTTAAGTAATATTAGTTGATGTGTTTAGTATATTTTCAACAGACTATATATATACTAGAAATAAAGACAAATTTGAAAGATAAACTTACCCACAAAAAACTAATTATTTCACTAGCATTGCTTTATTTGTATTAAATTGAAAATTATAACATACAAAAATAAACTAAGTGTTTTCAGGGAACTTTGACCGTTACAGAGGTTCCTATTACAAAAACAGATCAGTCTCCCATCCGCCAACTTAACACAACCGTTTTTAAGTTTTACATTTTTATTATCAGTAGCCCCATGACAACCTCTTTTTGTAATTCTCTTATTGCGGCTGCCGCTTACTTCTATGAAGCAAAACGAATTCCTATGGGGTGGACAAATAAATAATCTGTCCACTTTATCATCCGGTTTCCAATAATAAAACACCTCGCTGTAGCAAAAAGGGATTGTATCCAAATATGTGGAGTTGCATTGGTAACAAACTAAGCTTTTGGTTCTTTGCAAATCTGGACTGAAAGGGGTATCGCTGTCTCTCGTCGGTTCATACGCCGTTACTGCGTCGAATAGCAAAAACATAAAAATGGGAAAGTAAATTTTTGAAAAATATGTTATAATTTTTGAATTTGAAATTGTAAACGTCTGTTAAAAAAATCTCGTTTTGTAATAATCTGTGGTAATCACAAAACATACCTAATTTTCAAACTCTTTGGTTTATCATATATAAAATGGTCTTATGTGACAGAGTTAACAACAAACAGGATTGGAGTTAGTTAGATAGTTAGACCCACGTTAGACCTCTACTAAATAGTCCTAGCAGCTTAGGCCTCTAAATAAATTAAAAAAGATGAAGAAACACCTCTAACCTATAAATTATAATAATTTTTCCATTTTTTAATTAAAATTTCTAATTATTTAATAATTTCATAATGTCTGCAGCTAGATTAAAAGCGGTTATGAAAAAAGGAGTCGGCGACAAAATTGTTCATGGGAAAATGAAAACTAACATACCTGCAGGCCTAGCAGCAGCAGGGCCTCCTTTGGGACCGATGTTGGGTCAAGTACTTTACATCTCTAATTTACGTTTTATTAATTTAGTAATAAGAATAAAATGATTGTAGAGAAGCGTAAATATAGCCGCATTTTGTAAAGATTTCAATGAGAAAACGAAAGATATTAAAGAAGGTATCCCACTGCCAACCAGGGTAACTGTAAGTGCGGATAAAAGTTATGAGTTAGTTATACACAAACCCCCTGTAGTATATTTCCTGAAACAGGCCGCTGGTATTCAAAGGGCCGCCATGGACCAAGGGAAAGGTAATTATGATTTATGATATGCTATGTTTGTTATGATAATGTATAATTTTTAGAGATTGCTGGCAAAGTAACATTTAAACACGTATATGAAATAGCCAAAATTAAAAGCGAAGACCCTACTTTACAATGCCAATCGTTACAGAATATATGCAATATGGTCATTGGTATAGCAAAGTAATTTTGTTTTAATATAATAGTCTTTTTTCAATCTAAAAACACTTTTTACAGATCTTGTGGGATCGAAGTAGTGAGACAATTAGATCCTAAAGAATATGGTGAGTTCCTTATAGAAAGAGCTGCAATAATAGAACAACAAAAGAAAGAGCTACAAGAGAAGAGAGAGGCAAAAATGTTAAGAGCAGCATAATTAGAAAATTTGTAATATTAGGTAGAAATAAAATATGTTAAGTTTTTCATGTGGTTTTATTTAAATTGCGACAGTTTTTTTCATTATTTTTTTGTCTTTTAGTTTCATCTTTTTGGTTCTTTTTTCTATATGTTTCTGTAACTTGTTATTTTTCTTCAGTTCTTCATACTTTTCCACTAAACTTTCTAATCGCTTCACAGCTAAAAATATATTTATCGAGTCATTTGCATTAAGAAACATTATTACAGAATGCTTACATTTCTTTTTATAAACTGGCTTTTCTCCATGTTTTAATTTTTCTCTAAGTTCTCTTTTATCATTTTCTTCTTTTTCTTTCTTTTTCCTGATCTTTTCATTTTCCCTTAGTTGATTTTCCTAGAAACATAAACTAATAATTTCTGAATATAATATGGGTTTAAAAAATATACAATTCTCTGTTTTAAGAGTTTTATAGTTTGTTTCCTTTCAGGATCCGTACACTCTCGATATTCTTTATCCAACTGATCCTTCTCCTTTTGCCTAATATCATTGATAAACTTGTAGTTTTGTTTAAATGATTTATTATCGAACTCGCCACACAACGTATCAAATCTTGGATCCCTCGGTACAAATTTCTTTGATTTTGGTGTTACTGAACTACCTAAAATGTAAAAAACTTTACCCCAAAAAATACTTACTTTAAACACTAACTTACTGTTATTTCCAATTAATTTGCCTACTCGCTTAGGCCTTATTTTTGAACTAATTTCTCTTGGCCTATTCTTATTTGATCTCTTAAATTCCTTCTGTGATTTATCTTTATTTGGTTTGCTCCCATAAACTGTTTCATTATATACCTTAGCGCCAAGTTTTTCTTTTAATTTGATTAATTCCTCGAAGCTGAGAGTGGAAAGATTATCCCGTATTTTTTGCTAAAAAAAGATTAAATGAAAATAGGGAAATATAGATAAATTCTAGATTTTACCCTTTCTATGTCTTCGTCGTTTAATTCCTTGTCCGAATTGTCATCAGTTTCTTCATTTGAACTGGAATAATTGTTTGTTTCTTCATCTTCTGACATCCTAAAACAATATAATCCAAGTTTTGCAGAAAAATCACAGTTTGCAAGCAAATATAATCACAGAACAGCAGAAAAAGTAGTCTCATAAGTGAGGTTATGAAAAACTTGAAAAAGTATATTTGGTTGCCTATAAATACATATCCAATTTAAAACTTGACCACAAAATTTGAAATTGTCTAGAAACAATGTTAATAACAATACAGTTGATACATTTTATTAAGAATAAAAATTATAAGCTGTTTTTTGACATTTTTATGATTTATTAATGTATGTATAAAACACTATTATTTGATCTGCTTTAATGTTTTAACTAAAATTCCGTCCTTTTGACCAATTTTCTTAAAACTAATAAATAAAGTCTAATATGCCATTTTTAGCATTTTTATTCTTTGTCGATCTTCAAACCAGTATTTCATAATCTGCTTTAAGTAAAGTTTCAATTGCGATTGGTACGTATAGAGGCACAGGACATGACAGCTAAAGCTAAAAGTCTTCTAATAGGAAAAAGCAAAGGGGAAAAGCGATAATTAGCAATAATGTCGCGTAGGCGAGTGTCGTAATTGAATGAATCACCTAACACAATCGCAGGTGCACAATAGGAAAACCGTATATGAGCAACTTTAGGGTTTAGCATTTCTATTCGATTTTTGCACGTGCGATGAGTGTATAACGACCATCATTCAGTCTCTGTAGGAAAATAAATAACCCCATTTATTTTATTAACAATAACAATATAACAACAAACGACAAATAAAATTTAATACAAGTTCTATTTCACTTTTTTTGTAAGCATATTAGTTTTTGTCATATTTTTTTAACGCTTCAAACATTAGGCTTTAGACTTTTTTAGGCAATTATTAGGCTTTCTTTATGGATACAATTGACTACCTCAAGCTGTTGCTAAGATATTCTATTAATATTAATTTATTTTTTTAGGCATTGCGAATGATCGGTTAGGTTTGATCGAAAAAAAACGGCGTCCAGTTGGATAGAAAATATCGATCTATGACATTTTCCATATACATTTACATATAAAATGACAGCGATCTTCATTTCATAGCCATCGCTGACGCCGTTTTCTTTCGATCATACCGTATAATTCAAATTACTAATTTCGAGATTTTGAATTAAGCTTTAATCCCCCTTAAAACCACAAACTAACACAGTCCGTAGTAAAACGTTGTGTCTAGTTTAGAGAGTTCTCTAGACGGTCTTCCGTTTTAACTGACCGTCAAAACGTAAGGTAAAACGTTATGTGTGGACCGGGCTTTAGATTTGAATGTTTAACGGACGATATTATAATTTTAAAATATAAAAAAATTAAAATATTAAAAAAATATGTATAACCTAATTATTTTATTTATAATATAATCAAGTTGTAACAATATTCGTGGGCACTGAATTTAAATAATTTTGCATAGTTTAACGTCCTGATTCTAGCGTTAACGTTAGTTTGAAAATATTTTTATGAACAAAAGCTAATAAATTTACATAAATTAGCAACAGTTATTTGTTAGATTGATACTGTAGCAAAAGAATATTTTGACTTTGACGTAGGTAGATTAAAATTACGGTTCATCGTGAGGTTAAATTAAAAAAAAAACAATTTAATAAAAAAATATACATCTGACGTTTATCATGAACTGATAGTTTGTGACGAAATTTTTAGGTAATCAATAGCCCCCCATACACCTAAAGATTTGGTCTGCGGATTTGGCCTGCGGACTTGGTCTGCGGATAAAAACCTTATATGTTTGTGTGACGTGTGACAGACTAAAAAATCTGTGACAGGCCAAATCCGCAGATCTGCTCTGTCAGATTAGATTCAAAAAACGAACGAAGGGTAAAGTGGGCGGACTTCTAACGCTCTTTTTTTCTAAGCGGCATTTTTTATTCCGATAAACATTTATATACAGGGTGGCACACCTCATTCGCCTCGGTTGATTATACGAAAACGGAAAGATGTAGAAACAATGTGCACAATTTAAAATTATTTTGAAATGTACAGGGTGTGTCAGAACTAAGATCCATACCAAAGTTATATTTTTTCTTATGGAACACCCGGTATTTTATTTCAATTTTGGATTCTTGGAAATAAAATAAGGAATTTATTATAAAGGTTCAATATGTTTAAAAGCTTTACTTTTTGAGATATTTAATGATATTTAAATAAGCAAAATAAGCATCCAATAATAAAAAAGTTTATCAACACCTTAAATTATTATTATTTTATTTAATTAATTTATTTTTTTAGTATTATTACTATTTTTTGTCAATAATATGGGTCAATTTTAATTTCAATTCTTTATTAATTGAATGCAGCAATGCTATATTAAATTAAATTAAAGAATTCATATTATAATCGATTAATATTAAATTCTTTAATTGTCATTGAACTTAAACATAAAAAAATCTTCAAATAATATAATATGTATTGATTTATGCACTATTGTTTTGCTCAATTCTCAATTCAACCAAATGCAAAGGGATGACTGTGACGAAGGGGTTGTTAACCCCGCCATAGTTATGAATAAAATGGTCTAAAATGGTCACTAAGGGCCTCTTTTTTGTCCAGCCAATTGTATAAGGAAAAAACGTAATATCGGGATCAGTGGCGCAACATAAAAGTGATAAAAATACTTAAAAAATAATATTTTGGAAAAGAAAAATATCTTATTGACAGCGACAATTGTCGCCTGTCAAAATATTTCCTGAAAAGGTTCTCCCTTGGGTTTTCCACACCAAGTTAGTTTTAAGATGGTTTTAAGTATGTCCAGAGACACTGGTATCACAGATTAGGTATACTAGTGGTACGAAAATTGTTTTTTATGACGATGTGCAAACGAGTAAAATTTCATGTGCGCAATAATAAACTCGCGTAAAATAACAATAAACAGCGTAATAGAGAGATATCGCTAAACCGAATAGCGTGCATGGACGTTAATAAGGCCAGGTGTTATTTCCTTTACGTGAGGTGGTATTAACTCTCTTCATTTATAGTTATCGGATCGGAAAGAATTCTGTTCGCGTCGCGTCCTATTTAAACTTAACCTAACTTTGAATTTAAAACTTTGAAATTATTTTGTTTACTAGATATTTTAAAACTAAAGGGCTAAAGTGCTTATTTCCAGTGCTTTATTGTTCAACGTCTGCCAGTGGGTTTAGGACAACAAGCAATAAATTCTCTTAGAAGGGCTAAGTCGTCATCTGCTGTAAACCTAAGCCTCTTTATAGGTTCTTTAATATTGGAAGAGGTGGAATCCATATTTTGGGCCATATTTATTTAATTAAAACTAATCCCAGCTACTTAAATATCAAATTACCTAATAAAACTAAAGTAACAATTCAAAACAATTCAAACATTACCTAAAATAAAAGACCCCGCCGCGCCGGTCGGCCCCGGTTGTCAAATACCCGCACATGCCCATTTAAGCAATTTTTAAACGTTATTTAGAAATAGCGCTTGGTGTAATTGATCCGCAAATTACGTCAGGCGGTAACGTTATTAGCGGGTGTTGCGTTAAAAATTGACTCGCGCATATGGTAACCATGATAAGGTACGCGTAAATACTGCATGACGCTATTCGGTTTTCCGATATCTCTCTAATAACTGTGCCGGTCAGGCGCTGTGCGCAATTTTAGAGGCCATAAGTGGGCGTGCTATGTGCGCAAACTAGTAACCTAACTATTGCCCGATTCCGAAAATTGGAACCACGAAAAACAATAAAGAAAAAACAAAGTTTATAATCTGTATAATCTGTGCTGGGGTGCAACTTTGTTCAAGTTAGCAACCGATCGTTTAGAAACGATGTCGAAACCAGATCGGTACTATGTTCATTGCAAAACTATTGTCGCTCAAATGCTGCGAAATATGGTATCACTATCACACTCTTGCACACGTGTCTAGACTGTCGCCTCGCCACAAAGCGAGAAATCAGAATATCGCGACGAATCGATGTTGCTACTGAACATAGTGCATCAAGCTACAAATTACTTTGCTATCGCTTTGAAACATGAACAAAGTTGCACCCCTGGTATGTCACAGAGTTAATTTGTTTTTACGGTTAGATTTCCAGGACATTTTTTCAAATTCCGGCTGGACCATCCTGGACATCTTAAAAACCCGGACATGTCCGGGTAAATCCGGACGTATGGAAAACCCTGCTTGTTCCGCCACTGGTTTAGTAATTCTAAAGAAACATAAACCTCCCAGTTTCACCAGCCTACTTACCTTTTTCTATTTACTTTTTTACTATCCGAAGATTTAAAGGGTCTTTTATAAATCCATAAACCAACTCAATACCAATTCACACATATCTACGGTACGAGTACGCGTGCCTATCGGTCAAGTAGGCCACGCCTGGCATACATTTCCTCAGTCCCTTGCATGCGTCATTTTTCAACGGTTCGAGTCGCTTTCGGCGTCGCGGAAAAAACAGCGTCGCGTAGCGTCGGTCCTCGATTGTTTATCAGTTCGATTTTCCGTGGGGATGGCGTGTATGACGCGTTCAAGTTGCGTTATTATGAATTCGAAATAAATTCAACGTTTTTATTTCTTGTCTTACTTTTATGTTGTTATAAAAAAAACATTGGCAAACATTGTTGTTAAATGAAGTGAAGGACGTATTTGTAAATAACTCTGTTGATTTTTTCACCATCTTAAAGGGAGTTGGATAAAAGTATATTTGTTAAAGGTAAGAATAATATTTTTTTGTATGTATGGTCTGTCCAGCAAAAAAATTTAACAGTGACAATCGTGTCATTTTAATTCAAAGTGCACAGTTTTTCTGTTAATTTTTTTATGTGGTCTGTTGATGTTATAAGTAGCGCGGATTTGTTGTATTTTCTGATTTTATGTCATTTTTTCTATGGAAACTGTTAAAATTGTCTTACATCTATCAAAAATAGTAGATAAAATAGTACTTTAACCGCAAGGGTAGATTAAATGATACTTTAACAGCGAGGATAGATTAAAAACTTTATTTCTTCTCGCACGTTTTTTAATTGCTTCCATTTTTGAAAATTTTTGTATTCCTTTTCATAAGTTATTCGGGATTTAAATGGAAGTAGTTTGGATATGGCGTTTGTCGCCTCATCCTGAATATCTGTTGGTAATTTACTTATTTCGTTTTGAGCCATTTCTGGTTTCAATTCAATCAGCAATCGACACGAAAAAGAATTAAAAAATATTGACTCAAAACTGACAACTAAAGAGACAACTTTATTTATTTGTCAAATTACATAGAAACCAACGCCAACCCGGCACACTATTTTTAATAATAATTTCTGAATATTTTTTAAAACGTAACTCGCTATGGGAAAAAAATATTGTTTTCACGACGATAAAATTACATTATCGTATCCCGAAAATTTATATAAAAAGTACCTTTAAATAAAAAGATTAGAATAAATAGAAGAATCAATCAAAACTCTTATATGGAACGCCATGGGGACCTAGTATGGCTGACTTAAATCCCGGTTATCAGTGGCGTTCTAATCTTATCTAAAACGTGAAAAATAAATATACGATAGACTCAATAACTTGTGGTTTTGTTTTATGTTATTAGTTATTAAAATTATTGTTAAAAATTGTATTTCAAACAATGGCGGCTCGTCAGGGTAGGCAAGGTAGGCCTACCGTAAAATTTTGGCAGAATTGAAGCGGTTTATTAAATTACATTATTTACTATTAATGTTGTCAATACATAAAAATACTGTTAATACACAGAAGTGTGTTGTAATAATCAATATTTTTTGTGCTCTTGTATATTAAAATATTTGCTACCGCTATACGCTGTCTGTCGTTGCGTTAGAAAACAAAGTAATTTTGACCGTTGGAATACCGCAACCGCCTTTGTTCGGCGATTTCTACATCGCCTACTATCAGAGTCTTCTGTCTCTGTCTAACTCATCGTGCGGTAGCGACGCTACGTAAGTCGGAGTTGTATCGAATTAAGGCGGGGCTTAGGCGAAATCTCCGGTCGCCTTCGCATGAAGTCGTGGAGGCTCGGTAGGCTTAGAAGTTAAGGGGATATACCCGATATTTCATAAGGGGATATATCACACTTCGTTAAGGGGATATTTCATATGATTCATTATACATAGCATTTAAAACTTTTGTATGAAAATTCAAAAAACGTTTAAAACAAATTGGAAATGTTATTCAAAATGATACAACTGGTTGTATTCCAGAACACGCCACAGAGATAAAAGAGTGCGTTATTTTATTCGGTACAAGAAGACGATACAGCAGATATTACAGAAAAGTCTCAGAGTGCTAATTCAATTCGATATGTTAATAAATGTTTGGTTTGGTTAGGTTAGGTTTATAATAGATATGATAATTTCGATTATAAAATAATTTAAGGAGAATAATCCTGGAAATATATCTATTTCCAGAGGCTTTCAAATTGTTTGTTTTGATTGTTACTACACCATTTACAAGTGTTTGGGTTGAGAGACATTTGTCATTTTTGAAATGCATTAAAATTTATAGTAGAGATTCCATGAAAAATAAACGTTTAATGCCACTTGCCTTACTTTCAATCTAAAAAGATCTTTTCACAGCTCTTCAACAATCTGATGATTTTACTGATATAATATTAATTAACTTTTCTTTATCAAGTTTATTTTTTTCTTTCTTTTTCTCAATACTACCAATTTTTTAAATTTGCGCAAATAACTAAAAATAAAATAAAATTCTATGATCTACTCCATAGTAATAGATAAAAAACATAGACTTGTATAAATCTATGTTTTTAGTCTAAAGTTAAGAGTAATATATGTCAATCATTATGTCATTACGTTGAATGCTGTCATTTTTGCTTTAGTTTTGTCCTAAATAGCCTACCCAGTCACACGGGTCACGAGTCGCCACTGATTTCTAATAAAAACAGATATAATATATATAAATGTAATTTTTTTAATATCAAAAATAGCAGATACGTTACTGAAACACCAAAACAGTGTTTTGGACAGTAATGTCCGAGATTTCAATGTTGAGGCTCGAATCTGGGACACCCTGTACTACCATGCATCATACACAATTTTAATTAATTAATTGTTTTCATTAACGTTGCCTATTAAAGAGGTTAAGTGAAACCGTCAATTTTGCGTTGTTTTTAGATGAGGTTCTTGCATAATTGAAGACCAGTTTGAAACGGAAAATCCACGCTTATTTTCTATTTTTGCTTGATAAAACACAAGAATCACGCAATTGTATTGATTACTTAGTTTGTTAGATCTATAGATAGGTATAGTCGATAGGTATATTTTAATATTTTTTATAAATTTATACAGGGTGTTTCATAAAATATGACCATTGAGTAATCACGATTCTGCTTAAATTGCTTGACGTTTAAAGCTGATTTTTGGCAAACGGATTGACTGTGGGGTGTAGAGGTTCAATAAAGAGGGGTTTCTCGAATCTCAAATTCCAAGAGGGTGAAAACGCCCCTCAAATATTACAATATTTGTTATTTAAAAAACGGTTAGTCTTTCGGGAAAACGCTTCGACAAGCATAATTTATTTGTTTTTTTTTACATATTTTGAATTTTTTTAAAAAATCATACAGTGTGTTCCAAAAAGTTGGGTAATTTCTTAACCACGATTCTGCTTAAACTGCTTGACGTAAAAAGCTTATTTTTGGCAAACGGATTTTTCGAAAGTCAAATTCTAACGAGATAAAACTACCTCCCAAATATTACCAAGTTATATAATAATATCGCGATATTGTTTTTTCTCATGCTAACATAAATGTGAGAAAATTTTATCCCGTTTGTATGTCAATGGAAATTCTTGCTTTGCTTTATCATCACCATTACAAATGATTAATTCGACGCGAACGAAGTCGCTGGTACACGCTAGTAGGATATAAAGACGAAAAACTTTTTTTTTTGGGGATATTTTCTTGTAGATTGTAGATCGGCGATCTTATATATTTATTGTGTCCTCTTTTTTTGTTATAACTCATCATGCAGTCTCAGGACTTTGAGAAAAGCCAGTAGCTGAGACGGTTTTGCAGAGGTTAGTTCTCCATCTCCGATATCAGTCGTATCTAGTGATATAAAATTACCGATAATTTATAAATCGGTAATGCATAGATAGATATATTATAAGTTTTTATTTATTCCAAAACATACTGCTCCTTAGGAGCGTGGGAACAATGTCAAAAAAACAATAGAATTACTTAAAACTACATGAAAATTCTTAAATTACCAATAATTTGAAAAATACTTATTACAATAATTACTTATATTACATACAACATTACTTATGTAACTTATACCGGGTGCGTCTCAAAAGTGGCTCACCCCTATAACTTTTTTATTTTTCCAGATAAAAAAAAACGAGATTTGGTATGTTAGTATATGACATAAATTAAGATTGATTGACCTTAGCGTAACTAGCAATTAATCCTGGGGGGCTGGTGATGAGCCCAGGGGGGGCCTAGGTCTTTTGTTTTTTAAAAAATGAAGAATAATTTACATGAATTTCTCTATCAGTAAATTTCTAGACTTGGTTATCAAACCGTGTTCCCGTAGATTACTTACATACCTACAAATTTTCTGAAAGAATAAAAATTAACACATTTTTTGAACACAACAAAATAATGTTAACTAAACAAAACTAAAAAACGTTATTTTTACTGCATCACAAGCAAATAAAAATTAATACGTAGCCAAGAGTCATAATTCAGGACTTCTCTGGGGGGTGCCCAGCAGCACCTGGGGTGGGGGGGGGGGCGGCACTCCTGTAGTTACGCCAATGCTTGCAACAAACATCTAATTTTCTTCTTTTCTAGTTATTGGACCAGAGCAAGTCATTTCCACCTGGACAAGATGAAAAATGATGACGTCGTCGGGTCCAGCGGTTTGCGTTGTACTACTTTACCTTGGTGTGTCCAGCGTTTTGGCCACGCCATCTGTCGGCAAAGAACTGAAGTACGAAGAGTACAATGTCGAACACGAGATATCCACCACGGAAGCTAGGAACAACGCTCTTAGTACCGATTTGAATGCCAGTAAGTAGATTGTTCAGGCACACTATAAGTGTGCAAGTAAAGAACTAAATAAGTGTGCAAGTAAAGAACTTATTGGTCATCTTAAGGCTCTCTTTGATGTCGTATGGGAAAGTGGAGAGTTTGTCTATGCTCAGGACTTTCACAACGCGAATATAGTGAATATACCGTATGATCGAAAAAAAATGGCGTCTAGTTGGCTGGGAAACGACGATCAATGACATTTCCCATATAAATTTACATGTAAAATGACATCAGCGATCTTCACTTCATAGCCATCGCTGACGCCGTTTTTTCTCGATCATACGGTATTTAAGAACAAAGGTAGTGTATCAGACTGCGGAAATTACCGGGGAATTTCACTATTGGCTATCGGCGGAAAAATTCTTGCAAAAATTATGTCAAACCGCCTGCACCCATATATAGAAAAAATCCTTCCAGAATCGCAAACGGATTTTCGTACCAACCGCGGCACCGTCGATTCCATATTTTCCATCCAGCCAACTACAGGAAAAAGTAAAAGAGCAGCAGTCTAAACTTTATGTTGCATTCATCGATCTAACAAAAGCCTTCGACTCTGTGAACAGAGATGCGCTTTGGGCAATTATGGAAAAGTTCGGAGTACCCAACAAATTTCTTACAGTGTGTAAAAGCCTCTATAACAACAACAAGTCAAGAGTGTCACATCATGGATCATTGAGCGACCCATTCCTAACAAATACATACAGGAGTTAGGCAGGGATGTGTCTTAGCGCCTCTCCTATTCAACATATTCATGGCAGCGCTCTCCATTATAGTGGACAGTGGACAGCAAACTGCAGGAGAGAGGACTGGGTATTAGATACAGATACGACGCGACGGCGCGGCCTGATACAAGTGTGTATCAGGATGATTTTTTTTTAAATGGAACACCCTGTTCCTTTGTTCCTTCGAAAAAACGAACTAAAAGTCAACATTCTTCGACCAAACCACCATCGATTATTAATTGATAATTGGATATAATTGGTTATTGATAATAAACCAGTTGTTCGTAAGTACTTAAAAAAATAATAATAAAAATAAAAATATCTTATTGTAATGACACACCCTGTATCAATATTTATCAAAATTAGAATTTAAGTGTCTTAGGTAAGGAGGATTAAATATAATTTATCAGATTTGAAATAAATACTGTCCTAAGGGTAGTTTACTCTTGACTCGAAAAATATCAAACCCCATTAAAACGTACGTCTATGAGGTATCGCATTTCTTACCCTGGGCAAAATGAACGTCTTATAGCCATACAGACTCCTGCCAAAAATGAAAAAGATCGCTCAACAAACAACCAAAATATTGGCTTGAATCCATCTTAAGTGGGACACCCTGTATATACTGTTAATTATTAGAGATGTAAATCATGAAAAGCCTTTTTATTATTGACAAATTTCTGTTTGCTATACCAATTTGAATTCGTTTCCCATAATATTTAGTCAGATATACATATAATATGTTTGTTATTTGTTAAGGTTTGCTTGTTTAGCTGAAGCAATGGACGTGGAAGTTTGCATTAATAATATAAATAACTTTCCTTATCGATTCGCTCATGAAAGGCTTATGCCGTTATGCTAAATATTTAATCTCTGAAAAAAAGAAACCTGTATACGGATATTGATAGGAACATAATACATAATATACAGGGTTATGTATTATGTATTGATAATTGTATGCAGTCAAAGATAGGAAGTGCTGAAAGTTCTGATTAACTCTTAATACTATACAGGGTGTCCCAGAAATAAGTGCAAGTATATTAAATGCTAATATATATACAACCATGCTTCTTATTAAATTGTCAATGTTGTCTTGGGGTATGTTTTCCCATTCTGCTAATGCTGCACCAATAAGCTGTGCAAAATTTCCTGGATTGTTTCGACGAGCTCTAACCCTTCTTTTGAGCTAGTCCCACAAGTGTTCGATAGAGTTTAGATCTGGTGAACATGCAGGCCAGTCCAAAATTATGACACCTTCCGTTTCAAGACATTCTCTAGTCACTCTGCTGGTATGGGGAGGTGCACTATCGTACAAGAAGTTAAAATTATCCCCAATTGCAGCTCTCCAAATACTAACGATTGGTTCTAGCACCAAATCAACATATCTCCGACCCGTTAAAGTTTGTTGAAGTGGTAAAAATGGATATGGTAATATAGTGGGACGCCAGAAGCATGCCCATAAGGTTTTTTTTCTGAAAAAAAATGTTAAAAATTTTATATTTTTCTTGGTATTTTCCGGAAAATATTGAAAAACTTTTGAGTGCCGCTTGGCCAGATTCCGGAAATATTTTTTTAGTTTTTCGAGAGAATGCAATGTTGCCACCTCCCCGTTATCCACAACTGTATGTTTATAAGTTATAAGATCACAAAAATTTACAAAAAAATACTGAAATTAATTTTATTTACCGTGGATTTTTTAATCTGAAACAATTAGAAATGTAGGGTAAGCCTGTAAAATACTTTTATTATTCAAACAGAAATATCAATTATTTTGGTGTTTATTCACAAAAACAAGAGTGTGAGATAGAAAAACAGAGGAGTTTTGGTTAGGTTGTAGACACCCTGTATACTCTAAGAGACTCGCTGAGAAAGTTACAGCAGACAGAATACAAAATACTGACCGACAAGTCGTTGTAATGTGTTAACTTGGTTTGTCCGTTTTATCGACGCAAAAAACGTACGGTAAGCCGTCGCGTGTGGACCACGCTTAAGCTAAAACGTTACGTGTAGACGAGGCTTAAAACCAATATTTACGGAGATTAGATATTGGCAAAACTGACGTGAAAACCCAGACATATACATGTTTAAACTGTTGATAAGATAAATTGGTTGTATTTATTCCTGTAAAATACCTCGCATTTATTTTTTTACTTTTTCAACCGATGGCAATAATTAAACTAGGCAATTTAAATAAATAATGGCCATTGTAAATGACAATTTTCTATTTTAGTTGCCATTGAGTGGATGTAATTGAGCCACATTTACCCGACTGTGAAATTGAACGATAAACAACATAAAAATTATTTAAAAAAATATGTTTTTATAAAATTTTTATAACCTGTCTCTACAGGATAACTGCAATCATAATTCATCGGCTTATTCAACGATTTTCAATTATGGTGTAGCCTCCCTCACATATACAGGGTGTTTCAAAAAACATGTGCCATCTCTCGTGGGAAGATTCCTCATGTAAAAAATAAGATTTATTTTTCATATCAACATATTATGGTCCAATAATTCTGCTTTGTTTCGTAGCTACAGTGTGTTAGAGTCTTAATATTTATTCGATTTATTTATAATTTTCTTCCAATTATTTTTAAAATTTCGAATGAAATTTTGATGGTAAAAAGTTACTATAGATGCGACATATTTTAAAGCTAAAAGAATGTCGACATATTCACCAGGGACGTGCATATGTGTTATCACTGAAATATTTTTCTAAAAAAAGCATGTACGCTACTGACTCTTTTGTCGATTTCGGCCTCCTTGTTGAGATAAACGCAATTTTATTAATTTGCCTTGATTCAAGTCTAATAAAATAGCAAAATAAAAACACTAAATCACCACAATACACCAAAACACTTTTACCAACCCTCCACCCTCCAACCCTCAACTGTAATCAAGTCTAATAGCAACCTTTAAAAAATTGTAATATCATTAACTTGCGAAAGCTTTAAATAATTACCCATCGATTCCTCATCAAAAAATATTCCAAAAAAATGATCCAGTAAAATTGTATCGCCGTATAGAGAGTGAAAATAAAAAAATTACGGGCAAGCTGATTTTTTCACAGTTTGTCAGCGACTGTCTTCTGAGTGTAAAATTAACAAAATCGGAAATTTTTCCCTTGCGGTTTTTGAGCAATAGAGGTGGTTTTTTAAAACTGTACTAGAACAAAATAATTAGACGCAAATTGTACATGAGAACATTCTCTATAAGTTTGCCTAATGATTTTTTTTTATGTTTATTATTTCCGGACTTAGCGGCCGTTTCATGAGCCCTTTGGGGTGGTTTTCAAAAAGTTTGTACCAAAGTTTTTGTTTGTAAAATTTCCGATTTTGTTAATTTTACACTCAGAAGACAATCGCTGGCAAACTCTGAAAAAATCAGCTTGTCCGTAATTTTTTTATTTTCAAATGACAATTTTATTGGACTAAAAAGTCAGTGGCGCACATGTTTTTTTTAATAATTTCCCAGTGATAACCCATATGCACGTTCCTGATAAATTTATCGACACTTTTTTAGCATAAAAATATGTAGCAATTATAGGAACTTTTACCCTCAAAATTTCATTCAAATCACTAAAAGTACTTTTGAATTTGAATTGAGTTTTTGCGGATTTATTTTTTTTTTAGTTTATTTGAGAATTGCTTTTATGCAATGTGAACAAATTTGAAAAGTATCTTGTGTAACCCTTACTGCTACCAACTACCACAGAATTCTTTTGATTTTGACTGTATTAATGTAAATAAATGCATATCAATATTATTTGAATCTATGCTACTTTTATTCTTCTTCAAATCCACCTATATTTTTATTACACCATTTATCATATTTCAAGGTTAAAATGGTGCTTTTCTTTATTATTTTCTATATTAAGAGCGAATTCAATCAGTTTCAGTTCATTGATTCGATGGAAAATAAAATTTTTAACCGCAGAGTGTATCACAGCAAAAACTTCCTTAGTTTTTTTTCTAGTGATTCTTTTGTTGTTGACTGCTAGCGTTATTGGTAATTGTTGTTATATTTTACACGTCAACAACTTTGATAGATATTTTCTTTGGCAATATACATAGGCAGGCAATTTAAAATTTGTACTTGAATGGTTTTTTCAGATCCAATGTTTACTATAAAACTGCACATGCATAATTAAGTAGTTGTTTGCGGAGCTTATGAGAAAATAAAAATAAATAAGATGTTTTGTTGTTAAATGAAGTTTTTTTTTAATTGTGTCTGAGCATATTTAGTTGCTTTATTAATCATTTGTTCGAAATATTTTAAATATTTTTTTTAACTTAACAAATTTTAATTTGGTCTAACATACAATGATTATTTTAGTTATATATAAGGCTATACAGGGTAAATTACAATTTAGGTAGCTGTTATTAAAATTTAAAAGTTATTCTTAATTTTCACAAAATGTGAAATATGTCAAAATACTTATATTTTAGGTATATGCTCCTTTAATGAAACTAACTTTTAGTTTTTTTTAGAATCCGAAAACCGATTAATATATTATAGGGATTACAATATAGCCATTACAAAAAAACAACTTTGATGTGTAACTTTTTTGGGGGACACCTTGTAGAACCCTATATATTTTTATAAAATGTTTTCAGTTAACCTATATAGACTTCCAAAATTTCATTTAGTTATAAACTACTGTTTTCCTTGGAGCATCCGATGCGTATGAGAGGCGCCACCCTGTATATTCCTGGGATTATATTCCACTCAGGTTATAATTATTATTTATATCGACGGTAAATCTGCATTTTACACCAACAACAATGTGTCTTTATCTAAATATTAAATATAAATATAAACTAAATACCAAAACTTCAAATTTTTACGTTGAAATTTTAATGAATAATGTTACTGAAATACGCAAAATCCCGTCCAAATATTTGGGATAACACTTGACCAAGCTAATACAAACAGGAATGGGTTTATTTACCTTTAAAAACCACTTTAGATCAATTTGTAAAACGAAAATAAACATTTTACATCGCACTTATTCGATTAGCAGAAATTTGAATCACTTCATCGGTAATTTCTACATGTTAATTTATGAAATGAATGTAGGAATGATCGAAAAAAAACACGGCGTCAGCGATACCTATGAAATGAAGATGGCTGTTATTTTATATGTAAAAATATATAAGGGAATATTATTGATGTTCATTTCCAAGCCAACTGGACGCCGTTTTTTTTTCGATCATACGGTACTTTATTTAATTTGAAATGTGCGGTGAACAGGCAGTTAGTTCTAAAAAGTTTTCGAAAAATATTCAGGGAAATTTAAAAGAAAATGCACGATTTTCAACATCTTTTTTTGTGAAAAAACATCATAGACGTGTTCCTGGGGTCGAAATTAACCACCCCTGAAAATATTTGCACTTATTTAAGACTCACCCTGTATAAGAGGAACCAAAAAAAAATTATCCAATTTCAGATACCGAATATTCTAGGGTTCTAATAACTTATTTTTTTATTCCAGTAATTGTACCAGCCGGTTGTCAGGAATGTACCAAAGAAGAAATACAATATTGTGGTTCAAATTTAATTAGTGATCATTGTTGCTGTGACAAACGATTTCATGGTAAGTTTGTGTAATTTTTTGAGAAGTTCAAGTAAAACGGACCATTTTTTTACACACAAGGTTTTGCTTGATACGTCTTGACTGAACATGTAAGACTGACCGGTAAAATATTATGTGTAGACGTAGCTTTACAGGCAAACATTTTATTCTTTTATAGGATAGCTGTAATTATTGGTGATAAATATAATGAATGTGAAAGTAAAAATAATGCCAACGTATTTTTTAACAAAAATACATAATTCATTAAGGTAAAAAGGCAAATTCCAATTAGATCAATCAATTTCTGTCATACCATATCAAAAGTCGTTTCAAGGTCTAGCAATGCCTTTTTCCTCGAACATACGGTATTTGTTTTTGCCCATCGATCGATGATTCTATTAGTTCTGTTTGATATGCGATATGTACGACGTTCGCCTAGCCATTTCCTCGAAGTAACTGCTAGCTACCACCGGCACTGATTGAATTAATTTTATGCGAAACACGTCAATGTTAAAAAAAAAGGTTTATCGCATTCTTTGTGCGACAGTTTGCGTAATTTTACTCGTTGTAATCGTTCCGAACTATTATATGGTTCATTTCCTTTCGGCAGATTATTTATTAATAATTTTGAACCTTTTTTTTCTCACATTGGTCATCGAAGTTAAGGAAATACCGGACACAAGTGACCTCTTAAATTCGAACAAAATCCGGACGTCACAAAAAAGAAACTATACATTTATTTATGAACTTTTATAGGGCGCAAATAATAGCCTCGGAATCAACAAAATACTTACTTATAAATAAAAAAAAAAATTCACTTTCCAGGAGTGCACCAAAAGCGAAAAATTTGAGCGCCAAAGTATAGAAATGGGTACTTTCGAACATGCGTCGGTTAAGTAAGGCTGTAGCCAGGCCCGTTCCTGGGGTATCTGGCGCCTACGTGCAGCATTCTTTGGTGCGCCCCTTTTTATTTAATCAATTATATATTTTAATCTTAATCTCAAAAATTTAAAGAATTTATATTCTGCGACAAACGAGCAATATGTAATTGGAAATGTAAAAAAAACTATTCTAATTAAAGTATAAAACATTTATTAAATAACGAAAACAAACAAAACCACAAAAATATTTAGTAACAAAAATAGTACCCAAAAGAAAAAAACTGACCCATTTTATATGAAATACATAAAAACAATAAACTAAAAATCGGAAATAATATACATGTACTGATTTCTTTCGAAAATCGACAACTATGAAACTATGAACCATTCCCGGACACAAACGGTACATTGTGAGACAGGAAATTGTAGAGAGAAACAAGCCCTATAACATAGGATACAACATTTTAATGAACAGTGCTTTCCATAATCAATAAAATCAATAAAATGAAAAATATACGAAATAATATACATGCACTGATTTATTTCGAATATCGACAACTATGAAACTATGAACCCTTCCCGGACACAAACGGTACATTGTGAGACAGGAAATTGTAGAGCGAAACAAGCCCTATAACATAGGATACAACATTTTAATGAACAGTGCTTTCCATAAAATCAATAAAATGAAAAATATACGAAATAATATACATGTACTGATTTCTTTCGAAAGTCGACAACTATAAAACTATGATCCCGTCCCCGACACAAATGGTACATTGTGAGACAGGAAATTGTAGAGCGAAACAAGCCCTATAACATAGGATAGAACATTTTAATGAACAGTGCTTTCCATAAAATCAATAAAATGAAAAATATACGAAATAATATACATGCACTGATTTCTTTCGAAAATCGACAACTATGAAACTATGATCCCTTCCCCGACACAAACGGTACATTGTGAGACAGGAAATTGTAGAGAGAAACAAGCCCTATAACATAGGATACAACATTTTAATGAACAGTGCTTTCCATAAAATGAATAAAATGAAAAATAAATAGATGAGATTTTGATGAGATCAATATGTTGCCGGCAGATTGCCCTAGACTTGTTTATTCGGTGGGGCCAACCCAAAAAAGACGCTAAGCAAACTTTATCCTATGATGTATGTTTAAGTATTTGTTTATTAACAAGAAAGCGTATCGGTTTTTTGTTACAAAGTACTGATTGACACTTTTTGCGATTTTACGCCCCCAAAATGTTGCGCCTACGTGCGTGCACGCTCGCCAGGAACGGCCCGGGCTGTAGCATCGTAGAAACTAAAATATTCAACAAAGTAACTGAGAAATTAATTCAAATACTCTGTAAACTGGTGTAAAATATTTTACTAAGTTAAATTGTTTTTGCGGTCAGGTTTGCACCGCGGCTTTATAGATCTATTGTGCCCCCCTTTCTTGAGTTATCTTTCTTGAGTTTCCAAACCAAACCAAACTCATCATACCAGTCTCGGGGATTTGACAAAAGTCAGTATCTGAGACGGTTTTACAGAGGTTAGTCTCTTACCTAGATCTCCATTGCTGCTGTTTGGACGGGTGACCGTCTGAAAATTCATGTCTTGTGCGAAGGAAAAAAAATAAATCTTATTGAGAATAAGAGTCAACTAAATGCCAGCTGATGCCAGAGGTTCTCAAAATGTAAACATTGTTTTTGTAAAATTTTGAAACTTAAACAACTTAAAAGCCAACCCCTTATAAAAATAGAAGATATATTAGTAATAATTACTTTTGATTCAGCAGATTCAAATTCTCTTTCAAACTATATTAGGCTCCGTATACCTATCTAGCTCAGATTTTGAATAAAGAGCAATTTTTCAATAAAATGGCAATCAAGGGGGGTAGTGTTATCATGGCAAGTTTCTAGTGACAGTTTGTAGCTACTTTAAAAATCGAAGTTAGTTTATGGACATATTTAAATTTATACCAGTTTACTTTTATTTCATTTACCTACAATAATTTAACAAATAATATTTATTAAATATGTATTTAATATTCTATCAAGAAAAACGAAGAAGTAGTTATTTGATTTATTTTACAATGACTTGTAGATATATGGATTTTCTATAAAATAGCCAATTATGGCAAATTCATTTTCTTCACTTCGAAGGACAGGTTTCTGGGTAATAGGTTTTTTATAAACAATACTACCAGCTCTAAGAAATAGGACAAGTAGTTTTTCAAAGGAACGCTTATCAGGAAGATCTCTTTTTGGATATCTTTGAGCATAAGCCCTTGAGGTCCAGAAGCAATTTTCTTCACAAAACAAATCCATTCCATTCGTTCCGTCAGCAGATACTGCTTTATCTTTCTTGATAAAATAATGAATATTTACTTATTAAACTATTGTGGGTAAATTTAAGTAAATTGTTATACATCTAAATAATAATGTCCATAAACTAATGTAGATTTTGAAAATAGTTACTAACTGTCACTAGAAAATTGCCATGGCGCACCATCCATCTTGATTGTCATTTTAATTAAAAATCGCTTTTTATTCAAAATCTGAGCTAGGTATAGGAAACACTAATATAGTTTATAAGAGCATTTAAATCTACATCGATTTATTAAAAATATATAAAAAAATACAGTAGGTTGCATTTGAAATAACGAAGTTTTTATATAAAATAAATCCTTAAAATAGATCAGAAATTTTTGGCATCCCTGTATAAAATTAAGGAAGCAATAACATTTTTCAGTAAAGTTTATTTCTCTACATTTAAACTTAGCACAAAAATTAATTCTGAAAAGTAATGTACAGGGTGTTAATCGTCTATTCTATTGTAGCATGCATATTTAAATATCAAAATCCAAAGATTTTAAACATATTTAACCTATAATATAATAAATGCCTTTTTTGGGTACAAGAACCCAAAAATGAAATAAAATACCGGCTGTTCCATAAGAAAAAATACAACTTTGGTATGGATCTTAGTTCTGAAACACCCTGTATATCCTAAAATAATTTTAAATTGTGCTTATCGCTTCCTCACATATACGCATAAAATATTTTATTTCTATATCTTCCCGTTATTGAAGACCAAAATCAGCGTGTTTAATTCAGTATTCGTACCAATATTAACATTCGGTAGTGAGAGTTGGGTTCTCACCAAGAGACAAGAAAGCTTAATACAAGCAGTAGAAATGAAATACCTACGAAAAGTGCTAGGGGTTACGAGGATGAATAAACTACGTAATTCCCATATTAGAGAGCAGCTGAAAGTCCAGCCAGTACTAACAACTATCGAAAACTGCCAGTTGAGGTGGTACGGACATTTGAAAAGACTCAACAAAGAGAGACCAGTAAGAAGAGTATGGGAGGCAAAAAGGCAAGAAAAAAGGAAAAAGGGTAGACCTGCAACTACTTGGGATCAAAATGTTGCAAAATTACTTAAAACTAGAGGGATCGGCTGCGCCGAAGCAGCAAGCATGGCCCTGGACAAGAAGAAGTGGCAAAATTTTATTTATGAAAAGTAGCTACTAGAAGCCTACACCTTCGGGTAGAACCCTTCGATTATATATATATATATATATATATATATATATATATATATATATATATATATATATATATATATATATATATATATATATATATATATATATATATATATATATATATATATATATATATATATATATATATATATATATATATATATATATATATATATATATATAAATAAATAATATTTTCTGGCCTTTAGCTGTGTATTTTTTCTAATTTCGAAAAATCGAAAGTAGAGAAAAAATTAAAAAAAAAATAAAAAGTAAAAAGAAAATTGTTTTGCTTGTCGTAAAGGGGGGAACCAAGCTCCACTCCCACAAGCGGTTTCTGGGCCTACCCTTCATCAGGTGGGCTGTTCTTTTTACTTTTTATTTTTTCTCTACTTTCGATTTTTCGAAATTAGAAAAAATACACAGCTAAAGGCAAGAAAATATTATTTATTAATATACACTAAAGCTGTAAGAATTTTGTTCATTTATATATATATATATATATATATATATATATATATATATATATATATATATATATATATATATATATATATATATATGTATATATATCTTCCCGTTATCGTATAATCGACCGAGGCGAATGAGGTGCGCCACCCTGTATACTGGACCTAACTACCCGAAGTAGAAAGTGTCTTTTTATATAAGTTTTTTTAGCGTAACTCGTGACAATGTCTAAATTGCTTAATTATAGTGACTAATTCCGTTAGATTAGATCAAATGTTTTAATTGTCGCACATATACAAGCGCATAAACACCGAGAACATGACAATACGCTTAGGCGGCTTAATTGCGAATAGACGTCGTGAAAAATTATAAAAATTACGCGACGAGGGGGGGGGGACCAATCAAGAAAGTCAGATAATTGAGGTTAATAAGGTATGTTTTTAGGAGCCTTTTTTAGAGAAAAACGGGTATGACTGTATTGACTGTACAGGGTGCTACAAATTCGAGGTACGAACATTGGTATCTCGAAAAATCTTTCAGTTGGCTCGATTTTCCTTATTCAATGTTAATTAGCAGTGATCAATATTGATGCGATGAATATAATCAGATTAAATAATTTAAAAAACCAGAGTCGGACTTGAAATTATTCAAAATAATAATTAAATAGTTTTGTTGTTGTTGAGGTACCCAAAACAAAAAATATCAAGTGGGACATACCATTGTACTCAGGAGCCCGAGTTCTTTCAAAATCTGAAATAAAAAATGCAGGTCCGTATTTAAAAAAATTAAGTTGGCCTCTGTATCTCACAAATTATCAGCTAATTTGAAGATCTAAAAATACTGTTAGATAGCCCTAATAAAGTGGCTATGAGAATGTGCAATTAGTTTTTTGATTTTCTAAAAAGTAACGACAGGAAAAAATAAAATTGATTTTCAAAAAAATCAGTTTTTTTCAAGAAACTCAGCAATCCTTGAAATTTCTAAAACTTTTTTGATGGCATCTTTGTGAACATCCCAAAGCGGCAACTTTGCCCCAATTTAACCATGTTCGTATCTATTCCATTACGGTTACCGAGATACCAATGCTCGTACCTCGAATTTGTAGCACCCTGTATATAATACGACAATTTGAATTATGTCTATATTATATTTATTTTTTAATAATTTTATAGGTATTGTATTAATTTGTATGTAAAACTATTTGTCACCTTATAAGGATTTTTTTTTATTTTATAAAATTTATTTAAAAACAACGAACTGTGACAACCATGTGAGGCTTCAAGTATTCACTATAATTATTTTTTTAAGTATTTTTTAGTTGAATGCCCTACATATTGTACGGAGTTTAAACGCAACTGGTTGTAACTATAACTTGAAATATTTAAATTTGTATTTAAATGAAAGTCTAAATAACTTTTAATAAACCATTTGCTTAATAACCATGTATGTTTAGTACAAAACTATCTTAGAGTAACGCTTTATTCTTTATCACAAGTGGATAAATTGTATTTTATACTCGTTTTTTTTTGTTTGTTTTAGAATATTTGCCATATATCCCCCACACGTGCTACATTGGCACCCAACTTTGCACCCCAGTAGCCACAGATTGTAACGAATACACCAGACTAAGGATATGTTGCTGTGATAAATACTTATTACAAAAATGTAAGTATTTCCTACAAGATCAAGACATTTTTCTCTACTAGGACTCTAATAAACATTAACTCTATTAGCCACACTAAGTTCACTTAATTGTCAGATTTTTATGTAATGTAATATCTGTATAACCCTCGTTTATTGTTTTCCCATTTTTTAATTATTGTTTCTATTACAGGGAGGCACAAATATGGAGCTAGTACAGCTCCCTCTACAAGCACCAAAAATATTTTAGTTATATTACCAATATTATTAAGTGTTGTACATATTTTTGTATATTTACTATAAAAAATACATCACCTATGGCTTTAAAGCATTTGCCGTGCTATAAATTGTATAAATTTAACTTTAAAATACCGAGTGTTCATTAAAATTTTACTCTAAATTCGTTTCAAAATGTTTCTTTCACAAATTTCATTTAAATTTTAATAATTACTGAACTAAAAATCATTTAAAAAAATAATTATAATATCATTTTCACTCATGTTTCTTAAATTGCATATATAACAAAGATCTTTATTAAAAAAATGATAAGATTTTTATGAACACTATTCTATATTATGGCTTTAATATGCTATATAAAACAGCGTGTTTTATTTTTATTTCTCGACTTAATAGATCTAACAGAACATTCTTCTTATGTGATAATTTTGGCATTACGATTATACCCTACATATAAAAATAAAAGTTAGTATATAAAATAATTCTGTATATTTCAATAAGCAGATGCAAATATATTTTTTCTAAAGTAAATACAATAGTTACTTCACTGTAGATGTACAACTATCATTTTTCAGTTTTGTTGTAATACATGTATAATCAAAAAGTATTATTATTACTTAATTTTATATTTATATGCACACAGACTACATAAATAAATTTTGATACATACATTTTTTTTTGAATGATCAAACAAAACTATGTAATTATATTTAAAATTGCAACAGATATATAGAGTATGATCGAAAAAAATACGTCAAGGTTGCTTGGAACTGAAGATCGATGATATTCATCAAATAATTTTGCATTTAAAATGACAACCATCTTCATTTCCAAGCTAACTCTGACGGCGTTTTTTTTTCGATCGACTGGAATATGTATACTTTTTACGTAATTATTTAATTTAAACTTGCTAGTAATTTATTGTTTGACTATTAATTATTGTAAAGTTGATTTTATGTTAAAATAAATTTTGGAAAAACTGATTTAATATTTTTTTGTCCTTTAATAGATGCACAAATTTATATAATTTAAACATCGCACATAATTTTTGTCTTAGTTTAATAAAAAAATAGCGTCATAACGTCCAAGCAGAGATTTTTTTGTCACATCATTATTCGTTTATAGATATCTAGTTTTAATTCTGTAATAATTAAAATATTATGTTTTTAACGTGTATATTTTTATTAACGTTGAGTATTTTACTCTACATCAGTTATTTTTTGCTAAATTAACTAAAGGTATATCATAGCCACCTAGATTTTATCAAATAATAAAGATCTACTGTAAAATGACGCAAAATCATAAAAATGAAAATATCTAGGAAAATTTTTGTCTGAGATGTACCTATTTTAAAGATATATGAATTCTCCATATCTAATATACTGGGCGTTCCATTTAAATAAAGGAGTAGTTTGCTTTTAAAAGGGACCAATGTTCAATATTAATTTTGTCTCACCCTGTATAACTTTTCGGGTCAAATTTTAGTTTGGTTTAACATACAATGGTTATTATAATTAAATATCAGGCTATATAGGGTAAATTACAATTAAGATTGAAATTTAAAATTTATTCTTTATTTTCATAAAATGTGAAATACACACACCGGAAAAGTCTAGGGATATTACAATTTTATCCAGCCATCGTCAGTAATTTTATTATTTGCATTTCTGATATAATAAAATTAAAATAAACAAATAGTTTACAGGACGTATTGGAAATAAAAATGCAAAATTTACCGAATTTTTCAAATTTACCTTGATTTTTATTGAACTCAAAAAAATACACTCATTTTTTTTTATTCTAAACTGTGAATTAAAAAAAAAGATAAAACCATTTTTACTTAATAAAGGGTATGGCCTCCTCTACTCGTCATTACAGCTCTACATCGTCTCTCCATGCTCCTGATCAGGTTGTCGATCTCTTCTTGAGGTACAGCCTGCCACGCTGCATTCACGGCCCGAACCAGATCTCTACGAGTTTCACGAGGCATATCCATTCTCAAAATTCTTCTTTGGACCGCATCCCATACGTGCTCGATGGGGTTGAGGTCAGGAGATTGTGCCGGCCAGGGTAAGATGTTTAATTGATGAGCATTGATAAACTCACTTACCACTCTGGCTGTATGAGGCCGTGCATTGTCATGCATGAGAATGAAGTTTCTCCCAAAATCATTGGCATATGGTAACACGACAAGCTCAAGAATTAAATCACGATATGTGATTCCTGTTAGAAACCTTTCAAGAAAAACGAGATCGGTTTTTCGGCCTAACTGGACTCCTCCCCAGACCATAACTGTTCCACCTTCAGAAGGGTGCACTTCCTGAACGTGATCCAACCGAATAAGATTTCCCGGTTCTCTCCATACCCTAAGCCTTCTCAAATCCGGATGAATTTCAAAGCGTGACTCATCCGTGAAGAGAACATTGGCCCATTGTTCATTCGACCACTGAACATGATCTTGAGCCCACAAATATCGTACCTCTCGATTTCCTCTCGTTAAGGGTTGAGCTCTCCAGGGGCGTCTGCTTCTTAAGTTGACCTCTCTTAATCTATTGCGAACAGTGTCAGGACTAACGGTTACATTATCTGTTTCCTGGAGAATTAAACTAAGCTCTGGTGCTGTAAGAGTCGGTCGGCGTCGAGCATTTAATTGTAAAAAATGATCTTGCTGAGGGGTAGTAATGCAATGTCACCCTGTGTGCTTTTCAGCAACATCACCACTTTCACGGTAGCGTGCACTTAATCGCGATATCACACTTTGCGTTGTATTTAATGCTCTATCTACGTCGATTTGGCGCATTCCAGCTTCGAGCATCCCATGGCCCCTAACATTTCGTCTCTGTTAAGATGTCTACGCTCCATAATGTCGTTTATTACTAAACAGAGTTATTTGAATGAATTCTGACCAGTTATCATAAAAACATAGCCAGTACAGGTTAAATTCGAACAATTGATGCTAGGTGCATTTTATACATTTGACAAAAAATGCACAAACACTTCTGCAAATATCCCAAATTTAGAAATAACTAGTATGACTACTTCGTTTCAATCGAAGTAGAAAGAATCGGCCTACAAATATGTGGCTGTTTATTCAAAAAAAATTTTTTAACTTAGCTTTTTAACTTTAATAAAATGATATCCCTAGATTTTTCCGGTGTGATGTCAAAATCCTTACATTTTAGGTATATGCTTCTTTAATGAAACGTATCTTTATTTTTTTCCTAGAAATACATAAATTAATATATAGAGTGTTCCGTTACAAAAAATCCAACTTTGATGCGTAACTTTTTTTGAGGACACTCTGTAGAACTCTATATATTTTTATAAAATGCTTTCAATTAACCTACATATGCTCGAAAAATTTCATTTCGATATAAGCCACCGTTTTCCTTGGAGCCTCCGAGTCGTATATGAGATGCGCCATCTTGTATTTTAGAGACCATCTATAATTACTTATTTCTCTAAGAACTGTGCTAAAGCTCTCTATTAAATTGGCCAGGTCTGTAAATCAATGCTCCTGTCACGCTTTGGTAAACTAATCCATTTATTTTTTCGATATCGAAATAAGAAAAAGATAGGAAAAGAATCATTAAAAATGGCAGAAAAGAAGAAAAATAATGAAAAACGACGATCAATATATAATCGATTGTAACGTTTCGGTCAAGTCGGCCGGGATGTACAGTTAGGCCAAGATGAGATGCGAATTCTTCAAGACGGATTTAAGGTTGTGGCATGAACGGGAGCGGCGATTTGAAGAAGAACCATAGCGAAGAACCGAAGATATTACTGGTTAAGTTTTAAGAAAACTATTTTTAAAGAAAACAGTTTTTTTTAATTCATAAAAATGGAAAAATGGTTGATGGTAGTGTGTATAGTGGTAGTGGGAATATGTTCTGATGTCACAGAATCTACGAGTGAGTATATTTATATTTTTCTCGTATACCGGGTGCGTCTCAAAAGTGGCTCACCCCTATAACTTTTTTATTTTTTGAGAAAAAAAACGAGATTTGGTATGTTAGTATATGACATAAATTAGGATTGATTCACGATGGATCCACGTATTCAATTGTTTTCGATCATTTCCTGTTTCGACACAATGAAATAACTAGAACTTTTGATTATTAAATGGCACCCTCGGTATTTTTTTACTTTATTCGATAAAAAATAACACTCTGAATAGAATGACATATCATATGTCAACTTTTGACATTTTCTATATGGTTTATTCGAAATTAATAATTTGCGGTTCGTAACGAAAATTTGACTCGAAATACCGTAAGTGTGCGGTATCAAATTATTTGTAAAAAAATGTTTTTTCCAAATATGCTGAGCCACCCTCGTTCCATTTGAAAAAAAATGAGATATGATTAAAAATACGATTTGAGCATTTTCTAACTGGTCAGGAAAAAACATTAGGACACTAAAACATTAGACGATCAAATCTATTTTTCCAAGACTCCTTGATTAAGAATTAGTGTGTTTATCATAATCATGGTACTCTAGATTGAATTTTAAAATACGATTTTTTATTAAGCGAAAATGTCAAAAGTTGACATATGATATGTCATTCTATTCAAAATGTCATTTACTATCGAATAAAGTAAAAAAACACCAAGGGTGCCGTTTAACAATCAAAAGTTGTAGTCATTTCCGGGAAAACAGGAAGTGACCAAAAACAATTGAATACGTTAATCAATCCTAATTTATGTCATATACTAACATACCAAATCTCGTTTTTCTATCTGAAAAAATAAAAAAGTTATAGGGGGTCACTTTTGAGACGCACCCGGTATATATACAAAATAGTGAATGCCGAATGCGAATATTAATTTGTTGGTAATTAAATACCAAACGACCAAAAAAAAAACGGTGTCAGACATGGCATGAAAATGAAGATCGCTGATATTTTGTATGTAAAAAATTATATAGGGAATGCCATCGATCATCATTTCTAAGCCAACGAGACGCCGTTTTTTTTCGATCATACAGGGTGTTTTAAAAAACATGTGCTTTCTCTCGTGGGGAGATTCCTCTCGTAAAGATGAGATTTATTTTTCATATCAACATATGGGTCGGTACGTAGTAACTACTTACAGGGGGTAACTTTTTTCGATTTATTATAATTTTCTTCCAAGTGCTTTTAACGATTGGAATGACATTTTGAGAATAAAAGTTATTATTAAGTTCGACATATTTTAAAGCTAAAAAAAGAAAAACAAAGAAGTAGTTCTTTGATTTATTTTACGATGACTTAAGTAACTGTTATAAATCTAAATGATAATGTCCATAAACTAATGTCGACTTTGAAAATAGTTACTAACTGCTACTAGAAAATTGCCATGGCGACACCAGCCATCTTGATTGCCATTTCATTGAAATAAACGCTTTTTATTCAAAATTTGAGCTAGATAGGTATAGAAACCCTAATACAGTTTAAAAGAACATTTAAATCTGCTTGGATTTATTTTAAAAAATACAGAGTGTTACATTTGAAATAACCAAGTTTTTCTGTAAAATAAATATTTAAAATAGATCAGCAATTTTTGGTACCCCTGTATAAATTAAAAAAAGCAATAAACATTTTCAGTAAAGTTTATTTCCCTACCTTTAAACTCAGCACAAGAATTAATTCTAAAAAGATATGTACAGGGTGTTGATAATCTATTTTATGGTAGCATGCATATTTAAATATCTTTAAATATCTCAAAAACCAAAGATGTTAAACATATTTAACCGTTATAATAAATATATTATAAGGGTTAAATATATAATTGTTTCTACATCTTTCCGTTTTCGTATAATCAACCGAGGCAAATGAAGTGCGCCACCCTGTATAATTTTAATAATATTTAACACAGTACAGTTCATTTAAGATATTAAATGCTTTATTAAGATTCTGCTTTTGTAGACGATACAAATAATTTCGAAATATTTTTAGCAATTTTCTCAAACGCAATAGACAATTCTCCATTTGGCAGTCCATTTCAGTCAGCAATCAGTCCAAACTTGGGACTCTCTACCAACAATCTAGGTTTAAGACAAACATACAATGGTTACAATCCTTCTACTACCTTTGGTTCATTCGGCCCATTTAGTAACATGTTGAAACGAAGATGCCCGATTTGCGATTCCTCTGTATATGGTTACTGTAGCGAGAAGTTGTTCCACGATTCTTGCTGTTGCAATAATCCAAACAATCCGTATGGTAAGTGATAAAGAAATAATTAGAAAGATACAATTTGCAAACAGTTATTTTGTACCAGGTTATTTTTTTTTTAAACAAGTTTAAACAGCCAACTCACGGCACTTTTTACTTTGACCACCCTGTAACTTCGATGTGGATAAAGCAAAAATATTAATATTACAGTAGGGGGAAACAAAATTCTCTGTTAGATGACTATTGTATAAAAAAAGCATGACAGGACCTTGATTTAATAGTTTTTAATTAATTTATAAATACAATAACTACAGGGTGTCATTGAAATGGTGTAAAAAAATCGGGGAGTGATAGTACTCCTAAAAATAGTAAAAAAGTTCCTATAAGTATGTGGAATATCCTTGGTGTTGTCCGAATTTGATTGGAACAGTCAATAATGCGTTACCGTAGTTAATCTTCAGTATTAATCGGTACTGATTAAACCAAAACTTTCAAGTGACCCCAGAAGTAGAAATCTAGTGGGTTATTTCGTTTTTTAAAGCAATAAGATGTTTCAAAAATAATGAAATTTTGATTTTTCAATTAATTATTTGATAGCTAATTGGTTACTTTTGAACCGCCATAACTTTCATAAGTTTATGTTGATTGCAACCTTATGTTGATTGCAACCTCTGATGAGTTTGCAACCCATCAGAGCAAACTCTTTGCCTTCAATTTTCACAACCATCACTCTGGGCGATGTGCAACCAGAGTACCTTTTTTGTAGGTAAAAGTATGTAGTTTTCAAAAAATGAACCCACGTTGTAAAAAAAATAACCTCAAAAAAGTTATTCGCGAAACAACCCCCTACCCTTGCAAAATCTACCCTTTCCGCTTTTCCAAATAATTTTTCAGTATCACCGTTTGAATGAGGGTCAAAATTTACGGCAGAGGATTTTTTTTCGAAATTTTATCTCGTTTTTTGAGCCTACAATTTCAAAACAACCGTTTTTTAAATTCACCCTTTCAGTGCCCCTAACTCCCTTAATATGCATTTTCCGCCCTATACTTATAGGAACTTTTTTTTACTATTTTTAGGAGTACTATCACCCCCCGATTTTTTTTACACCATTTCAATGACACCCTGTATATCAGAGAAAAAATGTAATGAAATATTTTTTATTATAATTTAATTAAAAATAATCTAGTGTATGTCTTTAACAAAAAAAACATACAATTATTCTAGTATAGGTCAAGGCTTTATTTATTATTAAGAAATATACCTATTAGGTATTTACACTAAAAAATAATAATAATAATATGTTTTTTATTTAATTATTTACAGAACAGCTACCGTACCAATGCCAATATGCAGATTGCAGTTTTTTGCACGCAAACTCTTGCAGGGAACACAAATTGATCACGGCATGTTGCTGCACTAACTTCTTATTTTATCGCAAGTAAGATAAAAAAATACTTTAGACCAAATAAAATAGTTAATTCATTATTTATTTATTTATAAAATAAGTTTAATAAAGTTTTTTTGTGCCAAAAGGTAACTGTTCTACCCCCCCATCTGCTGACATGTTAAATCATTCCTAAATTCACCTCCATTCCTTTATGTCCTGTGTACAGGGTGAGTCAAATTCGACGCTTTTAAACGGAAACATCCTTTTCTATAGGAGATAGACGAAAACTAATATCGGTGTCCGGAGTTCAATTTTCATCGAAAACATGATGGTGAAAACTATGAAAACATTTCCAAAGTTCCTTTTTACGTAGAATTTAATGGTTTAAGTATAATTTTTTTTAAATTAATATTTTAAGAGTTATCAACAGAAAAATTGATTTTTTATTTGGGACACCCTCTATATTTTTAATTAGCCGAAAAGAATTTAAAATTACCTTTCCAAAAATATAGCACACTTGATATTTTGTTAAAATCCCCTTCGAAATACAGTATTTTTAAAAGTTCGCCACTTTTAACTAGTAGGCTTTGGACCACTTATTGATGATATGCCCTTAATGGAACCCGAAAAACATATTTTTCCAACAAGACGACGCACCGCCTCTGAACGCTGAAGTTATCAGCAAATTTTTGCAGCCAATTTCAGGAATAATAATTGTATAGCTAACCAAGATCCCAGCCGTTGGCGTCGAGGCCGCCTGACTTAGTGCTCATGGATCTAATCCTATGGATATATTTGCGGAAGAGTAAAGGTTCCTTATGCTTCCGTATAATCTAAACAAGAATTAGAAATACTTAGTAGTTATGAGAGGGTACCTTTCACCCCCACTGAGTTAATGAATTCCGCGATGAATGTTCAAAAACGGTTCCGTCTGTCCATAACAGAAGACAGTCGATATGTCGAACACCTGTAGCAAAATCTCATGTCTTGGTTTGTTATTTATTTTTATTGTTATTAGATATAGTTTAAATGCGTTGATGTTGGTTAAATATATTTTAAATTGTTATAAAATTCTGCATCTCTCATAAGATAGAGCTTTGTGACAGACGGACAGATGGACGGACAGCGAAGTCTTAGTAATAGGGTTCCTGTTTTTACCCTTTGGGTACGGAACCCTAAAAAAAACAGAAAAGACCCAGTGACTCTCAAAATTTAAGCGAAAAATATTTTTTGTTAATTTTGAAAATAAAATATCTCGTATTTCGGTTATTTTGGATTTACTTGAAAAACGGTAAAGAGAAAAATCATTATTAATAATTTATTTTATCAAGATATACCAGCTCTAAAAATATTTGCACTTATTTAAGATTCACCCTGTATAATATGTATTTCCAGGGTATTTTGTTGTAGAACCGAATGATCCTGTTGGTTCTCTAGACGGTGTTCCGTCTTACTTTCAGGCAAAACGTCTTTTGTCTATACACAATGCTTTACACACGATACATTTTGTCTGAACAGGTAAAACGTTACGTGTAGACGGGGCTTTACGAGTCAAATAAGGTAAAAATAAAACAAATTTAGTTGCAACATAAATTTTTATTTCCGTATTTCAAATCAAATCCAGACAATAGTGGTGTGTCTTTAATCATTAAAATAGGAAAAATATACAAAATACAGTGTTTCATTTCTAAAAATGAGAGATCTCGATCGCGCTTACAATCACATACAAGAAAAAAATCAGTCTTAAAATATACGTAACCATAATAATTAGCAAGAATAGGCAGAGCCAAAATGACAAGTATTATCTCTGGTATTATATAATTTTTTTTTCCATAGCAACTGTTAAAATTACCTTATATCTATCAAAAATAGTAGATAAAATAGTACTTTAACCGCAAGGGTAGATTAAATGGTACTTTAACAGCGAGGATAGGTTAAAAACTTTATTTCTTCTCGCAGGTTTTTTAATTGCTTCCATTTTTGAAAATTTTTGTATTACTTTTCATAAGTTATTCGGGATTTAAATGAAAGTAGTTTGGATATGGCGTTTGTCGCCTCTGCCTAAATATCTGTTGGTAATTTACTTATTTCGTTTTGAGCCGTTTCTGGCTCCAATTCAATCAGCAATCGGCACGAAAGAGAATTAAAAAATATTGACTCGAAACTGACCATTAAAGAGACAGCTTTAATTATTTGTCAAATTACAAAGAATAATTAGAAATAAGAAATATAGAAAGAAGAAAAATAATTTCTGAATATTTTCTAAAACGTAACTCGCTACGGAAAAAAATATTGTTTTATACACGACGATAAAATTGCATTATCGTCTCCCGAAATTAATTCACTAATTAATCTTTTCGGTCGACGATATAATAGTATAGTCAATATACAGGGTGTTTCAAAACAAATGCGAAAAACTTTAGGGGGTGATTCCTTGTTCAAAATAAAGGGTAGTTTGCTACCCCTATCATTCTTGTTAACGAAATTTAAAGAAAAATCTTATCAAACACATGCAAAAAAATTAATTTGGATAGTTTAGTTTGTTTAGAAACTTTTTTTATATCTCTTGTGTTTTTTTGATAAAACTCACCGATTTAAAATTAAAAAATAAAATGTAAAGCATTACATGTCAGGACAAAAAACATTTTTAGATTAAGAATCTAGTGATAATAACGATAATAATAATCATCTAGATAATAACGTATTGCAGTAGAGTAATGTCAAATAAAATAATATTAGGAACATCCTAAAAAGTAACAGCGGCCGACTAAATTTTTTCCTAAAAAAATTACAGCAGCCCACTAGATTCTTTATCAGAAAATGTTTTTTGTCCTGGCATGTAATGCTTTACATTTTATTTTTTAATTTCAAATCGGTGAGTTTTATCAAAAAAATACAAGAGATAAAAAAGTTTCTAAACAAACTAAACTATCTAAATTAATTTTTTTGCATGTGTTTGATAAGATTTTTCTTTAAATTTCGTTAACAAGAATGATAGGGGTAGTTTATTTCAACCCCTTCCACTCATTTTAAAAAAATGAAAAAATTACCCGAAATTTTGTTTTCATAACAGTAATGCTTCCATAAAATTTTATTAGTCTATCTCTTTTCGTTTTCAAGATAAAAAATAAAAACATTATTTTTCCGCCATCTTTGTACCTCGATATCTCCCTAATGGTTGACTTTTGACCCAACGTTTATGAAGCAAACTACCCTTTATTTTGAACAAGGAATCACCCCCTGAAGTTTTTCGCATTTGTTTTGAAACACCCTGTATAATAATAGTACTCTTTCTTTTAATATCAATCTGTTTTAGTAAAAAATTGGAATTTTTTATCTTATTTTTTTAATATTTTTCAATAGACATACCATAATTTTTTTGTAAGTACACCAGAAGATTTGGCTTGCGTACCTTGGCCTGTAAAGTACCAAAACTCTCGTATTTTGACGTTTTATGACAGTTTTTATACAGATAAATGTTTCTTTAGACTAATCTAATCTGAGAGATCAAGTCTACAGATCTGGCCTGTGACAAACTTGATCCGCCAAAGGCTTAGCCTGCAACACAAACTTTTAATGCGCAGACCAAGTCCACAGGCCAAATATTCTGGTGTATCTTATTGGAAAATTAAAAGTTCTTTTAATCATCTTGCACATAATTGAGCGTCCGGATTGCACAACGACCTTAGTGCGGGGTGCGTGGCCGCGGGCAGCCCAGTAGGCAAGCGAGACAGCGACGCGCCGATTTAACAAAATAAATAATAATTTTAAACCTGCCGTCATTTCGTTAATAATTATCGTATCGTGTTGATTTTTGCATAGAAATACTCATGAGTCTTTAGCGCTTCCGACAAGCCTAAATAACTGGATTATTTTTTATATTTTCGATTTGTTTACATTGCCCGAGCATATTATAACTTTGAGATAAAAATCTCTGTTATAAATTTTAAAACTGACAGATATGAATACTATTATTTAATTAATTATACATTTAGTTACAACATATTCAAAATTTAGGTCTATCGGTTTATGCTAGCAGTAATAACGAGTATAAATAAAAAAATGGCCAGTACAATGCTCGCAGTTTTTAGCGCACGTTCAGCTTTGGTTTTAGTTTAAGCGCTATTTTTACAGAAAATAAATTCTGAACTTTGATCAAATGACAAGAACATTATCATTGCCGATATCTCCTGGTTATAATATAGTTCTTTTTTCAAAATATTGCATTGTTTTAGCTTAAAAAAAACTTGAATTATGCGGCTTTTTTTGCGAGAGCTACCGGAGCTGCGTTAATAAAGAGATGGCTATGTACGTCAATCATAGCCACAATAGACTGTAATTTTACCTCGTCACGAGATTTTTTGGAAATATTGCGCTTCCATTTATCCGGATTTCTACTAACTTTTGACCATAGACAAACTAACAAAAGCAAGACTTTTCAAAGGATTGAGGAAGTCGAATTATTGTTTTTGCGCTGGCCAGTCGAGTCAGAAATCATCGCGCAGTCGCACTCGTCAAACCTAACCTAAATTAAACGAAAAACGTTTTTGCCTTGAACCATCCTTGAACGAACTGTTGAATTCCTGATTTTGCGTTTTGTTTGGTTATTACTATTATTTTATTAGCGTACAAAACGAAAACAAATAATTTAATACATTTTACATTTATGAAGAACATAATAATTACTGTGATTATACATATTATTGTGATTACATCGCTAACGTAGACAAAACGAAGGTCCTACAAATTGACTGTAAGTTATAAGAATCTTTATCTTTTTAATCTTTTTATGATTTGAATTTTCGTGCTTTATATTTTATAATAGACTCGAAATGTTAATATTTTTGCAAATTCTTGTGAAAATGTGAAGTTTATGTTTTTGTTTTATATTTGAAAAAGTTGTATATTTTTAAGATGCTTTTTGTTGTTCCTATTATTAATATTATAATATACATAATTATTTTTTTGTACCATTTGAAGAATAATGCTTTTATTTCGTTTACCATAACTGTTGTTTTTTATCATCTTTTTTGTTATTTTAACAAGAGAAATACGTTTTCGTTTATTTAACTTTTGTTTTTATATCTGTTATGTCCAGAAATTATTGTTTATTTTACCGATGGAAATAAATTTATTTGATTTTAATAAACGCTTTTTAATTAAACATCCTTGTCTAAAAGGCTACTACAAAATACACAATCCATAAGTAAACCGTCCTCGTCCAAAAGGCCAGTTGACGCAAGCGCGGTAATAAACTCTTATCAAACTTGTTACCGTTTTGCAGTACAGCGTTGACGCGTCTTGCTTTTGTTAGTTTGTCTATGCTTTTGACCTTTCTTTTCGGTCGCATTTCCTTCTATTTAATAATAAATAATTTAAAAAAACGCACAAATACTACTGGTAGTAAACAAGCTGTGGCAAAAATTTTCTATACTCCGTGTAAACAAAAGACTATCGCAAATACTGTCTTTCGATTGACGTACAGTACGTCTGTCCGTTCTGTAGCTACGGGGTATCCGTGACAGGGGAAACGATATTCTCTCGATGTTTTTCGTAAAAAAATAGACGACGCGTCCCATCAATAAAAATTCTACAAATTTGCAAGTAGCCAAGAAAATGAGTGGACGGAGCGATTTGTGGTGATGTACTCGTCAAATCGACGTATAAAATATATTGCTGTTTATTTAAATGTTTTTTGTCCGCATTCCTTTCATAGACACAGATCCAGCAGAGGTACTTTACATAGCCATCTCTTTATTAACGCAGCGCCGGTAGCTCTCGCAAAAAAGCCGCATAATTCAAGTTTTTTTTAAGCTAAAACAATGCAATATTTTGAAAAAAGAACTACATTGTAACTAGGAGATATCGGCAATGATAATGTTCTTGTCATTTGATCAAAGTTCAGAATTTATTTTCATGCGCTAAGGTCGTTGTGCAATCCTAACGCTCAATTTTACAATTTCATTCCTTACTAATATGTATTAAAATATTTAGTACCTAATTATTGTGCTTCTGAGAATATATTTTAACGTGTTTTTGTTCTTCATTCTTAATAATAATTAATAATCACTATTTACAAAATACCTGCAAACGTTCTCTTTGTCGTAATAAAGATTTATAATTTATATTCGAGATATTTTAAATTTTTATTATTATGAGATCAACAATACGGGAGTATACCAAATTGAAACTTTACTATTTTCTTAAGGTGCGTTCACACCGGCCGGCCGCGCCGCGAAAAACATTTTTTTAACATGTACTTTTGAAGTGTATTTTTTTAGAGCGCACAAAAGTATATGTTAAAAAATGATTTGCGCGGCGCGGCGTGGAGCGGCGCAGCAGGCCTAAACGCACCTTTATACGATTTCAAAAATTATGAATAAAAACACTAGATTACATATTCAGATATTTTTTGAGCATAACTTTACTTAACCATATTTTTATTCATAACGATATCAACTCTTATTTAAAAAATACATAACCTAGAAAGGCAACAGTGATTGTGCTGATTTTATTTGATTTATTCTTAATTATTACCAAAGTGTTTATTAAAATTTAATAAATATTTAAAATGGTATGTGTCAAGTGGTCTCTTCGAGTATACCTTACAAGCTACAATTAGAAAATAAAAAAGAACATTTTTAAAGTTCACAACTTTCCTTGATTTGATTTTTCTTTAAATATTTTCTCACAACAATATTATTATTGACAAGATCGTGTATATATCACAGCATCAAAGTAAAAAGAAAAAAAAATAATCAGATTTTTTGATTGAAAGATAAAATTCAACAAGCACTTATTTCCATAAATTAATATTTTTGGTTTTGAGAGATATTTATTTTTTTACATATATTTACACTAATATACTTTGTTTTTATATTGAAGTAAAGTATAAGCTGTTACACTCCTTTGGTCCTTCCGATAGATAAATTTATATGTGAAACAAACGTTCAGAAGACAAGTAAACACTTTACAAATGACTAAAGAATACAAGGACTAATAACACCAGAAATAAAATTGTTACCAGTCCAAAGGATACAAAAGCTATTTGGCCAGTGCCGTGCAAAAGGATTAATATAAAAAATTCATAATTAATTATATTAAGCAATAATTCATTTTCAGGAAAATCTAACTATTATCTCTACCACCTATACTTATTACAACAAATTAAACTAAAATTCAATTTTTGTTCTTAATGTGTTTAATAGACATGTCAAAGTTTGATAGTTATTATTTTTTAATTATTTGGGCATATAATAAGTGATGCATTGAAGCACCTTGTATACTCTGTAATAATTTTGAAATGTGCATCTTAATCTTCCCTATAACTTTTCTATTAACATTTCTTTAATAATTCTCAAAACGAATGAAATAATAAACTCTTTCATTGACTCACCCTGTACAAAGTTACAACGTTCACTACATACAACAAACAATTACAAATCGCTAAAATTATTCCTGGTGTCGCCTCCTTTATTTGACACCAGAAAAATGGTGTTTTATAATTTTACTTCAAAGATTTAGCTCCAGTTAGTGCCCTTGTATTCTTTAGTCATTGCACTTTACAATACGAACTAAAACCTTCTATTTAATATATAAACAAAGTATATACATACAAAATTTTTACATACAGTAAAATGACATTTCAATAATTATATTAGGACTTATTACTTACATTACCATTGTGTCTGCCGTACGGCAATGGTTTTGAAATTCCTAACCTTACAATTCCTGGTAAAGTACCCTTAAGGGCTTGTACTGCCTGGTCTAATGTAAAATTCCTGATTATTGTACCATTCACACTCATCAATCTATCTCCTAAAGAAAATCAATAATAAGTATCTTGACAAACACAAATAAATATATTCTGAGTAATTATAGTATCGTTTTTGCTATAAATTTATGCATTATTTAATTTTAAAAAACTCAAAGCTGACGTAAAGCAGTCACAAACTGAAAAAGGTAAACAGAGTTTATAGGGATATGTATCAAGATTATAACTCTAAACCAACAGTACCTGGTGTGATACGACCATCCAATTCCGCAGGACCATGGGGCACCAAGCTTCTGATAACTATAATAGTTGAATTTGGATCTACAGGGTCTTGATAATCCAAAATAGAGAAGCCAAGACCCCTGTCTTTCTTTTGTAATTCGACGTATTCAATATCGTCGCTCCACATAGCCGGCGAGCTCATTTCCATAGATCGCGATTTTTCCTTATTTAAACCACCCGATTCATCGCTCACTGAAAAAACAGTCATTTTAATTGATAAAAATTCGATTAATTGTTAAAAAACAAATTATGACAATCCCCATAACCTTACTTTTTGTTACGTCAAAAAATTTATTGACTCTGAAATTAGCCACAGGATAAGAACAACGTAAGTAGCTAACGCCACAAGAAATAAAAAAGACGAAAAAGTCGGTTAAAAATGATAATTTACAAAAAAAATCAAATGTAGATGTTCTAATTGTTAAAATAATGGAAAACAAATGTTTAAAGACAATTTGAACAAACTTACCAGTTACTGTACTGGACGTATGAAGACTTGTTTCACTCAGCGCCTTTATAAGTCTCTGTTCGGGTTGTGCCAGTAAATTTTTTAAGCTTCCTCCCAAAATATTCCTCTGTTCAAAAGCTTCAATGTCTTGGGACGTATTGATAACCCTAGAAGGAAAAATTATAAATTCACAGATAAAAACAGGTAAGTAATTAAGTTTGTATTTTCTTATGACTGTTTTATTGTAATCCTAACACGAATAAAGCTATCTATCTATCTCAGTACCTGTTATCGGTTATATCCTTTCTTAAACAGACTAATCTCACGATGTTAGGCAATTCCCTAAGTATTTTTACTACATCAACGTGACTTAATCCAACTAGTTTTTGTCCGTTTACTTCTAGAAGTTCGTCCCCTGGACTGAGTTTACCGTTTTGTCCTACAGGCCCTTCAGGGAGAATGGACCTTATGTAATGTCTAGGTCTTAGTTCAATACCCTTTTCCACATCTACAGTACCTTCCAAACTTATTCCCAGTCCTACAAATGTTATATTGTTCAGATCTAATCATTTAATAATAATAGTTCAGCGTTAAGTTACGAAAGACCAAGTCCGCGGATCCGGCCTGCGGACTTCGCCTGCCGTTTATATCTTTCGATTGTATTTGTAATAAATACAGAAAAATAAAAAAAACGGTGTAAGTAGGTATAAAAAATATAAAAATAAATAATATAACTTTACAGCATATTTGTTGTTTTATGGGACAAACTGTATATAAATAAGAGTTGAATTTTGATTACTAAATAGACTTAAGATAAATTATTAAATGGTTCACGACTATTTATTGTACTATAAGTAGTTTATTAAATTTAAAATAATTTAATGCTGGCGATATATTACCTTTAAGTTTAGTTAAATTTGCAACAACCACGTTTGCCTCATCACCCAGTAATCCTTCCCATTTTCTTTTAATCACACTTTCCAGGTCGTCTTTCGGATTGGTTTCAAAATCTTCCTCTATAAATATTTCTTTATTCTCGACAATCTGATCATATATTTCACTTGGAACTGATGTAATCGAGTCGCCTTCTGTTTCTAGTGGAATTGGTTGCTGCAAAATAGATTTACATACAAATACCCTAAAGACTGTTCAGCGATCGTGCAACGTTACGTCATCAGCATTTGTCCAATATGAGTTTTAGGGTGTGTTCAAAATAAAAAACGCAAAAAACAACCGTCTTACGCGATGGAAATATGATTATGACAACATGACGACAACGATAGTTCGTTTTCATAACGTTATATAATTATTTGTACTTTTTAAATTGGACATACGTGCAATATTGAATGCACGAAGTAAGGTCCTCTGCAAAGGCAAACTTACTGAATGTTTCATCATGACCAACATGACAGACGGGCCAGAGACATCGATTTGTGACGTCACCGCACTAGTCCGGCTTTTGTATTGTACCATATGGTACTGCATATAGGTTCTGCATAAATAATAGTATTTATTGATAGTTTTGCCAGATATAAATATGAAAAATATTATACAGAAAGGTATTAAAAAATAACATTAACTTTTTATCGCGTTAAAGTAATTTAATAGCATTAAAATTTAGATCTAAAGCACGAATATTAATATGAAATAAACTACAGCATAAGATGAACAAAATAAAATCTAGATAATAAAAAGCGTGTCCTAAAATTGCGTTAGCGAGTATTTAGCAACTAGTAATAATATACCTGTGATAAAAAGTTTCCAAATATTAAAAAATTTGAAAACTATACGTTATTCACTCAAAATTATTTAGTATAATTTTATTAGCATAGAAACGCGTAAAAAACACAGATATGTTGCGAAACTAATGAAAACAATTGGTTTGTTTACGACTACTAATTCTGGACCACTTCGGTAGAACTGTCAAAACAGTCAGGCCTTGAATATGACGTTAGCCACGGTTTTATAAGCGCAATAAAGGTTTGAAAATGGCATGTCGTCATGTTGGAGACATCGTTTTTTAAAGCTAATCGTATGGCGTTTATGCATCCACAGGGGCGGAGCCAGGATTTGGGAAAGGGATTGGGAGGCTAGACAAAAAACCTTACTAAAAGTACATACACCGGAGTCGTTTCGGACAAAATAAATTAATAATATCGTATTACATTTTGTTCGGCAATACCGGGTGCGTCTCAAAAGTGGCTCACCCTTATAACTTTTTTATTCTTACAGTTAAAAAAACGAGATTTGGTATGTTAGTATATGACATAAATTAGGATTGATTGACGTATTCAATTGTTTTCGGTCACTTCCTGTTTCACCGGAAATGTCTACAACTTTTGATTTTTAAATGGCACCCTCGGTACTTTTTTACTTTATTCGGTAGAAAATAACACTCTGAATAGAATGACATATCATATGTCAACTTTTGACATTTTCGCATATGGTTTATTTGAAATTATAAGTGTGTGGTACCAAATTATTCGTAAACAAATGCTTTTTCCAAATACGCTAATGAACCACCCTCGTTCTATTTGAAAAAATTGAGATATGATTAAAAATACGATTTGACCATTTTCTAAATGGCCAGGACAAGACACTAAAAACATTAGACAATCAAATATATTTTTCCAAGGCTCCTTGATTAAGAATTAGTGTTTTTAACATAACCATGGCACTCTAGATTGAATTTTAAAATTTAATTCCGTTTTAAGCGAGAATGTCAAAAGTTGACATATGATATGTCATTCTATTCAGAATGCCATTTTCTATCGAATAAAATAAAACAATACCGAGGGTGCCATTTAAAAATCAAAAGTCGTAGTCATTTCCGGTAAAACAGGAAGTGACCAAAAACAATTGAATACATCAATCTATCCTAATTTATGTCATATACTAACATACAAAATCTCGTTTTTTTATCTGAAAAAATAAAAAAGTTATAGGGGTGAGCCACTTTTGAGACGCACCCGGTATATGACGTTGAATGATCGCTGAATAAAGGTAACAAATAAACTATAAATTACTTCAGTGTTCTCTATGGGAATCCAACTGAGAGTGGCTAAAGATGAAGGTGATGGAGGAGTGCTCTCTCTCTTTTGCTGACTGGCAATGGCTTCTTGGAGATGTTCAAATTTCGGACCACTCAAGTACCTAAAAATATAAAAAGAAATCTCGAATTATGTAGTTTAACAAGACTTGTGTTAATTGGGATGGACTCACAGTGGAAGCGTCAACATGCGAATTGTAAAACGCGCGTTTATAGCGCGAGTTTATCCTATTCATAGACTTAAAATAAAATATAGACTGAGCATCTCATTCATAAATAGCTGGAACATGCGGTCAGACACTGTCTTGTTATTGTTGTGTTATTGTTTTAGGTTATAACGAGTGCGACACGAGCGATAGATAGGTTGTCTCTGTCGTAACGGTCGTTCCCTGACGACTCTGCCGAGAAACACAACACTGTCTTTCGTTTCTCAAGTACACCTGAACTCTCCGTATCATAGCCGGGTAATTTTTTTATTTTAATGAAGCTATAATTAAATTAAAAATATATCGTATTTAAACTTTTTTATATTTTATTAAGATTTTTTAAATAAAAGTTTAGAAAAAACAATTTAGAGTCCAAAAAGGATAAAAATAATAAAATACACGTTATAGAAGAAATTTTATCATCGAAATTAGGTAATTTTTGAAATTAATAATAAATTATTAATTTAGTCAAACATTTACAACCCCTAATATTAATGAAAACAGGATCTATTCCACAGATATAATAGAATCGGCGACAGAGAGAGAAAAAAAAATATGATTGTTGTAATTTTTTTTCTGGTTAAGTGATGTCTTATTATGTAAAATAGAGAAAACATAAATCTGTTCCATTAAAGCAAGGAAGGTGATAGGAAGGGGATAAAATGAAAACTACATTTATTTAACTCGGTACTGTCTTTATTATACCGGGTGCGTCCCAAAAGTGGCTCAACCCCATAATTTTTTTATATTTTCAAATAAAAAAACAAGATTTAGTATGTTAGTATATGACATAAATTAGGATTGATTGACGCATTCAATTGTTTTTGGTCACTTTCTGTTTCACCGGAAATGACTATAACTTTTAATTTTTAAACGGCACCCTCGGTATATTTCTACTTTATTTGATAGAAAATGACACTCTGAATAGAATGACATATCATATGTCAACTTTTGACACTTTCGCATATGGTTTAATTGTAATTGTAACACGTGGTTCATAACGACAATTTGACTCGAAATACCAAGTGTGTGGTATCAATATATTCATAAAAAAATGCTTTTTCCAAATATGCTAACGAGTCACCCTTGTTCCATTTGAAAAAATTGACATATGTATGATTAAAAATATGATTTGTACATCTTTTAATCGGCCTAGACAAGACACGAAACCCATTAGACGATCAAAACTATTTTTCCAAGGCTCCTTGATTAAAACTTAGTGTTTTTAACAACACCATGGCACCCTGGATTGAAATTTATAATACGATTTGTTTTTAAGCGACAATGTCAAAAGTTGACATATGATATGTCATTCTATTCAGAATTCTATTATCATTTTCTATCGAATAAAGTAGAAATATACCGAGGGTGCCTTTAAAAATCAAAAGATGTAATCATTTCGGTGAAACAGAAAGAGACCAAAAACAATTGAATACGTCAATAAATCCTAATTTATGTCATATACCTACTAACATACAAATCTGTTTTTTTATCTGAAAAAATAAAAAAGTTATAGCGGTGAACCACTTTTGAGACGACCCGGTATATTAAAAAATATTGTCTCATAATGTAATATCATATTAAAATTCTTGTATGTTATTTTAGATTCTGAAGATAATTTTAGAATAAACCGGAATATATTTTTAATAAAAACATTATTAATTATTAACAGGGTTATAATTATGATTTTGTTACAATGTAAGTAAGTAAATAATGTAATATAAGAGAAAAAATTCAGATTTTACATTTTACTAAAATATTATCTAAATAAGCGCCTTTCTACAACAACGCCACTGACTCCCAATGGGTAAATTGAGAGTTGCCTACCGGTCAAAAGTCGTTTCAAGACTTAAATGGATTATTTAAGTCAAATTTCTTGCAAATTTGGCACTGGCGAACCATATTTTATAGTTCTTGAACAGAAAAAGTCAATAAAATAAACACTTAAGCACTACAAGCTAAGAAAATGCGTTAATACAGCCGGGGAGATAGCGGCAACAAAGCTTTACCGCACACGTGCGACACGTACTACAAGGTAATAAATGAATGAATAGGCTCCCTCGCCTCTAATCGGTGTTGTCATATTGTAAAGAACTTATCCTTTTTAAACAGTATCCGACTTATAATTTAGTAGTATAAGGACTATTTAATACATCTCTGGAATATTAAAACCTACTTTATTAAACTGTAGTATTAATATCTCAATATATGTGTATAACAAGAAAAAAAATATTGATAATATTAAAGACGTGACAACATAGGCTGGATGAGGAAGGCTCGGTCGACTGTACCCAGAAGAAAACATGTGTACAAAAAAGGTTGTTTGTCCGCGTTGAGATGTAAATAGTGTAGTCTATATTTTATTTTAAGTCTATGATCCTATTACTAGTTGAAGCCTGGCGCATCCGCCACGATATCAGATCTTTTTATTTATTTTTTTAATTAACTGGAAAACAAAAAATCCGGCGACGTCAGTTTTTAGAAGAGCCAATTAGCTATCTTTTAGTAAAAAATCAACTTTCTAGAGCAAGTCGTTACTTCAGTAGAGACGACACAGATAAACATTAGCATTTTATATATGTAGATGGAGGAATGGTATTTTTTTGAAGGCGTTCCAAGCCCCTGATATGACAATTCATATATCCCCTAAAAAATATAGCCCTATCTATTTCCCGTCTCTTTTCAGTCTTCTGCATATCATGGCAGCCTTTGTGACTTTGCTGGAAATGTTCTTAATATGCCTGTTCCACAAAAGTTTACTGTCCAGATATTTGACTTTCTGCGATGGCAGTATTTCTTTTCCATCGAGTTGGATTCTTTTCAAGTTTTTTTTTAATTTTCGCCGAAAATTACCCGCTTCATATGGGATTTTTTGTACATGAGTGAAATATTCTAGAAAATATAAATCCCGACCCGACATTTTAACTAGCGATGGGAACTATCGAATGATTTAGACTATCTAATGGTTAATGAATGAATGATTTCAACTATCGAATGGTTTTATTCGAATAAAATCATTCATTCATTTGTATACTAAAGCATATGTGACAACCTCGCCGTGCGACTAAATGGTTATCGTTGAGTCACGACTATCGAATGCTTTTGATAAATGAAATTTAGTATTCGTTTGATTTTTGTATGCGTCAGTGCATTATTAGTTCTTCCAAATTTTTATAACTTCACCGTATAAATACTGTGCTATTTTTGCGTTTACTAAAATAGTTAAAATACTAAAATAGTAGTTATTTTTTAATTTTATTTATTGACGATTGTGTGCATGTGCAGGTGGTCAAAATTTTTCCGAAAAGTTGTGTGGTTTTCCGTAGTCCGATCTTTCAATTATTTAATTTTATATGGTATATGGTCTATTTTTTAATGGGAAATTTTGAGAAGTAGCAATTTTTAAGAGAGATGAGATGAACTTAAATTAATTTTAAAAGTACATATTTGTATTTTAGATGTTTTAATAATATGAATTAGTTGAACTTAATAATCATATTAAAGTAATGTGGTTAAGTAAATGGTTATCGAACTCAAACTATGGGGTGAGAAAATTAAAATGAAAGTTTTACACGTGCCAATTTAAAAAAAAAGTTAACGATGTTTGTATTTTGTTTATGCTAATTCTCTTACATGTAGTTTTTGCGAAGAAATATTTCATTTATTTTTTAAAGTAAATGCCAGTAAAAGTAAATATAATTTTTAAATAGTAATATAAAGCACCTAATATAAATAATTTGGATTTCTAATTTTTTATTTATATTTTTCTTCCATTACACTGCATGCTTAGAAAATTAATAAATGTTGATATTTCATGATTTTAAAATTTGTTGTTAATATAACAAATTAGTTCTGTAATTATTATTATTTAAAAAACAACCGTTGCCAAAAAATTTAGAGTCTATATTATTTTTAAATAGGATCTAATATAAATAATTTTGACATTTAATTTGTTGTTTATATTTTGCCACTACTTAAAAAAAATGTTCATATTAAATGATTTTAAATTTTGTCGTTAATAGGTATAACAAATTATTACTGTTATTATTATTTATTAAACCAGTCTTTGCTTAAAAGTATTAAAAATCATTTTCCTACATCCAAAATAAAAAGTATTATTGCAGTGTAACAACAGAATATTAATAAAAAAATGCAAAACATATAGACATACAATCCCTAACTAACTAAAGCCAAAAAATAATATTCTTTGCTAATATCAACTAATACCAATATATGGCAACAGCGCCCTTAATAATGTATTTTTCTGTGTAAATACTACCACCTCAATAAAAAAAATAATGTGTCCTTATCTTTACACCGCAAAAAATCAAAGACGCCGGCTTCTTTCATAGCATTGCCACCGACCGCTGTCGGGTTTCTCGGAAAGAAACCTACGTCGCCGGGCGACAACTAAAATCCAGTTAATATTTTATTATAATCGATCCTGACGAATAAATGAATTTTATAAATGAATGAATTAATTTTACAAATGAATGGTTTTTGCTGCCGAATTACTAGAATACAATATTTCAAGGCAAATGACGCATCTATTCGATAATTTTTATTCGAATAGTTTTCAACGAATGTTTTCTTACTAGCTATCGAATTATTCGAATGAATTGCAACTATCGAATGTTTCGATAGTATTCATTCGATAGTTCCCACTACTAATTTTAACTACTCCCGCATCTGCTGATCGCAACTTTTTATCGGACGGTTCCGCGAAATTTTAGAATTCGTGCGTATCCGCATCCGCTGTGAGAGAAGCCTTATACCTTTCAAACGTCAGGAGAACACTGTCTTTTGTATCTTTCAGAATTCTTACGGCTTCGTGATTGGTCAGGTTTTGTAACGAATGCCCGTCAACTTCAATTATTCTGTCATTAATATTGATCAAGCCACATTTAAAAGCTTCAGAGCCTTCCGTGATATTTTTGATGAATATGCCATTCAGATCTTCCCGTTCGCATACATAACCTTAGACAGAAACATATATGAATAATTATTCATATTACCATATACCGGGTGTTGCATCGTCGGACGGGACATAGGAAATCCTATGTAAATTTTAATGGGATCAATTATTGGCTTTCCTAATTATTTTAGAGAATAATTCTATTTAGGTTTATTGAAGAGCACTAAAATCCACATTCAAAAGAATAACTTTAGATATTTTTGATTAGCTCGTTTACGAGTTATCGGCGATTTCTTTTTAAATATTTCTCCTTTCTTATGGCCCTGTATTTACTTATGAGCACCAGTCAAGGTAAAAGATAACTGTCAAATGAAGTTGTCATTTCAGAAATTTACCTATTTAATGCTATATTATTATTGAAAACTCATTCCTACATCGGAAATCTTAAAGATGTATTTATAATATATATAATAATATATAATATATATAATATAATTTAATATATATATATATATATATATATATATATAGTATATATATATATATATATATATATATATATATATATATATATATATATATATATATATAATTAAAGTAAAATAAAGTAATCAATTACAAGGTTAATTATAGTATTATTACAATATTCAATAACTTCTTAATTTAGGTACTATTAAATTGTTAGAACTTTAGGATTTAAGATGTTCAAATATTCCTCCATCGACTGCTAGACAATAACCCAGGCGATCATAAAATTCTCTTCTTACATTCGCTAGTTGGTAAACTGAAATTCTATTGCATTCGGCAGAAATAACATTTTTTAAATCGTGTAGATTTGGGTATTTTTTATCCTTGTATATCCTGTTTTTTAAATGGCCCCCCAGAGACAGAAATCATTTGGCGAAATATCAGGAGACCTTGCTGGCCAATTTACTGTATGATTTAGGCCAATAACGTTTCCGTTAAAACTATTGTCTAAATATTCCCGAACAGCCAGGGTACTATGTGCCGGGCAGCCATCCATTTGGTACCAAACTTCCTGATTTTCCCTAGCGGCATCATGTAAAGCAGGTAAAATATGATTTTCGAGTAGTTCCAAATAATATTCTGCATTTAAATTTCGCGTAAGAAATAATGACCCGATAATATTGTGTCCGAATATCCCTGCCCAAACATTTACTTTCTGTGGATATTGCGTCCTTGTTTCGACAAACCTGTGTTGGTTTTCTTTGTTCCAATATCGATAATTTTGAACATTGGGTTCATTATTTAAGGTAAATGTGCATTCGTCAGTGAACATATGTTTTTTAAAAATTCCCTATCCGTGTTTGCTCTTTCCATCATATCAAAACAAAACGCCTGCCGCCGTATTTCATCCCCATCTCGTAGCTCTTGGTGCTTTTCATATTTGAAGGAATAGTATTTATGTCGTTTCAAAATTCGAAACGCTGTAGTGAGTTTTTCCTGGTATCGGTCTATTTGGATACAGAGCAGCAAACATGTCCAACACCTTTTGATAACTATTTCCTTGATAATACCATTTAACCATCAATACTTTTTCTTCGGTAGTGTAATTCATGGCTAATATTTTCGATGTAGGTATGAGTTTTTAGTAATAATAATAAAGCACTAAATAGATAAATTTCTGAAATAACAACTTCATTTGACAGTTATCTTTTACCTTGACTGGTGCTCATAAGTAAATACAGGGCCATAAGAAAGGAGAAATATTTAAAAAGAAATCGGCGATAACTCGTAAACGGGCTAATCAAAAATATCTAAAGTTATTCTTTTAAATGTGGGTTTTAGTGCTCTTCAATGAACCTAAATAGAATTATTCTCTAAAATAATTAGGGAAGCCAATAATTGACCCCATTAAAATTTACATGTGATTTCCTATGTCCCGCTCGACGATGCAACACCCGGTATAGTATAAAAATCGGTAGATATAGGAAAACCAATAAAAGTTGATGTGCATGTCGCAATGTTGCCATGGCTACTTTTTTTACTTAACAAGTAAGTTACTTCTGCGTTGTATACTTGTTCTTTGCATATTGTCATATCTAGAACAGATCTAAACTTTTTCTTGAAACGGAATTACGGCGATTGTCCGAACTATTGAAGTTAAACTGTGGTTTCGACATCTTTGATGACTTGCACGCCAACTATTATTGATTACTCTATAAGTAAATTATTACCAGCTATGGTAATTCCTAATCCATATTCTCCTTTTTCCAATTCGACTGTGTAAATTTCAGTTTCGGGTATGTCATCTTCTAAATCGATAGGAGTAACTATTATTTGACTGGCACTCACAGGACTTTGACTTTCAGTTGCCGGACTGTCACAGTTTGGAGTAATGCTGTGATTATTTTTATTAATTAATATACACGGTGTCCCAATATTCTGTGAACATTGAACTACAACGTATTTTTTTTACCACGTTTTTTCTAAATTAATCATAAGTTTCTCTTTGAAAAAATGATGATGAAACAGTTTCTGTTGAACTTTTGGAACAAAAACATTTCAAATTTATGATTTTAGTCTAATAACTATTTAGTCAACATGTTTAATTTATGTCAATGATGACAGGTATTGATGATTTAGATTCCAAATATCTCGAGAACCATTACTTGTAGCGATTTTTACCAAGAGACCTTTTGTACGTAAAAAAAGTAATAAATGTATATTTTTTTACTCAGTAGTTTTATACAGGTACGGACGAAAAGTTATTACCCTATAAACCAGTTAAAAAATGTGTAGGTGGCGCCCTCTACAAGTAGGAGTCATATTAACATCAAAATCAAATTTCCCATGTCAAAAAACTCCCAGATGCCAATTTTCATCCAAATATTGACGTTACTTCAGAAATTATTTAGAAAAATCAAAAATGAAATTTCTACACCCTGTATCTCCGAAACTAAGCATTTTAGGACATACATTTATAAAAACTTTTTTACTTAATTTTATCTGCAGAATATGCTACCGAAGTTTCCGGAATACATTTTGACCACCCTGTATTTTGTAGGTCTGCTTTGGAAAAATAAATTCATCAAACATTTTTTTCTCAAACCCAATGCGATTTGGCGTTTTTTAGAAGAGATGAATAATGTAGTAAATATTAGGAGTCATTTTACGAAAAGAAAATCTGTCGTCAGAGGAATTGGAAAATATTTATACTAAAATGTATGTACGGGTGGGGGTAGTTTTTACCCTTCCCGTACTTTTTCTTTGTTTTTGTAAAAATCCAATGTTAAAGCACTTAGCAAAATATATACACCCAAAATCTCTTTCAAATCGGAATAACGGTTCTGAAGATATCTAAAAAAATTTGTTTATTTTTTTAAAGTTTGATACCCTCTAGCGGAAAAACGGAGCAATCTTGTATAGAGGTAAATTATTGGGACACCCAGTATATACTCTGGCTGCAAAATAATAATTTCTTACCTTTCACTGTTATTATTATTATTGTTGCAATAGGAAATTTCACAAATATCAACACTCTTGACTTTCCTGATGATTTCAAAGGTCTGATTGGTCTTCTCTATACTCTCACATATTTTTTCCGACTTTGGACTATTCAAATCCGTGTTCTTGCTGGCGATTTTATCATCAATAGGCGTTAAATCCCCTTTTGTATTAAAGGACATGGAATAGCCATTTTGTAGGAGCTGTCTGTTAAGCTCGTCAGGGTCTGTGAGTATTTTCGTTTCAACTATTGGAGCAGTACAGTGATATGTTTGGAAGTCAATTGATGTTGGCTCGATGGGTCTGGCTACCACCATCCTAACCTAGAAATTAAGTATAAAAGTCTTTAAGTATGTAGTTGGTTTTTAAACACCTATTTACTTGTGGTCCGGTTTGTCTCAGGACGGAAGCTACCTGATCGGCACTGAATCCCGTCAAATTCACTTCCCCGATTTGTAAGATATGATCCCCGCTCTGTAGACGACTATCTTTATCCGCTATACCTCCAGGAAGAATGGATTTAATAACAACACCGGTGCTACGACCTCCCACAATACCAAAACCTACAAGAGCAATTTTTAAAGTAAAAAAATGAAGGTTATAAAGAATAGAATACGTTACCTAGTCCTGAACCATCGTTAAACAGATCTATGACTTCAACTTGCGACCAATCCGTACTCAATACCATGTTTTTCCTCCACAAAATTCATTTCTCACCACATCAAGTTCAAGTCGCGCGCCCCATTTTTGAGGCTTACTTTGATTACAAGTGTGAGTTTATACGAAAATTTATTGATTTATGCGGAATTCAAAGTGGGAAAAAGCGGTGTGCGTTTGATTTAATCGTATAAACGTTAATTTTACCGTTTCGCCGAACATTTTTTTCGAAAACTCGTTAAGGAAACGACGCGAAAAACCGATTCAATGAACAGCTGTGCGTTCGTTTGTTTGTGTCAGCTGTCAAAACTAAACAAGATGAGAACATAAAATGAGTGTGTTGAACGAAGATAGAGATGGGCAACAGAGTCGTACGTGGGGGTGAAGGGTAAACAAATCTGTTTAAAGTCTGGATATGGTCTGGATTGGAATCCAAATCCAGATTTGTTTAATTAAGTAGGCCGGGCAGGTAGGAGGGTACCACGCAAGGCTTTTGAAGGGTGGATATTTCAGAGTTTCTCGATAACAAACGACACGCAACATATCGGTGTTTACTTGGATCGATATATTCCAGGCATTTGAATATTTCAAAAGGGTCACGTAGGTTACCTATAAAGTAATAACAGGTAGTTGAACTTTGCCTCTATTATTTATTACCTTATGATCGAAAAAAACGGCGTCCAGTTGGCTTTTGGAAATGATGATCGATGACGGTTTCTGGAATGATCTTGAATGATGATCGTCGAACATATGATCGATCCTCGCATAATTTTACATATAAAATGACAGCGATCTCCATTTCTAGCCATGGCTGACACCGTTTTTTTTTCGATCATACGATATTACCATAGAAACGCCTTTTGATTTTTAGTACCGTATGATCGAAAAAAAACGGTGTCCAGTTGGCTTGGAAATGACGATCGATGACATTTCCCATATAATTTTACATTTAAAATGACAGCGATCTTCATTTCATAGCCATCGTTGACGCCGTTTTTATTCGATCATACGGTACTTAAAAAAATTGAACCATATTTTCATGTTTTTTTTTTTAATTTTTCTAAAACAATCAATATGGAAATTTGAAAAAGTAACGGGATAAACAATTTTAGAACAAAAAGCAAAATGTTTTAAGAAGAATGCATTTTTTTCAAAATGTCAATAATAAAAAAGTTTTTCCTCTTGTAGAAGACAATCCGGGGACATACTGTATAATTAGTATTTTTGACAAGATTTATATTTATGTCAATTCTTAGTAAATGACGTCTATTGACCTCGCCAGAAGATCGATGTCGATTGTCATTCCCAGCCGTCTTTGACGCCGTTTTTTTTCGATCATACAGTATTTAGTTAATATAATGTATATTACATTTTTTTTAGTTTTTACATTATCAAAAAGAAAACTTATTGAAGCTTTAACCATATTAAAAATTTCTGAGAAATTTAACTCAATCATTTTTCTACGTTCTTTATTTCTAATGAATGTGAAAATACTACAATAAAATCGTGGAAAAATTACATGTTGAATATAATATGAATAATACAATGACATTTTTAATAATAGTACAACAGAAATTGTTTCATAAAAAAGAGGAATATTACTCATCAATTTTTTGGACCTCCCTATACGAATTTTAGCTAGTTCCGTGATTTTATTTGATCTTCCAAGTTCAATGTCAAGTTTACCATTTTAAAATTATTTCTTTATTCAGTCAGACAAACTGTCTTGCATGTGGGTACCATTCTTGTTTTATCTGTTTATCTGTTCATGTTTTCAAAAATGTTAGACACATGCTCGGTAAGTTTTCGAATTTATGATAATTTTCGAAATAAACTCAGTTTAGGAGAGAACTTTGTACCTCAAATAAATTACTTAATAGATAATGTAATCCTTATAGACTAAACTGGTGATATGATTGTGAATATTGTGATATTTCAGACAGATTTGAACAAATTTGTTTTTTTTTTCGAAAATATCTAAATCATTATATACATATACAGGGTTGTTCACCACATACGACACGGAGTATTGTGGCTAAACGATGAGATTTTTACAAATTGTAAGTTTGGGGTTCGTTGAAGGACTATTAGAGCTACAATTTAAAAATATTTTTACAAGATACAGAGTGTCCCAAATAAATAAAAAATATCAAAGTTGTATTTGTTTAAATGGAACACCCTGTATATTATTACATTTTTAGTTCCTACGATTAAAATAAAGGTAAATTTGATTAAAGTTTATTATACTTAAACCTTACCGTTTTTGAAATATTTTCAATTTTGTGAAATTGCAGTAAAAGTTTTAACGCTTCATTTCTCCAAGGGTATCAATGTTTTTAATACTAAATATTTAATGAAGTTTATTTATTGATCAGTTATTGTGTTGCAATAATAAAAATAATACTCCCTTATACAGAGTGTCTAAAAATTTATTTTAAATAATTATTAGCTTCAAACGGCAATAACTTCTTTAATTTAAATGGAATGCCCTGTATATTTTAGGAGAATCAGATGCACAATTAAATTGTCTATCAAATTGTATAAAAAAAATATATAAAGTCATTTTTTTATATAACACATTTCAGCTAAACGAAAGTTGAGCCAAGCCCGGCGCCGAATATGCCCATGGTTGGCAACAATGGATTTAAAAATCGCGCCCTCGATTAAACACTGAGAAACGGTATTTCAAGATCAACCTTGGTATCTATTGAATTTCTAAATCATACTGTATATTTTGACCAAAAACAATAGACAAAGAAAATTATTTAACTATCCCAATCTTTGTTTTGATTTCACATTTCACCACTTTTGTTGTTTATTTATAGTAATGAATGTTTGCACGTGTCATTTCGAGAATTTTCAAATAAATACAACTAAATATATATCTTTTGTCGCTTAAATATCATCAATTTATTTTTAATCGATGAATGAGACATATCGCACATAACTGCCAAAAAATATAATTATTGTCATCGCTTACTTAGAGCAAACTTTTTATCTCCGACGTCATCAAAGTTCTGACGTCAGCACCAAAACAAATCCAAAAATCAAAATACGCCCATCGTTGGAGAAAGTGTCGCATTCTGTCAAAAACTGAGACTTCTAGTCGTTTAACCCTAATTTAAGGAGCTTTCAAGGAAATTGCCGATACGAAAAAACGAGAAATCTTGGAATTGTGGTATTCTCTCACCTCCCGATCTTCTCTCGAAATCGCAGTTGGCCAGGAGAGGGCTCCTAGAACGGTAGTGTTGTTGTGATCGTGGTGGGCTGATATATTTTGATTACGTTACCATGGAAACCACGCTGGAAAACAAAGCCAGGCATATGGACGTGCGTTGCATATTGTTCGATCTGGACAACACGCTGATCCAGACAAGGAAGGGAGATGCAGAGGCTTGCGACAAGGTATTTATTTGATCATATGCGTGTATGTGGAATTTTCGGTGATTTTTCAGACGGTTGTTACGTCTCTGGTCGATCAGCTGACGAGGCAGCATGGTGTGTATTAGAGATGGGTGCCCTGATCGATAATATTTCTTATAATTGTTATTTCGATGTTTCCTTGCAATATGGAGTGATCACAATTAAAATGGACCAAGTCCAATTTCCTACTATTTTAAGATAATCGTCTTTATACGTTTATAAAATATTGTTTTTGCAGTAGAGATTATTAAGCAGCTATAGTCTATTTCTGTTTTGTTTCTGAATATTCTCTTGATTCCTTTCAAAAATGAAATGGATCAAGTCCATAAAATTAAAGCTGTGCGCGATTATAACACGTGTGCTAAAGTTAAGAGCTAAAAAAAATATTTTTTAATAAAACGGACGACAATGAAACAAAGTCTGAACCATCAGCCATCTGAAAGGTCTGATTCAAAATTTATCAAACATCTAAAATATCGCTTCAAGCAGCTATGATAAAGGTGCGGCTACACACACTACTGCAAGCTTGACAAGCATGCATGAACAATCTTTTTGTACAAGCAAACTGTAGCGTCTGTAGGGAAAATTTGCGCAAGCATTTTAATTGTGCAAGCCGCTTGATGATTGATTGAATTTGAATCATACAAGCTTGGACAAGCCATGCTTGCGCAAGCGAAACGGTACGTGTGTACCACATGTATTCAGCTTGTACAAACAATAAACAATTAGTTCAGTCTGTGATCGTAAATGAGCTGTACGTCGCGTCACCATCATGTCTAGCGATCTGAAAAGTAGCAATCGAGGATTATTGGAAGATTTTATTCGCGCATACGAAACTCAGCCGTGTCTTTGGCGAATTAAATCACCAGAATGTCATGATAGGGTGAAGAAGGATGCAGCATACAAAATTTTACTTAATAAGTATAGATTAATTGACGGCCAAGCCGATAAAAATGCCGTTATTAAAAAGATAAATGCCTTCAGGATTCCTTCTTCTTTTTCTTCGGACTTCCTTCTTCTTTTTCGTGGCATAAACTGAAGCTTGTTCAAGCATGCATGTACCGTGTGGCGGCGAAGGTAAATTATGCATGGCTTGTACAAAAAGGTTGTTCATGCATGCTTGTCAAGCTTGCAGTAGTGTGTGTAGCTACCTTAAGAAAAACATGTGCCAAAATATGTGCAACCGCACTGTTTGGAAGAATGGTAACAGTTTGGTCTTCAGTCTTGGGTGTTATTTGTTCTTGTATTCTTTAGTCATTGTGGATAGCACTATATTATACTCCTTTCTTAATCTTTTTTGTCAATATTCCGCATAAGGATTGTTTCCCTGTTATTGCATAAAACAACTTAATAATAATATAATTATTAAGTTGTTTTGAAACGTTAAATATCCGTACGATCCGTACTTAAAACGTTAAAACATTAATTGTAGAACATATTAATATCAAATTCACAACTTCAAGATTGACGACGTACCTAAAGTGGACCATCACCTGTATTTTTCGAAAATTATTGTTCAGTTTAAATAAATAGTCTTTCTTAATCAATAAATATTACTGTGATCACCCGGTCGACATATATTTTTGTATTTATTCTAAAGTTTACGAAAGACAATATTTTTTAATCTATATCGATAGAGAATAATTATCGATACTGTAACACCTCCCTACATATTTGTCAATCGAAAACTAACCTCACTTTGGAAAATCAAAAATAATCCTTGAAAAGCGGATTTTCGTGACGAAGAGGAAAAAAGCAATGGTGCGAGCGTCGTCGTCGTGGTATAGGCGTCGGGACGCCGTCATGTCAACGACTGGATCTAAAAATACGTAAGGCGATACCGGCGGTGGAAATTGCCGAATATAGAAACCTCTCGAAGGGGCGGTCTAAATATAACCTTAACGCTAGCGCGCCTGTAGTTTTAGTGTCTTTTCGAAATTCCGCGATTGTGGATAGTAGTTCCAAACAGTTTCTCCGAGTATTTTCGTGGTAAACATGGCGGGCGAGGTATCCGACGCCGTTAAAAAGTGCTGCAACTTACTGAAAAACTCTCCCAGCGACACAGAAAAGTTCGCCGCATTGTTTATGGTCACCAAGCTAGTGAAAGGAAAACATGCCACTCCCGCAGCCAAAGTAGCCATTTTCGAAGCCATCGGCTTCGATTTTCTTCGCCGACTTCTCCTCACTACTGACGTCCCTGTCGATTGTCCCCCTTCAATATACAAATCCGTAGCCTTATCAATAATAACAGTGTTCTGTTCAGAAGAACAACTGGCTACAAAGAAGGAAATGCTCGACTTTATACCGGTCTTCTTGGACATTGTTCAGTCAGCAGATGATTCAGAAAACGACGACAACCTCATGGCCATCGGCGAGGCCTACAACTGTCTCAAAGGCATCGCCCTGTTCCCTCCGGGCCAGAGAGCCCTAATCAATGCAGGCGCCATCGACAGACTCAGCCAAATCTACTCATCTGCTAGTTTTCAATCCGATGAAGCCTTAAATATCCTCGGACTTCTCGTTGCTAAAAAAGGCGCCTTATCTTGGGACCCCAAAGACCCTAAAGCCTTCCATGCGCTAGTAAACAAGATTGCCATGGACTTCGAAACAGATCAGGATAAAAGAAAGTTTGAATTGGCAGAGTGTCTTAATGCTATCATCTTTAACTGTCCTAGAAAAGTGGTTTCTGAAAGTGCTACAAGTGAAATATGGCCTCAGAGTATCTACAAAGGCCTGAGTGATATCCTTCAAAGCAAAATAGGTCCAGCTCAAAGGAATCCTGCTCTTATTCTAGCCTCAAGCATGTTGGATTTGCTCGGTGTTGAATGGTTGTTTTCCGATGAAGAAAAAGGTAAACAAATGTATTTACTTTTAATTCAGTTGGCGGCAATTGAAGTAAGGATGCAACTGGATGGGAAAACGCTTAAAGGAACCCAGGCAAATCAAAACTTGATCACCGCCTCGTACATCATTTTGGAACTTTGTTTAAATTTCATGGCTCAAGACACAGTGGACTTGGATCAGAAAGAACGCCAAAGCATCTACACAGCCCTGAAAGGGGCCTTTACTGCCGTCATTAACCTACTCCTGAAAGTGATGCAGGACAAGAACAAGCCCCAGGGTGAAGACAAATTGTTCGTCTGTGCTACAATTCGCGTTCTAGCTGCTTGGCTAGCTCAAGAAACCACCTCAATGCGCCAGCAAGTTTACCAACTCTTGCCTTTCATACTGGAAATGGCTTTTGATAGTTTCCATGCTTATAAAGCTCAAAAAATCGCTGAAAAAGCTGGTCAACCTGTCGATAATGATCCGTTCGGCAAAGTGGATATTTTAAGAGTTCTGTTACCAGCTTTGTGCCACTTGGGGGTCGAGGACGATGCCAGAGCTATTTTGCTTAAAGCCGAAGGTGACAAGATACTTTTAGAATCCTTGGAGTTTCATTGGACTATCGTGAACTATAAGAGACCACCTGTTCCTAGAGCTGAAAGACTTAAAGCCTTAACTCAACCCAAACCTGAACTAACTCCTGAAATTCTGGAAGATATGAAAGACTCCAGGGTTGCTATGAGCAGTACCTGTAACGTATTAATGAACATAACTGTCTTGGAAGCTAAATATGTTGAGAGTAGTCCAGTTTTCAATAACTTGCTCAGATTTATTTTCGATAGCTTGCCTGAACTTAAAGATACACCTGAAAATTTAGTCCTACATGGAAACTTAGCTGTATTAGGATTGCTGTTACTCAAACAGTTGTCTGGAAGGGTTAAGAAGAACGACTTTTCAATTTGTAGATATATTCAGGCCACAATCCGGTTCCTTTGGGATGCGTACATAATAGATGAATCGAATGACCCAACTGCTTTGGTAGTTTCGATGGCTTACAAAGAACACTGGATAGAGTTGATGGAACTTTGGTTTTTGGGTATGCAAACTATAGCAGGTATTTTGTCTCAGATCCCCTGGATCAGCGATTTTATCATTGAATCTGGATGGGCTGAAGGCATAGTAACTTTGTTAAGAAAAGTGAAAGTTGGTACTTTACCGCCAAATGTAAAATCAGCATTTGAAGACTTCTTATGCCATTTAGTTGATGCAAATGAAGACGTTGCTGACGTGCTAAAGAAAGCAGAAGCTCTTAGAATCTGTCGGAATCACAGGTTGATGGAATTGGGAAAGAAATTGTTTGGTGACTAAGACTGCTATAAATTAAGAGATTTTATATCACTGATAAGCTCAAGCTTGTTTTCACTTAATGCATTTTTGTTTGAAGTGTATTTGAATGAATATAATAAATACTATTTAAATTTATTGTTAAGATTAAAGAAACATTTTTTTATACAAAAATATATTGATTAATAAAAACTTGATTTTTGAAAACAGTCTATTATTTCCCTAAGTATTCAAATTTATTTTGAGAAATTAACAAGTCTAGATAAAAATAGCTCGAAATGTTTCCAGAAATCTGTGTAGTTTTAAGATCTGTTACTAGACAGTAAATTTAGACCATGCTTAATACTGTTTACATAAAGGATATTATTAGAACAAAGTAACAAATTTTGAACAGATGCTATATTATTAACTTGGCACTTATTTAAAAAAAACCTATATAAGTAATCTAGTAAATAGTCTTCAAAAATATACCTTTTAAGGTTTCATATCTAAATGAAAGGATAAGATGCCTGTATTACTTTTTCAAACAAATTTTGTTGCTCTATTATTAGATAGCGAATGACCTGAGGAATCGGTACCAAATCAGCAAAGACAAAGCCACATCGATATGTACAAGTTTTTTAAAAAACTTCAGACAATGCCCAGAAAATACCCTCATGAATCTCGACACGTGGAGGACTTTGTTGTGGTCTCAAGCTTTGGGTGAACAGTTTCGACATGATGCAGGTACGTAAGCAATTGTTATTTTTAGTACTTTTATAGTACAACTTTCACTTAATTTAAAGGGCTGAATTTTTGAAATGTTTACAGCAAAAAAAAGTCGAAAACCAAATGTTTATTTACGTATTTGACATATTTTCTAAAATTCATTTTGACAACCATATGTTTATAATTAAATTAGATCTGTGGTGAACGTAAATTTATATATGATATTCTGTCATATATCAAGGTAAAAGCAAACACCAAAGACAAAAGATAGTTTTTTTTGTTACAGCTGTCAGGATGAAAAACTAAGGTTATAATTTTTTATAACCTTAGTTTTAAAACTTTTAAAAATCTTTTCAAAGAGAAATTTTTAATTTTTTTGTATTTTTCGTTAAAAAATGGGCAAGAAATCAAAAGACAAACGTGATATTTATTATCGCAAAGCTAAAGAACAAGGATGGCGTGCCCGTAGCGCATTTAAACTATTGCAAATCGATGAAAAGTTTAATATTTTAAGCGGAGTGACCAAAGCGGTAGATTTATGTGCGGCTCCGGGTAGTTGGTCACAAGTTTTATCGCGTAAATTGTATTTGAACGAAGAAATCGACATCAAAGAGCCGACTAATTTGTTTTATACTGAAGCTTTAACTCAGGTTCAAACACCAGCAACTAATGAATCCAAGAAAAACGAAAATGTTAAAATAGTAGCTGTTGATTTACAGGTATGTATATTTTCAATTGTATACAATTCAACAAGGTGAAATATACAGAGGCATATTAAATTTTAGCCAATGTCTCCATTACCAGGCGTAATACAAATACAAGGAGACATAACAAAATACTCGACTGCACAAGAAATAATAACACATTTTGAGGGAGAAAAAGCTGATTTAGTTATATGTGATGGAGCTCCGGATGTAACAGGACTTCACTGTATGGATATTTATATACAGGCACAGCTATTATTAGGTATGAGCAATTTGACATATTAATTTATGATAGTTTTTATAAAATGCCTCTTTTTAGGTGCCCTACATATTACTTGTAACGTTTTGAGGGAGGGAGGGACTTTTATAGCAAAGATTTTTCGAGGCAAAGATAGTGATTTACTCACAAATCAACTTTTAACTTTGTTTCGTGAGGTGCACGTTGCCAAACCGAAAAGTTCAAGACATTCTAGTATAGAAGCTTTTGTGGTGTGTCAAGGATATTTTCCACCTGACGGTTTTGATCCCAAGCTAATGACACCATATTTAGAGGTCTCAAACAAAGATTTCAGTACATTAGAAGGTAAAATATTAGGAATCATTGTGATAGTGTATTTATTATGTTGTTTTTTAAGGAATAAACAGAGTTATTATCCCATTCATTGTGTGTGGCGATGTTAGCGCTTATGATTCGGACACTACTTACCCTTTGCAACTTAAGGGAGAAGGACCGTATGAGTACAGAGCTCCGGTCCAACCCCCCATAGCCCCTCCATACAGTTTCAAACCTGAACCCACCAAATCTGACATAGATCAGTTTTTGAAGAAGATCGACGAGGCTGCAAAAAGAGTAGGGTTAGGTTTGGGCGCGGATATGAAAAGCCTGAATGACAGCGTGAGAAAACTGAATTTGACTGATATAGATGATCAAGAGAGCTGTTCTTCTTCAAATTTCGATGACATTGCCGAGGATTCTTGTGAGAACGAGGCTAAAACTAAAGATATGTTTGATAATGGACCTTATTTTGATCTATTGTTGAAAGTAGAAGAGGTAAAAAAGCTTAAAGTGGTGGAGGAAGAACCTGAAGCCACCATAGAGCTGAGGAATGTGGATTTGAAAAATTTGCAAGAACTCGAGTTTCTGTGCGAGTATGAAAGTAGCGACCCAGAAATTATAGCTGCACTTTTGAAACACGTACAGCAAGGCAACAATCCACATACATGTACTTGTTTTTGTTCAGAGTAATAATTATTGTAGATGATATTGATTATTTTTTTTGTTGTAATATTTTCTTATCTAGATTTTTATTTTTTGACTAATAAAGATGATTTTGATTTTGTTTTTAAGAGTTATTAGTTATTACACAAAGCAATAACAACACCAGTTCATCTATTTTATTTATTCCTGTGCTGATTTTAAAAAGTCATTTCAGATTTATTCTGAATTATCTTAACTAAGAAAATGGGAATTTTCGAAAGTAAGACTTCTTTATAACGAACGTCTTAAATTGTAGAATATTTTCTCCTCTTGGCAACGCCGCTTTTTAAGAAGTTCAAGAAATTCAACCATAACCAGATGTAGATTAGTAATCGCAAAAAATTGTTGAAGTCGTAATGTTAGAAGCAAAGTTAAGCATTACAGTGAGCTACGTTCCTAATGTAATTTCTTGAGACTTTATTAGGAATATATCTGCGTGTAGTGGTTCTTTTTTCTATACAGGGTCAGGCAATAGTGCGCCGGGCATCTGTAGCTCATATAATAAAAAAAGTGAGAAATTTTGTTTAATAGCCTCTACAGGGTGACTCAAAAAAGTGTTAGTGGATCGGGATGATTTTTTTTTAAATGGAACACCCTGAATATTATTGCATTTTTGGCTTCCTTTTTGGTCACTTTACATAATCCTGAGATATTATGAAATATATGTTTTGATAGTTTCAAAGATATTAATAAATAAGTAAAACTATTTTTTTCGGCCTGAAATCAAAACTATATTAGGTATTAACTGTAGTGGGTCTGTACCAAGGATACTATAGAGATAAGGATAGTTCGATTCCTATCTTCCTGCACTGTCAGTTTTTTTACGTCATCTGGGGACCGAGTTGAAGTTGGCCCTAAAGATTTTAGACAGTGACAGTTATTTTTGCATTTGACGGACGAGCGCACAGTGCGTTGGAAGATAAATTTAGCGGGACAAAAGCGTTTGGTTAGAAATAAGCCAAAAAATGTGCACTGTAAGAATAAATAGTAGACATTCCAATTGATATAAAAATGCATGAATATTTTTTGTATTTCGATACATTTTTATCAACCAAATTTGGTCGTTTTCTGCTCAGCAAGGCAGAGATGATACGAAAACAAAATATTTACAAGTGCTTATACATTTTATTCCAAAGCCAAATTATGTTGAAGATTGTCAAAGGTATGTACTTTTCTACTGTACGTATATTATTTGTTAAAATCCGTCGTGCCTTTGTTCTGCAGATATCAAACTTTCACTTTTTTTCAAATATCGATATACTGAATGATGTAGATCTTTTGAGTTACCAATAGTTACCAACACAGGTACTCACAGTCACAGGGAGTTCAAGCTTAACAGGTGAATGCCCAAAAAGATTCATTTCAATCGGATAGTATAAAAACAAAACAACTCCATCAAAAGGCACTGAGTTTAAAAAATTGTCTTAGATACTTACTATATATGAATTTACAATTACCGAGTGTTAAAATTAAAATTAAAATATCTATCTTATTTATTATTTTCAAAATAAAATATATTTTATTAAAATAAATTAGAGAGGGTGTCACAAGATTACAAATTAATTAAAAAAAAAACTGCTAAAGAGTTTTTTGATATCATAATTTTATGTATTTGGCAATAGTTTACAATACGGTTTTTGTGTGTCATGTACGAATAATATCATAGTTTTATTATCTTGTATTTATTTATTAATAAATTAATTTGTTAATAAATAAATAAATTTAACCATATGGTTGCTATATATTAGACCATTTGCTACGTTCTTAGATTTTAAGTCCCAAACATTGCTCTTGAGATTTTGTCCCGCTAGAATAACCATCCGCCGCACTGTGGAGCGCTGGTCAGCGCGTCACGTAGCATTCCACGGCGACTACGACAGCGGCGATTTGACGCGATCGAACAGTCCTTTAGAATATATACAGTCCTTGGGTCTGTACTACCTTTTCTATAAATATCGTAATCTTTAACCATACAGGGTGTTCAAAATTGTATGCCAAACTTTTTAAAATATGAAATAGTCTCTTCGTTTTTTTTTAATGGAACAAAAACCTGTGTATTATTTCTTTGCTAGATGAAAAAAAAACGGCGTCAGCGGTGGCTATGAAATGAACATCGCTAGCATAAAAAAACATAGCTAGTTTTTTACGGTATTCTCCGATGGTGGCAGCACCGGCGGAGAACGCGCCAAGCCTATAGTGTGCTATAGGTGTAGGAACAACACAATACATTTTTCTTGGTTTTTAATATTTACATTTTTATATTTTTACATTTTACAGAAACTGTTTGTTATGTAAATATTGTTGTTGTTGTTGTCTTCGCCACCTCTCAAAGCCACAACAAGATGCAGTACGGCACCCGGCTTTAGTTTGTAGCTGCTGATCGCCTTGTCGTCTTTCAGTTGCTTGCCCTGAAATATCAGACGTTGCTGTTGCGGGGGAATGCCCTCTTTTTCTTCTAATTTTTCTTTGAGAACTGTAAGCAAAAAATACATTTTAGAAGATGTTTTCAGTATACAGGGTATCTGTCAAACGAGTACAAGTAATTTAAGTGTTCCTAATAATTTAAAGAAAGTATTTGAAGACGTCTGGCTCTTTGATATATCTTTTACTATGCTCTCTGGAACAGCATGCGGCCCGTCTGGCTGCCGGTAAAAATGTAGGATCTTCTTCCGATGCGCAGTAGTGAACGCAACGGGTATCGGCAGCCAGACGGGCCGCATTCTGTTCCAGAGAGCATAGCAGTAGCGGCTCGTGACCATTAGAACTGATGAGGCGACGCAAACTCGGACGAAAACAAAAAGACGGGGGGGGGGGTCTAAGCTGCAACAAGTTTAATTTTTTTTTCCTCAGATATAATATGTTTGAAGATTTAACCTACTAAAAATGTCATAAAAACTTTTTTTTTTGTTTTTATGTGTTTATTTTCTTTTTGTTTTTTTTAAGCAGCTAAGCAACAATAAGCTAGAGATTTTTTTGCTCCTCATATATAATAAGTTTGTAAGCATAACTTATTAAAAAAGTCATCATCGGAACTGTTTCTTTATTTTTTTCTTTAGAGTATAAATAATATAACTTAAACATATATTAGGTATTAGCTAACTAATCTAATGATCGTAATATAACAGCTCTAATTTGAGGTTTTCGTTCGGTTAGTAAGACGGAATTTGTCACATCAAGCTCTACGACGCGCGACGCGACGACATAAATAAGAAGCAAACAAGTAAAAAATAGTTAAAAAATGTAATTGTATAAGAATTATTCCTTGTAGGTTAAGTTTATTCGTCAGTCTTTAAAAATAGCAAATTTATCAATTATGTCATCATAAAACTTCCCTTCGTTCTCACTAAGGGTAACCAACAGCGCCTTTTCAATTGAAAATAAAGACAAAGCAGAAAGTCTATCTTGTAACATTGTATTTCTTAAGTAAGATTTTATCCGTCTTAGACAAGAAAAATCCCGCTCGGCTTGAACACTTGTAATCGGGATCGTTAATTTGTCTTTTTATCATTTGTTATAACACTTATCTGGGGAGTAGGTCTGTTTCCCTATAAGACCTCTCGCTTTTCATCCTCCTGTCTTCTGGAAAACGGGGTTTCTAGAAGGGACATCACAATGTCATGTACATGATTCATTTTAAAGTCTGATTATTACAAAATAAATCACTAAACTCTGAATTACGGCTAGATCACACTACTTGCTACTCACAAAAGCATAAAACAAACCGACCGAACAGACGTGACGTTTAGTAATTCCCCAAAATATCTAAAGTTAATTATTTTGACCAGTATTGCGTGGATGCCAAGAGTTCATATTATTCAAATTTATTCTATACTCTCTTCGATATACGATATTATTTCCATAATTATTGATGGGGTATTTCGTGAAGATCACTTAATAGATTAATTTTAATTACAAAGAGCATTATAATATCGCATTATCCAGCCATATCAAGCACGAACTATTTTTGAAGTTAACAATCAAATTTGTAAAGAATGGATTTTTTTCATGAATCTGGCAACAGCGTTGCACTTAAGCGATTTGGCTGTCGCCTCTGCAGCAGCTAATTTCACGCTTTCCCTCCGCTTCCCCGACCCACCGATTTCAATGTGTGACGTTTTAGTTCATTGATAAAAAAAGGTCGGCAGAGGCGGCAAAAAGTACGCCTCAGGAACGCAGACCGAAAAGATGCATTGTAGTCCAGTTAAAACAGAAACGATATGGCGCGATCGGTTGGTTTAGACCGGTCGAAAAGTAAAAAGCTTGGTATATTTTAATAAAATTATTCAATATTAATATTGCTATAATATAAATATACGATTAGCTGGAAATAAATTTGTGTACTACTAAAGGCTAGAATTTCGAGGCGAGGCGGCGCCTCAGTTGCCTCACCTGACGGGCCGCCACTGGAGCATAGTAAAAGATATATAAAAGGGCCAGACGTCTTAAAATACTTTCTCGAAAACGTTGCTAGCTCGATTTTCCTATATTTAGAATAATTCACACTGTAACTGTTTAAAACTAGCTTAGATAAAATCATATATCATACGTTATAATTGTGAACAACTATACCAAGACAAAACTCACCTATTATTTTGTCCGATGGTTCTACATCTATCATTCGTTCATCTCCTGTCAAGGTAACAACCTTTAATATCATTGAATTCAATCCAGAAAAATTATACGAGTTTGTTCTTCGTCCCTATCGCATTTGGTTTCCTTTTCAACAAGAATTTCGACTTTGTTAGACATCTGTCATGATTTCTTTGACACTTCCTGTCGTTTGACAAACAAATCTAGTTTTCTAATTGACCGGGGTTAGGTTATTTATGTTCTATTCGTGTAGTGTCGTGGCAGTGAGATAATATAGGTACATTATAGTTAAAATGAACCAAAACAGTGCGACAATCATTGTTTTGGAGGTTTCTTTATAATTAATGAAATAGGTTATGTTATTATGTTATGAATCAATGACTTCTGAGTGCTTTAACTAGTTGTAACGTAGCTCCATTCTTTAAACGATAGCTTTCGATGGTTTTGTTTCCCTTAAGTTTTTTTCCTTTGTAGCTTAGTCTTTGCTGCTCAACGTCTGTGCCTTCAGTTTCGGCTAGTTTTTCTTTCAAAACATCGATGGTATCGCTAGGCTCGATTTCTATGACTTGTTCGGGTCCTAAAAGTGAATATCTTTTCAAAATTTACCATTAGAATTACCTTTTTGTACTTACCCACGAAAGGTTTTATCCGTAAAATCATTTATACTAAGAATTTTCGTAAATATCTGTAAATATCTACATTAATTTTTCACTGAAAATTTTGAATTCCGCCATAAAGTTGAAAGTTTTTTTTATTAACTTGTCAATAATTTGACACTTCAGATTTTGTTTTCATGGTTACGGTGTCGGCGTTACGGTATTTTAGTGTAACTTTTGATAGCTCTCTATTATGATATAGGGTGTAAATGAATAAAAAAAAACGATTTTAAGTTAACGTTTCCTTTTTGCTTCTGAAGCTAATATGAACAGTCTTTCTTTGTTCTTTTAAATGAAATAGCCTGTATATTATTTTCAGTAGATAGAGAATTAAAAAATAAATATTTTTTGCAGATACACGCATTATTTTATATGGCTCTTTCAACGGTAAAATACGAGAGAAAAATTATTGGGTGGCTGTGATAAAAATTACTGTGAAAAATGCCATGATACAAAGAATACAAGGTATGCTATTGCGCAGGTTGGTCACTACGTCACAGGTGATAAACGGCACCATTGGTCGGCAAGCTCCGCGCGCCAATTTCAAATTGTCAAACAGATGACATAATAAATGTGAAAATAATTTTCCAAATGTCAAGCTCTATGATTTGACATAACTTTTGGGGTAATGTCCTAATTCTTCCCTATTTTAGGTCTTTTTTTATTAGTGGCAATTGGACAATATGAATATTTTTTTGTATGGCGTATGACGTTACAGGTGGTATGCGCAAACTTAACGCTTAAACACGTATATTTTATTTTGTTTTTTTTACATATTTTAAGATTTTTTAAAATGTATACAGGGTGTTTCGAAAAATCGGGTCAATGATTAATCACGATCCTGCTTAAAGCGCTTGACGTAAAAAGCTGATTTTTGGAAAACAGATTGACTTTAGGGTGAAGAGGTTCGATAAGAAGGGATTTTTCGAAACTCGAATTCTAAGGGGTGAAACTAACCCTCAAATAATAAAATATTTTTTATTTAAAAACCGGTGAGTTTTTCGGAAAAACTCTTAAACACGTATATTTTATTTTGTTGTTTTGTTTAAAAATTTATACAGGGTGTTTCATAAAATATGACCATTGAGTAATCACGATTCTGCTTAAACTGCTTGACGTTTAAAGCTGATTTTTGGCAAACGGATTGACTGTGGAGTGTAGAGGTTCGATAAGGAGGGGTTTCTCGAATCTCAAATTCCAAGAGGGTGAAAACGCCCCTCAAATATTACAATATTTGTTATTTAAAAAACGGTTAGTCTTTCGGGAAAACGCTTGGACATGCATAATTTCTTTGGTTTTTTTACATATTTCGAAATTTTTTAAAAAATCATACAGGGTGTTCCAAAAAGTTGGATAATTTCTTAACCACGATTCTGCTTAAACTGCTTGACGTAAGAAGCTTATTGTTGGCAAACGGATTTTTTGAAAGTCAAATTCCAACGAGATGAAACTACCCCTCAAATATTACCAAGTTATATAATAATATCGCCATATTGTTTTTTCTCATGCTGACATAAATGTGAGAAAATTTTATCTAGTTTGTATGTTAATGGAAATTCTTGCTTTGCTTTATCCTCACCATTACAAATGATTAATTCGACGCGAACGAAGTCGCTGGTACACGCTAGTGAAATATAAAACCGTGGATATCTGCGAAACCATTAAACATTTTGAAATACTCTAAATACAAAAAATTATTATTAATTATTTTAATTCTCCATCTTTAAAAAAATAATATGCAGGCTATTCCATACAATATTTACAAGAACGAAGAAAGATTATTTTATATTTTAGAAAGTCTGGCGTAGAATTTTGAACATCCCGTATGATTTACGATTACTATATTTATAGCAAAGCAAGTACAGACCATCTAAAGTAAATACCTAATATAGTTTTGATTTCAGGACAGTTCTTGTATTTTTAATAATTTTTTTAAGAAAGACTAAAAATGGATTTTTTTATTTATTTATTAATATCTCTGAAATTATCGAAATATATTTACTCATATCTTAGGATTATGTAAAGTGATCTGAAAGGAAGCCAAAAATGCAATATCATACAGGGTGCTCCATCTAAAAAAAATCATTCCGATCCACTCAAATTTTTTTGAACCACCCTATAGAAGTTAAAATATTTTCCTGAAATACATCCTTAGACAAAATTCCCAAGTTTTTTTATTCTAGGAATTGCAAAGGCCCGACGCACTGTTGCCGCACCCTGTATAGAATATTTAAGAAATATAGGTGGTGTACTAAATATTTGTAATAAGAGCTTTTCATAATTGTATTTTTTATGATTCTCGTTTTCTTTTTCAGATAAAATCTACAAGAAATGGTTGACTCAACGATACCAGCATTTGGCTCTATCGAAGAAACTCACAATCTTACTGAAAAATCTAAGAAAAAAGTACCAAATCGGCATAATAACCAATGGGACTTCTTCTGCTCAATGGGAAAAAATTGACATGTTGAATATAAGAGATCTGTTTGATATCATATTAGTTTCAGGTAAGCCTTATATAGAAATAGAAATAAAACTCATCTATACCGGGTGTTGCATCGTCGGACGGGACATAGGAAATCCCATGTAAATTTTAATGGGGTCAATTATTGGCTTCCCTAATTATTTTAGAGAATAATTCTATTTAGGTTTATTGAAGAGCACTAAAACCCACATTCAAAAGAATAACTTTAGATATTTATGATTAGCTCGTTTACGAGTTATCGCCGATTTATTTTTAAATATTTCTCCTTATGGCCCTGTATTTACTTATGAGCACCAGTCAAGGTAAAAGATAACTGTCAAATGAAGTTGTCATTTCAGAAATTTACCTATTTAGTGCTTTATTATTATTGAAAACTCATTCCTACATCAAAAATCTTAAAGATGTATTTATAAATACAAATTAATATGAATTAAAGTAAAAGAAAGTATTCAATTACAAGGTTAATTATAGTATTATTACAATATCCAATAACTTATAAATTTAGGTACTATTAAATTGTTAGAACTTTAGGATTTAAGAAGATGTTCAAATATTCCTCCATCGACTGCTAGACAATAACCCAGGCGATCATAAAATTCTCTTCTTATATTCTCTAGTTGGTAAACTGAAATTCTATTGCATTCGGCAGAAATAGCATTTTTTAACTCGTCTAGATTTGGGTATTTTTTATCCTTGTATATCCTGTTTTTTAAATGGCCCCAGAGGAAGAAATCATTTGGCGAAATATCAGGAGACCTTGGTGGCCAATTTACTGTATGATTTAGGTCAATAACGTTTCCGTTAAAACTATTGTCTATATAAGTATTCCCGAACAGCCAGGGTACTATGTGCCGGGCAGCCATCCATTTGATACCAAACTTCCTGATTTTCTCTAGCGGCATCATGTAAAGCAGGTAAAATATGATTTTTGAGTAATTCCAAATAATATTCTGCATTTAAATTTCGCGTAAAAAATAATGGCCCGATAATATTGTGTCCGAATATCCCTGCCCAAACATTTACTTTCTGTGGATATTGCGCCCTTGTTTCGACAAACCTGTGTTGGTTTTCTTTGTTCCAATATCGATAATTTTGAACATTTGGTTCATTATTTAAGGTAAACGTGCATTCGTCAGTGAAACATATGTTTTTTAAAAATTCCCTATCCGTGTTTGCTCTTTCCATCATATCAAAACAAAACGCCTGCCGCCGTATTTCGTCCCCATCTCGTAGCTCTTGGTTCTTTTCATATTTGAAGGAATAGTATTTATGTCGTTTCAAAATTCGAAACGCTGTAGTGTGATCTATTCCTATTTCATCCTCAAGTTTCCTTGTGCTGATCTTTCCATCGTTCTCTTCCACGCACAATAAAACTTCCAAGTCGGTATCATTTCTTGCATCTTCTCTTTGTTCCTGCCTTGCTTCACATCTGCAGTTATTTATTAGGGTACCTTTGGTCTCAAATCTCTGGATATTCCTTGCGATTGTAGATTTTCCAGGTATCGGTCTATTCGGATACAGAGCAGCAAACATGCCCGACACCTTTTGATAACTATTTCCTTGATAATACCATTTAATCATTAATACTTTTTCTTCGGTAGTGTAATTCATGGCTAATTTTTTCGATGTAGGTATGAGTTTTTAATAATAATAATAAAGCACTAAATAGATAAATTTCTGAAATGACAACTTCATTTGACAGTTATCTTTTACCTTGACTGGTGCTCATAAGTAAATACAGGGCCATAAGAAAGGAGAAATATTTAAAAAGAAATCGGCGATAACTCGTAAACGGGCTAATCAAAAATATCTAAAGTTATTCTTTTGAATGTGGGTTTTAGTGCTCTTCAATAAACCTAAATAGAATTATTCTCTAAAATAATTAGGGAAGCCAATAATTATCCCCATTAAAATTTACATGGGATTTTCTATGTCCCGCTCGACGATGCAACACCTGGTATACATTTTTTGTTTTAAAGTGCCATACGATAGAAAAAAAACGGCGTCGAAGACGCCTGGGACAATCGATGATAATTTTTATTAGGTCAAGCCCTAGACGTTATTACTTGACACGTACTTTTCTTTATTTTTTTTAATGGCGCTAACTGCCAATTGGCCTTAAGAACGTGGCCTTTTATTGCTTCAGAATCGTTTGTCAGATATACCCTGTCGTAGCGGCGCCGGCGCGGCGTAGCGTGGCGTCAATACAAGGGGATGTTTACAGTTGAGGGTTGGAACCTTTGGTGTTACACAGCAAAATAAAAACACTAAATCACCACAATACACCAAAACACTTTTACTTTTACACTGGACGCGCGTTTCGCTAACCATGTTAGCATCATCTGCAGATGATTATAAACTCACATGGATGTAATAAGTAACTGCAATTTTTGTATAAATTACCTTTATTTGAATAAATTTACTGAGAATTTAATGTATTATAGGAGATCTCAGTTTTTTTTATTTTTTTTTCTCTATGATAGAAAATAAATCAAATTTGACAGCTATAATTTTCTTTTAGGCGACCTAGTCTGTGAAAAACCGGACAGAAGAATATTCTGGAAGGCCTGCGACGAACTTCACGTCAATCCCAAACACTGTCTCATCGTCGGTGACAAATTAGAAACCGACATTTTAGGCGGCGTAGAGGCACAATTGGGCGGCACAGTTTGGGTGCCGCTTAGTCGCCCTTTTACTCTCAAACAGGACGACCCAGTCCCAGATTACGTCATCCACGACGTCATGGAGCTGCGTTGGCTACTTGATGACGTGGCGGACGCAGAGAAAGGACGGTTTTGTCCCGAGGACGACTGTAACTCAAACGGGAGCGATTTCAGTTGATATTTGGTGTTTAGGGGGGTGGTAGCACACGTTTTTGTAGTATTAATGTGTGAAAGTGTTATAGAATGATTGTTTTTCTTAAATGAACTGGTTCTTGTTGTGAATAAGGTTGTATAATGTTCTGTAAAATTTGCAGGACACTTTAAAATGTTTACAAGAAGCCCTTTACTATCAGATATACAGGTTGTTAATTTGTTTATTACTCGCGGCAAGAGCTTTATGGTTGAAATATGGCAACCTCTATATTAACCGCTAACCACTCGTCGATAGACGACGCGACGCGCGACGGGACGAGTCGGCAGAACAGTGCATGCTTTCTCAATAGACAGTGTTGCCATTCTGTTCCCCTGTAAGTAACTGTCCAGTTAACAATCTGTATAATATAAAACTGGCAATATGTTTTAGCTCGTTGTATTGCTGGTTGTATATCCTCATTAAAAAAGTATTGTTTGATGTGAATTTTATTGATCTAAGATTATACCGGGTGGTACGTCGTCGTTGGAAATATAAAAAAATCCCATGCAAATTTTGAACTGTCTAAATATTGGCTCCACTATTAATTTTACAGCTTGAGTAGCGGTATTGACGGTTTCATCATAACGGATTTTGTTATGATGAAAATAAGCAGCAAAATATATTATCGATTGCAGCAAATATACCTAGTTTACATTCAGTATGTCCAATTAATATAGAATATTATACCTATGCATACTTTTAAAAATTTGCTACCATTATATTTTGATAGTTGAGTTTTTGAAATTATTTGTTCGTAAATAGGTTTTTTAAAGGTTTGCCTATGCTGAAAATATGCCAGATTTGAACAATTTTTGACAAGCCGATTTTAAGTAATTTAGGAAAAACTGCGCCCATCTATTTTTAAGCATGTTTTTTTAGAATTGTTTAGAATTTAGAATGAGTGGGAGGGGGGTTAATCACTTCGACCTTACAGATCCATTGTGTCCCCCTTTCTTGAATCATAACTCATCATACAGTCCCAGGGCTTTGACAAAAGCCAGTATCTGGGACGGTTTTATAGAGGGTAGTTCTCCATCTCCAATATCAGTCGTACCAAAATTCATGGCACGAATGGTTGTCGTCTCGGCGCACTCAGTGATGAGGTGTACTGGTGTTTCCCCATCTTTCCCACAGAATCTGCATTCGCCGTTTCTTCTTAGTTTCAATCTACTGAGGTGTCCATTGAGGAGACAGTGTCCTGTTAAAAACCCCGTGACAATCCGAAGATTGTTCTTACTCAGAAAGATCTGTGATTTTTCTTGATCATAAGCCCTCAGAAACTTCTTCGAGTGTCTTAGACCATTGCAAGATTTCCATTCCAGGTTGCGGATGGAATCTTCCAAGTTCTTGAGTTTCGCCTTGAGTTGGTTACCACTTGGAAAGCAGAACGGTTCTGGTCCAGTTAGTGGAGTGTTCGCTCCTTTCCTAGCTAGATTATTTGCTTTTTCATTGCCTTCTATCCCTTGGTGAGCAGGCACCCAGTGTAGGAGGACTTTGTTTTCTTTTGCCTAAATTATTCAGCTTCTCTATGCATTCTTTTGACCAATTTCGAATTGATTGATACTGAGTTGATCGCCTTTAACGCTGCTAGACTATCAGATAAGATGGCTATTTCTTGTTTCCGATAGTTCCTATCTAAGATAAGTTGTACGCATCTCTCGAAGCGTAGATTTCTGCCTGTAGGATACTAGGGTAAGTGCCCATTGGTTCCGGAGTAATTAGCTCTCGGTCCAAACACTCCGATCCCTGTTCCCGTATGGTTTTGGAAGCATCAGTATACCAAGTTATGGTATGGTCTTTTAACTGCTGGGCAAGCGTTTCGCTCTTCCAATCCTTTTTATTGCTCAATACTACATTGAAATGTTTCTCAAAGTTGTACGTTCTTGGCATATCGTCCACTGGGAGTTGCAGGAGTGGTATTTCCTTTATGAGGGTGTTCCAAGCCCCTGATCTGACAATTCTCCCAGTACTAATTCCGTAAGTGACCATTCTAATCATTGTCGCATTGGCATATCTACCAATGACAATGTGCAGTGGTGTTAGATCTAGAATGACCTCCATTGCTGCTGTTGGACAGGTTCTCATGGCTCCTATGATGCAAACGCATGCTAGTCTCTGGACTTTGCATAGGTTTAGCCTTGCCGTCCGTTGCTCTAGTTTTGTGTACCAGGCAGCTGTTCCATAAGTAATCATGGGTCTTACTATCATGGTATACATCCAGCGCAAAATGTTAGGGGAGCAGCCCCATCTATTTCCGGCCAGTCTTCTGCATATCATGAGAGCCTTTATGGCTTTGCTGGTAGTGTTCTTAATATGCCTGTTCCACAGGAGTTTACTGTCCAGGGTTATTCCCAGGTATTTAACTTCCTGTGTTGGCAGTATTTCCTTTCCATCGAGTTGGATTCTTTTCAAGTTTTTCAGACTTCGCCTTCTGGTGAATGGCACTATCGCGGTTTTGTCTGAGTTGATACTCAGCCCGACAGTCCTACACCCTTTAAACCTTTAAGCATGTTTATTCAGCATACGTAGTTACAACCTTTAAAAGTTATTTACTGGATAGTTGGAAATATTTCCTATGTTTCCAACGACGATGCGCCATCCTATATATGTATAATAATGTTCGCCATATACATCGCTGTGATAACATGGCAGGTGATTCAGTATATATTTTATATATTTTTGTATATAAATCAACTTTTTCAAGAATTATACTTCTTAAGGTACGCGTACACTGACCAGAGCCGCACGCGCAGTATCGACCGAAGAAAAATATTGTTTGTGTTACTTTCAATGAAGCTGCGCACACTAGCCAGAGCCGCACGAATCGCATCGACGAAAATGCGGCCAGCATTGTTGGGCCAGAATGATTTTCGGTAAATGCGGCTAGTGCTGCTGACGTCACACGCAATTCCTTCCACTCTACGTAGCGTAGGTAGCCGAAGAGGAGATTAGAAATTCAATATGCTAAGAAAGTTCGCAAATTTTTTATGGCTCATATTGAAAAATGTTTAGCTCATCCTCAATTAAATATGGAAATAATGTGGATTTTTGCAAATATTGTGAACCTATAACTTTCGATTTTTTCTTCTTCTATTAACAAGGAGCTCATAATTATTTCTTGTTCGTTGTCATTCATTGTCGAGAAATATTCAAAAATACGCTTACCACCACAGACAGGACTCCGGAAGCGATTGATGATAAATTCGATTGGCAAATACGGGTGTAGTAGGGGCAAAAAGAAACAAAATAGCGAAGAATGCGGCGCTGGTCAGTGTGCGCGTACCTTTATAGTTTATTAAAAGTATATACAGTGTGACCCATTTTTATAATATCAAAAAAGAATATAAAAAAAAATATTTTCTCTAGATCTATATATTTAAATTATGATTATTATATAATCAGACTAGTTTTATAATTTTCATGTTTACTATAACGAGAAGATTAATATTTATGTTTGGTACGTAAATATTATCCAATCGCAGAAAAAATGGTGGTATTTTTCGATCATACGGTATTTTTGAGAACGAAATTTTATAAGTTGTTGTAAATATTTTTAATGAAAGATATCATACGATCGAAGAAAGAAAAACGGCATCGGAGATAAATTAAAAATGAAGATCGCTGTCGTTTTGTATACCGGGTGTTGCATCGTCGGACGGGACATAGGAAATCCCATGTAAATTTTAATGGGGTCAATTATTGGCTTCTCTAATTATTTTAGAGAATAATTCTGTTTAGGTTTGTTGAAGATCACTAAAACCCACATTCAAAAGAATAACTTTAGATATTTTTTATTAGCCCGTTTACGAGTTATCGCCCGATTTCTTTTTAAATATTTCTCCTTTCTTATGGCCCTGTATTTACTTATGAGCACTAGTCAAGGTAAAAGATAACTGTCAAATGAAGTTGGCATTTCAGAATTTTTTTTAATTTTAAGGTAAACGTGCATTTGTCAGCGAAACATATGTTTTTTTAAAAATTCCCTATCCGTGTTTGCTCTTTCCATCATATCAAAACAAAACGCCTGCCGCCGTATTTCGTCCCCATCTCGTAGCTCTTGGTGCTTTTCATATTTGAAGGAATAGTATTTATGTCGTTTCAAAATTCGAAACGCTGTAGTGTGATCTATTCCTATTTCATCCTCAAGTTTCCTTGTGCTGATCTTTCCATCGTTCTCTTCCACGCACAATAAAACTTCCAAGTCGGTATCATTTCTTGCATCTTCTCTTTGTTCCTGCCTTGCTTCACATCTGCAGTTATTTATTAGGGTACCTTTGGTCTCAAATCTCTGGATATTCCTTGCGATTGTAGATTTTCCAGGTATCGGTCTATTCGGATACAGAGCAGCAAACATGTCCGACACCTTTTGATAACTATTTCCTTGATAATACCATTTAATCATCAATACTTTTTCTTCGGTAGTGTAATTCATGGCTAATATTTTCGATGTAGGTATGAGTTTTTAATAATAATAATAAAGCACTAAATAGATAAATTTCTGAAATGACAACTTCATTTGACAGTTATCTTTTACCTTGACTGGTGCTCATAAGTAAATACAGGGCCATAAGAAAGGAGAAATATTTAAAAAGAAATCGGCGATAACTCGTAAACGGGCTAATCAAAAATATCTAAAGTTATTCTTTTGAATGTGGGTTTTAGTGCTCTTCAATAAACCTAAATAGAATTATTCTGTAAAATAATTAGGGAAGCGAATAATTGACCCCATTAAAATTTACGTGGGATTTCCTATGTCCCGCTCGACGATGGAACACCCGGTATGTAAAATTATATGGGGAATGTCGTCATTTCCAAGCCGTTTTGTTTTCGATCATGCGGTATAATATAGAGAAGTTAACAGATCCAAAACAGAGTGGTAAAAAATAGGCCACTCTATATAACTGTCTTATTTATTTATTAGATTTCTTTTACTCATTTAGACATGAAAAGTTGGGTGTTATACATAACACTTGGTTGAATTCATTTTCGAAAAATAATTACACTATATAATTTTTATTTGGATATTTTTCCAATCGAATATTAGGATATTTACGTTTCTTTTCTCTTTGTTTTTGGAATTGGATAAAAAATAAAATTATTTTATAGAAAAAATTGTTGTGTTTTTTATAACCATCCTTCCATCTCCTTTTTTTTTAGTGTGTATTTATTTCGTAAATAAAGGTGGAATAGGCAGAAGAGATTAGAAGGAGCCTTTCTTTGCCTAATTTGTTCAGCTTCTCTAAGCATTCTTTGACCAACTTTGAAGTGATTACTTTAGTAGAGAGTTGATCGCTTTTGTTAGGTAATCCCTAGTTCAGTAAAGTAACACGAAAAGGATTATATATACATCACAAATTAGTGTTATAACAATAGGCGTCACATCAGAAAGCAATAAAAATAGTTTTTGGTATTTTTCATAATATATTTTTAATATATTTATTGATTTAACAAGAAAAAGATAGGAAATCCTTTACAACATCTGCTGATACGTTATAGTGACTACATGTCAATAAAGAGAACATTAGAGGTGTATAATACATAATATAATAATAATATGGATTCTCAAAACACAATAATAACTAAGCTATTGAGCTTTAAAGAATAATGATAATATACAAGTAACATATGTTTAACATAGGTTTCAAAAATGGGAAAAGAATAGGAATATATATTAGCACTTCACCATTTTGGCCTAATTGAGTTAGGGAATATTCACACTATACACTAAAATCCATACATTAATATGAGTCCGTTTCTAAACGCATTTCATCCTTCGCTTCATTTTCACAATTTCTATAGATACGATTTACATTTATTTACCGCATTTTGTCCAAAACGTACTCAAACCAAAATTTACAATTTTGTACGTGGCAACAGCTAATAAAAACCATAACAATAACATTATTCTTGAATAATACGAAAAGTTTCAAGTAAATCTTGGACAAAAAAGTTTATTATCACTTCATTGTCACAATTCCTACGTGTACGATTATCGTTTATTTACTGAATTTTGTCCAAAACGTATTTAAACCAAAACTTACAATTTTGTAGAAATAGCCAATAAAAACCATAACGAAAACACTATTATTGAATAATACGAGAAGTTTCGAGTAAATCTTGGACGAAAAGTAGTTTTTTAGGATATTATCACTAGGGTCAAAGTCTGGTTGGTCTGGAGGTTTGGGGGCTAAAGTCTACAGGATCCTGCACGCGTTCCTCAGCACGTTCTTCTTCTTTTTGTGCTTGTGGGGCTGAAGGACTATGGTACCGTTGTGGTTTTTGGAAGCGTGACTAGGACTGAAGGCACCTGAAAGAAAGAGGCGAAATTAGGAAAACTTTGTTATACCGGGTGGCCCATCGAAAACGTTCCGCAAGGCATAACGGCCAGGGTATTTTTTTTTTCAAGAAATCCGAAAACACGTCAATATTGTTTGTGAGGGGGACAACTTTTGCCCCAAAAATGATTGTAAAATGTTCAACCCTCTAAGCGGGGGTGTCATCCCCCAATTTTTTCAAATGGGAAGGGGGGTCAAGTTCACCGCAATGAAAAGAGCTTTCTATTCTCTATATTTCACCGCCTCGTTTTTGAAAATCGGTCGAGTCATTGAGAAAATATGAAGGATTGAAATTTGAAAAGTTTATTTAAACATTTATTAGAGTAAACGATAAGGATAAATTCCTTCGACCAATTTGAGGTTTTTTCTTATTATTTCTAGATGTTTACGCATTTTTTCACTTGCCACAAGGTTGAACGATCAGGTGCGGTAGTTGCTAGATAGCTGTTCTGTGACTTGTGCGTTGAAGTTCTTCTCAGTATCGTTAAACTGACTCCAAATGACCAAACCAAACCAAACATCTAAAAATAAGTTTTTGGATTTTCTGAAAAAAAAATTACCCTGGCCGTTATACCTTGCGGAACGTTTTCGATGGGCCACCCTGTATATTTTTTTCAGTAAAAAAGATGAGGATAAATAGAGATCAGTAATTATTATTTTAGTATGTATTAATGTTTTATGTTCTATTATACCTTTCGTAATAAAATAAAATAGAATTTAATGACGTTTTCATAAATATAAAAATGCGTATTTATGTAGTTAGACTCTCTATGTTTAAATAAAACCGTCATATCTTTATGAGAATACCGATTTAAGTGTAAGACAAATAATCTAAGGCATTTAAGTATTCAAATTACTATGCTAAATGGGAACATCTATCTCTCCTATGAATAATTTAATAGCCAAAGAGTAATTATTGTTTAAATAAAGAAATAAAATCGTTTTAAAACTAATAAATTATTCAACGCGATGAATAAAAGATATTTCGACATGGGAAGAATGTTCGCGCTTTTTTATCAAGTGCAAAGCCAGTAAAAATTGTAAAAATCATTATTAATGTATGGAGGAATGTATACAGGGTGAGTTTTCTACGATGTTCTCTATATGCGTATCTCGGAAACTACTGGAGCTAGGGAGTTGATCAAATAGGGAAAGAATTGCAGTTTTGGGAGGACAAATAGATGCGCCTTTCGGATTTTTGAAAAAGTTTATGGCTTACATTTCGAAAAAAACAAATTTCGGATATTTTAAAAATGTTTCCTAATTTTAAAAAATTATAATTTAAGGTGAAAAAGTATTTCGATTATGTTTTATATTCTTTAAATACTTTCTAACCTCAAATATTAGTAAAATTCTTGTTTATATCGCACAGCCCGTTCAAAACTGTATTGTCTCCAAAAAATGTTTACAAAACAAACAATTATTACAAAAACAATGTCCTTTTAATCTGATTTATACCTCAGAAGGATGCCAGTAAAATTTTATTAAATCAACATTATATTGTTTGACCATTAATATGCAAAAAGGAGCATATTATTGCTTTAACTTAAATTTTCTTTTACTTCTCTTGACAATGTTCCCTATTTTGAGTTAATAAACTTTTGAACGGGATGTGCGATATATAAAAAATATATAATATATCCAAGGGTATGATTTGATAAAAGTATTTTTTGATGCATTCATGTATTTTTGGTTGTTTATATACGTTGGCTTGGTTTATGTTTTATTCAGCTTATATTTATCTGGTATAATAGTTTTTTTGCCTTTGGACTGGCATGCATTGATGCTAGATAGTATTTCATTAGGTCATTAAAGGAATTAAAATTAGCATAATCATGATACAACCACTGCACATAAAACACTCCCCCCAAGAACGGTAAACTAATAGGATTGCTCATCCTCATAAGACGTACGTTCGCCTCTTCCCGCGCTTCAGCTGACAGTTGTGACGTCATTGTAGTCCTTGTCATGATAGTGTGTATTATTAGTTGCCTACGGTAAACTTATGTTTTTGAGTTAATTATTTTGTCAATTTTAAATGTGAAAAAGGTGTTATAGTGTATAAATACGTTCATTTTGTGTTGTGGATTGTGACAAAGTGCTTACTAAGTGCCTACGATATTGTTTATTAATTATTTTAAAGCAAAATATGGAAGTACTCTAAAAAGAATGCCTGCAAAAGGTGATGCTGGGAACTGCTGTTCTTAAAAATGCATTATCCGAGTATTTAATACGATTTATACAGTTAATTTTCTATACTGCATACATATAAGCTGTTTAAATAAATAAACTAAATAATGAACGTCTTGCATCCGGCAACCAATAATGCACGTGTGTGTATTATTGGTTGCCGGATAAGGACTAATAATCATGACAAGGACTACATTGACGTCACAAAGCGAGGAGTTTTGGCATGCACCTGGCAGACACTTTTGGCTGAATGAGCAGTCCTATTAGGTTAACTGTTCTTGCACTCGCCCTCATAATAAAAGAAATGTTAAAAAAAAATTATATCAGAATTATGTAAACTCAGAGATAGGAAGAGGTGGACCAATTGCATGGGCCTCCTCGGTCACCTGACCTATCAGTTTTTGATTTTTTTATGCGGTATGGTTAACAAATACAAGAGAAACAAATACAAGAGAAATTATGAATCAAGAAAGGCACTACGCGGTTCTTTGAGAAAAGTTTGTAATTCAATTTTATAAAGATGCATTTTATGTTCTCAAAACACTGGCGGCATTTTTTGAACATTTGCCAAAATAACTTAAAGTGTATGTAGTGATAAAAGCTTTTTAAGTTTTAATTTGTTTAATGTAAATTGCAAAGAACTGTTTAATAGGTAATATTTTGTCGTTTTATAAGTTATAAATCATAATAGAATAATGCCATGCCAACTAAGTAAAATTAGTAAAAAAAATAAAAATTGGCTATCTATAACTCAGTAATTTTTCGATAAAAACAACCTCATTAAGGATGTGATAACCTACAATTTTTATCTGAAATATTTTCTAAAATAAGATTAAAATGGACTTAGGGAGCATTTCTAAAATAAACGATTTTTTTTCGAAATATCTAGTAAGCCATGAACTTTTTCAAAAATCCGAAAGGCGCATACTTATGTCTTCACAAAACTGCAATTCTTTCCCCGTTTAACCCACTCTCTAGCTCCAGTAGTTTCCGAGATACCCATAGAAAACACTGTAGAAAACTCACCCTGTATACATTCCAAATAAAAATAAAAATATTTCTTGCCTTTATTGATTTAAAAAATAACGAAAAACTGAAAATAACAAAAAGTTATGTTTGTTCGCCGTTATGGGAGACCAAGAACGGCAAACAAACAAATACCTAATACAATATATCAACTGGCAACTTAGTTTAGTTATTCAGTTTTTCATTATTTGGGTAGTTAAATAAGTAAGTAGCTTGTAAATACATTTTACATCTACGCTTTTCTCAAGATACTCACTTATACTAAGGGCGTTATGGTGCATGGCGGGGGGCCTTACGGAGAAGTAGTCTTCGGGGGCGCAGTCTTCCTCTCTGGGGTCGCGCAGCTCGGCCAGACATCGCTGCGCGAGGTGTCGGAACACCGCACTGACATTCAAGTCTTCCTTTACAGAGGTTCGGACGAGGCGACAGCCCAGGGCTCTGGCCAAGAGCTCCGCTTCTTCCCTATATGTATATAAACAAAAAAGTTAATTATACAAATCGACGATAAAGCAATTAAAACATCGATACATACAGGGTGGCGCCTCTCATACGACGCGAAGGATCCAAGGAGAACGGTAGTTTATATCGAAATGAGATTTTTGGAGCATATGTAGGTAAATTAAAAGCATTTTATAAAAAAAAAACCTTTAGAGTTCTACATGGTGTCCCCAAAAAAGTTATACATCAAAGTTCTTTTTTTTGCAAGGGTGCACCCTATATATATATTAATTGATTTTCGATTCGATAATTGATTCGATTTTCTTCTTATGAGCACCAGCCAAGGTAAAAGTTAACTGTCAAATGAATTGTCATTTCAGAAATTTATCTATTTAGTGCTTTATTAGTATTAAAAACTCATTCCTACATCGGAAATCTTAAAGATGTATTTATAAATACAAATTAATATGAATTAAAGTAAAATAAATTAACCAATTACAAGGTTAATTATAGTATTATTAGAATATTCAATAGCTTATTAGTTTAGGTACTATTAAATTGTTAGAACTTTAGGATTTAACATTTTCAAATATTCCTCCATCGACTGCTAGACAATAACCCAGGCGATCATAAAATTATCTTCTTACATTCGCTAGTTGGTAAACTGAAATTCTATTGCATTCGGCAGAAATAGCATTTTTTAACTCGTCTAGATTTGGGTATTTTTTATCCTTGTATATCCTGTTTTTTAAATGGCCCCAGAGAAAGAAATCATTTGGCGAAATATCAGGAGACCTTGCTGGCCAATTTACTGTATGATTTAGGCCAATAACGTTTCCGTTAAAACTATTGTCTAAATATTCTCGAACAGCCAGGGTACTATGTGCCGGGCAGCCATCCATTTGATACCAAACTTCCTGATTTTCCGTAGCGACATCATGTAAAGCAGGTAAAATATGATTTTCGAGTAGTTCCAAATAATATTCTGCATTTAAATTTCGCGTAAGAAATAATGGCCCGATAATATTGTGTCCGAATATCCCTGCCCAAACATTTACATTCTGTGGATATTGCGTCCTTGTTTCGACAAACCTGTGTTGGTTTTCTTTGTTCCAATATCGATAATTTTGAACATTGGGTTCATTATTTAAGGTAAACGTGCATTCGTCAGTGAAACATATGTTTTTTTTAACTTCCTTATCCGTGTTTGCTCGTTCCATCATATCAAAACAAAACGCCTTGTGCTTTTCATATTTGAAGGAATAGTATTTACGTCGTTTCAAAATTCGAAACGTTGTAGTGTGATCTATTCCTATTTCATCCTCAAGTTTCCTTGTGCTGATCTTTTCATCGTTCTCTTCCACGCACAATAAAACTTCCAAGTCGGTATCATTTTTATTTTACTTTAATTCATATTAATTTGTATTTATAAATACATCTTTAAGATTTCCGATGTAGGGAAGCCAATAATTGAGCCCATTAAAATTTACATGGGATTTCCTATATCCCGCTCGACGATGCAACACCCGGTATGTCTAATGCAGCATATGTCTAAAATCACTTGATTTTGACATATTTCATATTTTGTGAAAAAATGAAGAATATATTTTAAATTTCAGTAACAGCTACCTAAATTGTAATTTACACTGTATAGCCGGATATTTAATTACAATAACTATTTGTATGTTAAACCAAATTTAAAATTGACCCGAAAATTTATACAAGGTGAGACAAAATTAATATTGAACATTGGTCACTTCTAAAAGCAAGTTAGTTTTAAATGGAACATCCAGTATATTATTTTGGTATTCAATGGAGAATTCATACACCTTCAAAATACTAATTAAGTTTGCCTTCCCTTCAAACAAAGATATCCCTAGATATTTTTATTTTTATGATTTTGCGTCAGTAGACCTTTATTATTTGATACAATCTAGGTGGCTGTGATACACCTTTTGTTAATTTAACAAAAATCAACGGATGTAAAATAAAATACTCAACGGTAATAAAAAGATACACGTTTAAAACATATTTTAATTATTACAGAATTATTACTAGATATAAAAGGATAATTGCGTGACACAAATTAGCTAGCTGGAATCAAATGCTCAAAATGCTTACTTTCTTGTTCACTGCGGAAAATTATTCTCTTTTCAAAATATCTTTTTATTTTAAAAGGCATATGTGGAGTTCTACCTCGAAAAGCAGCCACAATCATTTCTCTCATGTTGTAGACTATAGTTGGTCGAGTTTTGCAACACTGTCTTTAACATATTCCCATAAAAAGTCCAGACTAGTTAAATCAAGAGCATTTAAGTATTCTATTAATTAGTCCAATGTTCATTATTAATTTTGTCTCACCCTGTATAACCTTTTGGGACAAGTTTTAATTTGATTTAAAGCACAATAGTTATTTTAACTATATTTTAGGCTATAATGGGTAAATTCCAATTTAGCTTTTATTGAAATTTAAAAATCGTTCTTTATTTTTAGGAAATGTTGAATATGTCAAAGACCATACATTTTTTTGAGCCATTTACTTCTCTAATAAGATTTACCTTTATTTTTCTTCTAAATAATGTTCTAACCACATATGTAGCATGTACTAATCTACAACCATGTACTAACCTACATATCCTCACAAAATGTCATTTCAATACAAACTATCGTTCTCCTTGGAACCTTCGCGTCGTATGTGGGGCACCACTCTGTATACAGGGTGGTGGGAAAATGTACGGTCAAATTCCAGAGAGCAAAATATGCAAAAACATGGGAACAAAAATATGGAAAAATGCTCCTAAACATGAGTCTGAAACTATATACCCATTGTCTACCAGAAAAAGATGTCAAACATTTATTTTTTTTTTGTAATAATTATTTTAAATACTTTGTAGTCGATTTTCTTAAAATTTGTCAGTGTTAAGAGTAATAGTAAGATAATGTGATAAATATAAATAAAATATTCATATATTTTAAGTAGTGTCAATTTTAATAAACCCATTTTTACTGTGAAATAAAACCTTAATTTCTATTGTGGTACGGAAATATCATACAGAGTGATAAAATATTATTGAAATAGTTGGCAATACTGTGTTAGAGGATTTTATTCAGAATGGCCATCTATTTCGATTAGGAAATGCAATCCCGCAAATGCGGGATCCCTCTGAGATTCCGCGGGATCAAAGTTGCGGGATTTACAGTGCGGGATCTGCGGGATCGACACATTACTACTGGGTAACCGAATCGATCTCGATCAAGATCAAACCGCTTCGTTCCAGGCCGATGCGTCGACGCTCGGAACCCGGGGGATTCCCCTTAAGACTTGGCCATTAAAAATAAGTAAAACAAACAGGGCAGTTTTGTTAGATTTCTTTCTGGCGTATGTGCGTAAGTGAAGAAAAGCGTTTAACTAGTACTTGTGGACAATTTCGTCAAATAAACTGCCGGACTTAATTATCGGGACAAGCAAAATTTTAGGGTAAATTTAAAGTTGAATATCTCTTGAACTAAAAAAGATTTTGGGATGCGGTTTGGACCAGATTTTAGATGCATTTATTGTGATTAAGATGCTATGTGGTTTTGGAAAATATATTTAGCGAATTCTCGTATACAGGGTGTTTTATAAGAGTGTGAAAATTTGGTCAAGAGTCTTTTTACCGCAAATTTTAAATTTTTAAAAAATCTAAATTTTTACCAAGTACGATTAATCTGTATTAAAATTAGAAAAAACAATTTGATCGGTTTTTTATTTTTTTTTGTTTTAAGGAAAATATGACGTTTTTTCGAAAAATATGCATTTTTAGTCATACGTATGGTCCTAAATGGTACAAAAAGCTTGTACGTTCTGCATATACCAAAAAATTATTGATATAGAGTGTATCTAAAAGCAGATAACTAACACAAGTTAAAAAAAAATTCAACGTCAGAATATTTTTATTTATAAAATAAGTAGATAAATCATAATAAAATTTAAGTTTATTTAATATTAAATATATTTTTCGAACACCCTCTAGACATCGGTCCAAATTTTTGTACAGCTAGTTTTAGATACACGCTATATCAATATATTGTGGGCCTATGCAAAATGTACAATGTCTTTTGTACCATTTAGGACCAAATGTATGACTATAAATGCATATTTTTCGAAAAAACCTTGTATTTTCCTTAAAACCAAAAATATAAGAAAATCCACCAAACTGTTTTTTCTAATTTCAATACAGATTAGTCGTAGTACTAAGTTAAATTTCGATTTTTCAAAAATTGTAAATTTTCGGTAAAAAATATTCTTAACCAAATTTGTACACTATTATAAAACACCCTGTATACGAGAATTGGCTAAATACATTTTCGAAGACCACATAGCATCTTAATCACAATAGATGCGTCTAAAACCTGGCCTAAACCGCATCCAAAAATCTTTTTTAGTTCAAGAGATATTCAACTTTAAATTTACCCCAAAAATTTTGCTTGTCCCGATAATTATGTCCGGCAGTTTAGTTAAATAGATTACTGTATTACGTCGAATGTAAAGTTTAGTTTGGGATTATTGTTTATAGTCCCGCAATTTTGCGGATCCGCGGGATTGATTGCTTTAATCCCGCGGGTTTGCGGGATTGATATTTTGGTGCGGGATTGCATTCCCTATTTCGATCATTGTTGATCCCTCAGTATTACTGGCAACTTACGGATTTACTACGCTTTGATCTATCAAGTCGATTTTATTCTGTACGATAACAGTGGGTATCTCGCCGCATTCGTTTTCCACCTACAATAAAACATAAAGAATGAAAATTAAAAATGAATTTTGGTTTGTTCACAATTAATAATTTTTTTTTGTTTCTAATTAATTATTTAATTACCATGTTTAATTTGTCAATGATGACAGGTACCGTATGATCGAACGGCGTCCAGTTGGCTGGTAAATGACGACCGATGACATTTCCCATATAAATTTACATATAAAATGACAACAATCTTCATTTCATAGCCATCGCTGACGCCGTCTTTTTTTTCGATCATACGGTATTTTTAATATCAGTTTCAAATAGCTCGAGAACTATTAGATACTCGAGCGATTTTTACCTAGAGATGGAAATGTATATTTTTTTACTCATTAGTTTTATACAGGTGCGGACAAAAGGTTATTACTCTTCAAATCAGTTAAAAAATATGTAGGTGGTGCCCTCTACAAGAAGTACAAGAGTCATATTGACATCAAAATCAAATTTCTCATGTCAAAAAACTACCAGACACCAATTTTCATCCAAATATCGACGTTAGTTTAGAAATTATTTGGTTAAGTTTCACAAATACAATTTGAACCACCCTGTATATGTAGTCTTGATACCTAAAAATCCATGTGTAGGATGTCAAAAGTGACGTCAATTACTTCAAGAAAAGAATAGGCTGTGCTTGACTTGACGGACAGAACGCAGATTAAGAAAATAAGATTGACAGAATAAAGAAAACAATGATAATGTATTTACTTTTAATTTCCACGAATGGGCTGCCTCAAACGAATCTCTATCTGTCGTGGAAAAAGCCAGAACGCAAGCCTGCGCCCCCCTGTAGTAAGCTTTGGTAATGGCATCGAACTCTTCTTGTCCTGCAGTGTCCCATAGCATCAGTCTTACCTCTTCACCGTCTACTCTGCAATCGAAAATTACAAATATTATATTATAGATACAAATACAGAAATCACTTGATTTACGCGGTTTCGCTTGTAGGTACACGGCTTACTTTATGCGGTTTACTTATACCTGGTTTTATTAATTCCATATTATACAGGGTTGTTCGTTGTTCACCACATACGACACGGAGAATTGTAGCTAAACGATTAGATTTTTACAAATTGTTAGTTTTGGGTTCGTTGAAGGACTATTAACCTAACCTAACACCCTGTATATGATCTAGAGGTACTCCTGAAAATCGTGCTGCTTTCACTCCTGCATGACAAATAGAAAACACAAACGAGCCTAGACCTGAAATGTACGGAGGCTTGTTTCTGCAACCGCTGACGCAATTCGATTTTTCGCGGCTAAAGTGAATTTAATTTTAACTTTCTAAATAAACTGATCTGATTCAACTACATGGTCCATTTCCAGCACGTTCCTGACAATGAAAAATGGCCTACGTACCGATGTTTTACCTCAAAGAGAAATAGGTAAACGTAGAGGTGCCCTAACATACTTTGCGCCATCATTTCATCTCCTTCAAATCTTTTATAATGTTCAAGATACAATTATTATCATGCCAAACTAAAATTAATTATCTATTTGGAAATCTAATGCCTTATTACAGGGGGGTTGGAACCTTTAAAATATTTTTAAAGTCTTCCGCTAGTACGGCAGTGCCACCGCCAAGTCGAGCACAACCGTACGATCCTTTTCTCGAAGGTATTAGCGGCACTTTTGACCACCCTGTAACTTCGTTGTGGATTAAGCAAGAATATTAATTTTCACTACACATGAAGACATACAATAGGTATGTATTTTGGTAACTAGGTTACCAAAATATCTAGTAATTATACCTCATAGGTTATGAATTATCGCTTGTCAAATTTCTTTAATTTCGACATTGACTCACTGACCAGATCAGATCATCAAAATTCTAAAGTACTTCTAGATGTGTCACAAACTCCAAATTTATAATTTTAGGTAGCTTTAAGCTTATAACCAAAGGAAAAAATGAAAAATCTCGAAATATCCTTATGGATTAAAAGTTAGCTGTCTAGCCGCTATCTGTAACTGACTTTCCAGTCGAGAAAAAGATAGAAAACTAGAATTATTAATCGGAGCGGTTTCTTCTGATTTTATTTATATATCTATGTACCAACAATAATTCAAAGATTATGATTTTTTTCTAGTTAGACTCGAGGCTGCATGGGGGCGTAATTTTTTTTATTTTATTTTCGTTAATATTCTGATTGTAAAATATTAAATACATATCTTAAACAATAATTCAAGGATTTATCTTTTATACAGGGTTGTTCACCACATACGACACGGAGTATTGTAGCCCAACGATTAGATATTTACAAATTGTAAGTTTTGAGTTCGTTGAAGGAATATTAGAGCTACAATTTAAAAATATTTTACAAGATACAGAGTGTCCCAAATAAATAAAAAATATCAAAGTTGTATTTTTTCAAATGGAATACCCTGTATATTATTGCATTTTTAGTTTCTACGATTAAAATACAGGTAAATTTGATTAAGGTTTATTACACTTAAACCTTACCGTTTTTGAAATATTTTCAATTTTTAAAATTGCAATATAAATTTTAAGGCTTCATTTCCCCGAGGGTATCAAAGTTTTTAATACTAAATATTTACTGAAGTTTATTTATTGATCAGTTATTGTGTTGCATTAATAAAAATTATACTACCTTATACAGAGTGTCTAAAAATTTATTTTAAATAATTACTAGCTTTAAACGGCAATAACTTGTTTAATCTAAATGGAACATCCTGTATATTTTATGAGAATCAGATGCACAATTTAATTGTCTATCAAATTGTATTATGCCACTTTTTACCTATTCCTTCAAGTTTTCATAGAAAATGCATTTTCTTATAATTTAGACCTCATTTATCAATATACCCATGGAATATTGACATGTACAGTCTAGTAATATTATCGTTTGTAGTAAAACGATAATATTACTAGCCCATTTGTATGCAAAAAGAAAACTATTTAAATCTTTATAAAAGAGTATACCTTTAATTAAATATACCACCAGTATTTCCGTCCAAATACTAATTAATTACATACTTAATTGTGTTCGTTAATAAATTATTCTAAATAAATGTGGATTTGAATCAGAAATCAATATAATAATAAGTTATGAAAATGAACGTCTCTGTTGTTATAAATAAGCATTTGTCAAAAAATGAAATAACATTTTTAAGGTGTTAGTTTTTTTACCACACTGTCTAATACACACACACATAATTCAGTTTTTTAGTATTTGAAGCAATTATTATTAATCAACGCAAACAGTCAATTAATGTAGTTTGAATACTGGAATCATATTAATTGGTCCTCTTTAACAAATATTTAAACAGTTTTTTTATTTTTTAATGAAATAAACAAACTATATCGACAATATTAGTATCTGTACACTTTAAAAATTTGGTACATCTTTAAAAATAATTTAAAATGTCAGTATTCCATGGGTATATTCATAAATGAGTTCTAAATTACAAGAAAATGCATTTTCTACGGAAACTTGAAGAGATAAGTAAAAAATGGTATAATACAATTTGATAGTCAATTAAATTTTGCATCTGATTCTTATAAAATATACAGGGTGTTCCATTTAAATTAAACAAGTTATTGCCGTTTAAAGCTAATAATTATTTAAAATAAATATTTAGACACTCTGTATAAGGTAGTAAAATGTTTATTATTGCAACACAATAACTGATCAATAAATAAACTTCGGTAAATATTTAGTATTAAAAACTTTGATACCCTCGGAGATATGAAGCCTTAAAATTTATACTGCAATTTCACAAAATTGAAAATATTTCAAAAACGGTAAGGTTTAAGTGCAATAAACCTTAATTAAATTTACCTTTATTTTAATGGTAGAAACTAAAAATGTAATAATATACAGGGTATTCGATTTAAAAAAATACAACTTTGATATTTTTTATTTATTTGGGACACTCTGTATCATGTAAAAATATATTTAAATTGTAGCTCTAATAGTCCTTCAACGAACCCAAACCTTACAATTTGCATAAATCTAATCGTTTAGCTACAATATTCCGTGTCTATGTGGTGAACAACCCTGTATAGTTTTCGAGATAAAAAATAAAATATGTGTAAAATTGACAAAAAAATAATTTTGAATAAACATTAGTAAAATTCTGAATTAAACATCAACAAAAGATCTATGTAAATCTACGTATCTAATTTATGTAAATCTACGAAAAATATCTACGTAAAAATTTCAATGTTTTGCCAAAGAACACTAGATGAACTTTACGAAAAATAGGATATTTTATGTTTTTGAGCCATTATTTCGTGATAAAATATAAAAAATTGTAGACGTGATCATATACGATTTGAAGTTAATACGCTGATTTAATGAAATGAATGGAAAATAGAAAACCACGATGCGACACCTCTTAATATTAATATGAAGAACTCGCGCTTTTTGAGAACCCCTCTAGGTTTACTTATTTCTCTGAATTTTTACATGGAACAGCCGCCAGCTCTCGAACAGTGTTTGTCAGCGATACGTCAAATATACGTCGTAGAAGATCGTCAGGATCAAACGATTTCAAGTGTTTATGATGGATAATAAACAACAGTTTAACAGTAACGAAAAATAATGAAATGTATACTATTTAACATATGTAAATTTTATTTTACTGTAGAAGACATTGCTGAAGATTAATTAGGATTTCTAAACAGTAAAACAGTATCACAGCTCACAACAGAGTTAAATAAGCCACTGATATCTTTAGTTTAGAAGTTAGTAAAAACAATACGTTAACCAGGAAGTAACAAACGAAGATGGAACAATCTGATAAGCAACATATAAACAACATATATGAATGAAGCAACATATGAACAGCATATATGAATGAAGCAACATATGAACAACACATATGAATGAAGCAACATATGAACAACACATATGAATGAAGCAACATATGAACAACATATGAATGAAGCAACATATGAACAGCATATATGAATGAAGCAACATATGAACAACATTTATGAATGAAGCAACATATGAACAACATATATGAATGAGGCAACATATGAACAACACATATGAATGAAGCAACATATATTTCATATCAATTAAACTTTTAGTTACGTAATCGAGGGCGCGATTTTTAAATTCATTGTTGCCAACCATGGACATATTCGGCGCCGGGCTGACTAACTGGATTTTAAATTTCGCGCTGCGGATTCAGGTGGTAACTTTGCTGTAAAAATGTTAAGTTGTCGCATTTATTTATTTATTTCCTGACATTCTCATTCGATTTGGCATTTTAGATTTTTTGTTTAAATAAATAGTGTTGTGATATTTATTTTTTAATTTCAAATCGGTGAGTTTTATCAAAAAAACACAAGAGATAAAAAAGTTTCTAAACAAACTAAACTATCCAAATTAATTTGTTTTCATGTGTTTGATTAGCTTTTTTTTAAATTTCGTTAACAAGAATGATAGGGGTAGTTTATTTCAAAACCTTCCACTCATTTTAAAAAAGTAAGAAAATTGCCAGAAAGTATGTTTTCATAACAGTATTGCTCCCGTACAATTTCATTAGTCTATCGTTTTTCGTTTTCAAGATAAAAAATAAAAACATTATTTTTCCGGCATCTTTGTACCGCGATATCTCCCTAATGGTTGACTTTTGACCCAACGTTTATAAAGCAAACTACCCTTTATTTTGAACAAGGAATCACCCCCTAAAGTTTTTCGCATTTGTTTTGAAACACCCTGTATAAAAGTGAGTATGAACTGTATATAATGAAGCAACATAAAATAATATGATATAATAAAGGTACATTTTGCCTTTTATAAATTTATAAAAATACATAGAACTTCTTACTACTAATTTTTATAAAAATAAATCATTTCAGGTGTATTTTATTATACCTATATTAGTATGATTTTGTCTTATTTCTTTAGGTTAAAAAGCTACACTTACTCTATTTGTCGCTCTAAGAAGTCCACGCCAATAGTTTTCTTATAGTCCCTAGTAAAAGTGCCTTTGCAGTACCTTTGGATCATGCTTGACTTGCCCACGCCTCCATTTCCCACAATGACCACCTTAAAAAATCAAATTATAATTTTTTTAACTAAATTTCTTTGAGTAATAAACATTATTTCGGACTTGTAATATGTTTTTATAAAATTTTCAAATGTGAAAACATTATCTTGAATTGATTAAATTCAATTACGGACATATACGATAATTCAAAGTTTATGAATAATTAATAATTACCTATTATTTCACTGAAATCTCTATTTTGAAAAAAAATGTCGGTTACAACGTCTTTCGGGGAAGCCATTCAATAATTACAGTGTTCGCCATAAAGTTGGATCCATATGGATGGTTTTTTTTGGTATTAGAGTTTAAAAAAACTTTTTGTGGCTATCAATTCTTCTTTAAAAACAACTTAAAATGCACCAAGTCTAAGTTGAAACATAATTTTGTTAGTCACTTTTTTTAAAATAATTTTTAGAAATTTCTTTTAAATATTTTGTATTTGACAGCTCCCAGATGTTAGCTGTCAACTTTAGCTTGGTGCATTTTAAGTTGTTTTCAAAGCAGAAGTGATTGCCACAAAAAGATTTTTTAAAACTCTAATATAAAAAAAACGTCCATATGGATCCAACTTTATGGTGGACACTATATATAATGTTTATAATATTTAATTTAAATTTAATTATATTTTCACTGGAATGCAAAATAATGTGTTTATCGAAAACTGGTGGTATCTCTTTTTACTTAATGCGTTTTAGCCCAAACTAAAACGAAAATATTATAGGTATTAGTGTATAAATAATAACAAAAAAAAATGTTGACAAAATGGTGAATGCGCCAAAAAAAATTTCGCCTGTGGCGCAATTTAAAAGAAACAAGCTCTTCACCTAATTTTTTACCCACAAGCCGCCACTGATCATTATTGCTAGTCAAACTTCGTTAATATTATTTTGAATGATAAATTACCTACCCGAGAAAAAAATAGGAAGATAATTTACAAAAAGAAATGAGATTCCATCAAAAAGATAGAATTTAAAAAATGCCCTCGCAATTGTACAATATGATATTGTATTCTAATTAAAAAAAAAAATTATTCTTAAGGGCACTGTTTAGATTTACTTGGTAATCGAGATGGTATATTATTCTTTGATGATGCTATGATGATGCGGTGCAATTGCCAAGTCATTATAATTATTACAGAAATAAATATTACTAATAACGATACTGACAATTTGTAACAAAATTGTTGAATAGGTGCTTAAAGAGAGACTAAATAAAATAAACCGACTTTTGGTTTTACTCGTACATGAGATCTCAACTTTTTATATTGGAAGAATTGTGTTGCGAGACTTGGCATTTTTTACATTCTATGTTTTTGATGGGATACGTTTTTTTTGCTTACCTTAAGAGCTACTTCTAAATCCTCTTCGCGCATGTCAATAGCGGTGCCCTAAAAGGGCACCAGAACTCATGGCCCGGCCTCTGCTACTACCCATGTACTGCCCATCGGGACCCTGCAACAGATGAAAACAACTATCAAATGATGAACATATAGATTGGGGTGCAGATAAGGGAAATTAAAATAACTTTGGTTGCACATCATAATACGACTACCAGCAAACTCGATAAGACGACGCCGACGTATGGTGTCATTGATGACGTGCAACGAAAGTTGTTTTAATTTCTTATAAAAGACTAGCGTGTACCAGCGACTTCGTTCGCGTCGAATTAATCATTTGTAATGGTGATGATAAAGCAAAGCAAGAATTTCCATTAACATACAAACTGGATAAAATTTTCTCACATTTATGTCAGCATGAGAAAAAACAATATGGCGATATTATTATATAACTTGGTAATATTTGAGGGGTAGTTTCATCTCGTTGGAATTTGACTTTCGAAAAAACCGTTTGTCAAAAATTTAAGCACTTTAAGCAGAGTCGTGGTTAAGAAATTACCCAACTTTTTGGAACACCCTGTATGATTTTTTAAAAAATTTCAAAATATGTAAAAAAATCAAATAAATTATGCTTGTCTCTTGGGTGGTGTGGAAACAAGTACACATTTTCAATAATTAAAATTAATTATTCATAAATTAATGAGCGAATTAATGATACGCCACTGTTTCATGACAAAATTGAAGAAACTAAACCAAAACTACTTCCCCTAGGAGATGGAATCCCCTAGCACTTGGCTTGGTCTAAGAAGCATCTCACTCATCGTCTTGTCCCTGACTGTCGTGTCGTGGCCAGGGAATTGCACCAAGACATATAACGATACCGGGCGGGGCTACGGACAGCCTCAACCTTGGGGCACCTGGGGGCACCCCATTGTATTTTACCCTTTACTCCTAAATGCGGGGCTCTGTAGAAGTGGACCGACTGTCCCTAGCGACTCATGGGAACACTATGAGATCTGGTAATAATAGTAATAAAAACATCACCGGTGAAGCTGTGGGGAAACCCCCTAGCAACAATGGGAACAGTAACAATGAAAGTTCCAAGGGGCCAAACCCAAAGAGAACTACAGGAGAGGTGGCTGACACTTGCGTGAGACCATCCTCCGCAAGTGGCATACAAGTTACCACCTCCTCCAAGGGTCGGGAGCCTACCTCCTACCTCTAAACCCAACAGGCGACACAAGCTACCGTTTCGTCTACCCGGCCTGGGTCGTAGCTCCTCGACTGTGAAGGACACGGGTCTCCGTAGGAAGTCCTGGGACTGTATGATGAGTTATAACTCAAGAAAGGGCGACACAATAGATCTCTAAGGTCGCAGAGATTAACCCCCCCTCCCACTTATTCTAAATTCTAATTCTAAACCAAAACTAGTTTTAGTGAACCCTAATCGACATTTGATTTCGGAAAATTGACTATACGTAATATATCACATTTTACGCAAAATTCTAAAATTTCCAGGGATTTTGTGCCTAAACGGTTGACTTTAGCGAAAATTTTCATAGAACCTTTTTTATAGAAAATTTTATTCTCTTTAATTTTGCTCTCCCCAAATTTTTGCGAAAAACGCATAGTTTTCGAGATATTTACATAATACCGATTTTGGGCGCCATCTTGGCAAGAAAACCTATAAACCTGCAAAGTTGCAAAACTTCCGGACTTTTTTCCAAGGAAAAATCCCCAATGACTGAACTACTTGATACAATGTCATTTTAACAGAACGTCAACGGTTTCTTGTAGACGTATCTGTTTTAAAAAAGTAAAGTGTTCTCGAATAGTTGAATTTAAATATTTTAAATAGTTTTTTTCTTTATTCTTTGTATTTTTTTGCTTCCCACGACGGAAAGAGATAAACTTTCGGAAACGTTAAGCATTTTTTTCTTTGTTAGGCAAATTTGTATAACTGTAAACATAACTTCTGACAAGCAGTTTCCGTTTAGGTTTAACGCAGAAGTGTTTATAAAAAATAACTATTTTATTTTGTAGATTTTCTTGCCGTGCAGTGGCGAAATACCCATAAAGGATTTTTTTGGAGATATTTAATAATCTCTTTAGTTTATGTAAAGTGATCAGAAAGGAAGCCAAAAATGTAATATAATACAACGTGTTCCATCTAAATAAAATCATCCCGGTCCATTCACACTTTGTTGAGCAACCGTTTCAGGAAATTATTTTAACAATAAGTTAAAACCATTTCCTGAAATATATCCTAATACATACTTTTGGTTTGTACTTCAAATCAGTCGCTTTTGAATTTCAGCATTATACAAATAGTGTAAACATTGCGAAATTATTAATGATTTTGAAAAAAAAATGTCCAAGAATCTGGAACTGTCTGTATAACAAATCTGATTTTTTGCTTGACATTTCTGGGCCAGTTATCATTATCACAAACGTGAATGTTTGAAATTTGTTGCCAAAATAAATTTGTTAACTGTCCATTCCACAACCTAGTTTACTATGTTTTATTATTTCTATACAAAAATACTCTCCGCATATTTTACATACCCAAAATGATTGTGATTTTGAAGATTTTCCACTGTATGTAGATATATAGGTATATATATATATATATATATATATATATATATATATATATATATATATATATATATATATATATATATATATATATATATATATATATATATATATATATATACCTACAATATAAAATTAAAGTAATAACTAGTTACTGTGATTACGGTTCGAGTTCAAAATGTTATATTGTTATTAATGTTTTTTTGTGTACCTATAGAAACGTTAAACTAAATATTTGTATAGGTATATAACTTTAATTAATATAATAGTTTTCTAATTAAATTATATTAGGGAAATTACAATGACAACTAGCGGCATCGTTGCGGATTCATCTTTACTACGAAATCGTAGAAATCTGTAGGAATTACGCTGACATTTGACGTTTTCATTTGTTTTCACTCAACTTATATTTGACAGCGTGCGGTTGTGAGTTTTCTGCATAGATAAATGAAACAAGTTTAGATTGGAAAGTGCCCATAAGGACAATGTAAACACTATTTGGCGCTATTCTTGCAACGGTCGCGACCCAAAACTTTTGAAAATTTCGGAGCGGTTCGGCTTTTTCCGGAATTATATCGCCAAATATTGTTTATTCAAATCTATTATTATTTTCGTTATATATTATAAATAAAATACAGTGTGTTGCATACAAGAAACTTTATTTTATATAAGGACGCATGTATGAAATACCTATGAAACATTGGAAACCGACGTTATGCCACGATCCACGATGGTTTTTGCAGTTCACAGTTCACAGCACAGGTTTTTAAGTTTTTAATGCCACTTTTTCACAATTATCACCGGTTGGAGTAAATAAAACTTGAATTAAACTCACAAAGTAGCAATAATTACTTTGAAAATGGACGCTATAAACACTTTTCGGAATTTCTTTAATGAGAGCGGTTTAGATTTTGAAGATTTTTATGATTTTTGAAGATTCTGACTTTGACAAAAGAAAATTATTTCTGTTTTTGTTTGCCGTTGTTCTTAGCGACCGCTATAGCAGCGCCAGATCGCGTATAACGGTCGCGACCCAAAATAATTTCGCGACCTAAATTTTTTACGGGCTTTCCAATCTAAACTTGTTGCATTTATCTATGGTTTTCTGCGGTAGTTGAAAGTTTTTGTAGCTTTTAAACAACTTTCTAACAATTATAAGTGTTTATTGCAAAGAAAACTATTTAAAGTAGTTTTTAACTATCTACGATGGTTTGCTAGTGCACAGTTTGTAAAAGGGTGGACTATTCTAACTCGGAATTGATATTTCGACGGTAAGTATCATTACGTTTTTTTAGCTTTAGCCATGCTTACAGTAGCGTGTTTAGATACTTTTAGTTATAAGTAGATTTTTACAAAAATACGTATATTTTCTTATTTGTTGGCGCTTTCGATTGTGAAATTAGAGTTACCCTCAGTTAGGCCTCAGGCAAAACTAGTTACCTATAATGGAAAATTGGTCTGAGGCAATCCCAATCAATTTTTGATAATAAAAACATGACGCCACCGATAGATGATAGAGCCAAATCTCCATCAGTACCCATCTCTTTTTAACTTCATAAAAGTGTCAAACCATGTATGATTCTAAAAAATTGAGTTTTATGAATGGAGTGTTCTCTCTACCCATTTAGATGTCTTTGGATTAAACCAATTATCTAGGCGTTTCATTAAACAGGAAATAGCAAAATACACAATTAGAATTATTAATAAACCATCGCAAATTTGATTTAGGTATTCGGTTGCAATTTATAACAGCGCAGCACGCCAAGAGTATCCCGCGATTTCTGTTAAATCCAAGTGGTAATTATTTTGAGTTATGTTTACAGCGTAAAATTAATATCTGGAGCCTTACCGTAGCCATACTTATTTCATAGATAACGTCCGTTTTTCGTGACAGTTAAAAATAACTGCAGTGCGATATTATTTATGAGTATTTGCGTTTTACAGTTGAATGCTAAAAAATTCTTGTAGCAAATGAAATGCCGTAAACTGGGGTATCTTTGTGATTGCAGCATAACTTTGGTACATTCCTCATCTTTTCATAGGTTAAAAACTTTATTTCTTCTCGCACGTTTTTTAATTGCTTCCATTTTTGAAAATTTTTGTATTCCTTTTCATAAGTTATTCGGGATTTAAATGGAAGTAGTTTGGATATGGCGTTTGTCGCCTCAGCCTGAATATCTGTTGGTAATTTACTTATTTCGTTTTGAGCCATTTCTGGCTCCAATTCAATCAGCAATTTTTCTACTATAAAAAATTTAAAAAATAAGAGAGCAGTGGGAGATGACGAAGTTCCTATTTTTGTCCTAAAAGAAGTAGCAAATAGTATCTCAGAGCCATTAGCGTATATTATAAATCTATGTTTTATGACAGGGACATTTCCAAATAGCCTAAAAAATGCATATATTCGGGCAATATTTAAGAAAGGTGCAAAAGATGATGAGAGAAATTATAGGCCGATATCTTTATTACCAAACATCAGTAAAATTTTTGAGCAGGTCTTACATAAACGTTTGATAGATTTTGTTGAGAAATACGAAATTATATCGGATAAACAAAACGGTTTCATGAAAGGAAGATCAACAATACGAGCTTTATACCAAGCATTATCTTTTGTAATAGAGTCCTTAAATAATGGAAAACAAACTTTAATAATGTGTTTAGACCTTTCTAAGGCATTCGATAGTGTCGATCACAAATTTTTATTAATGAAATTGGAGCGATTTGGAATTAGGGGAACTGCATTAAAATTATTCGAATCATATCTAAGCAATAGAACTCAGCAAATCGTAGAATATGATGATTATGGCAAAAGAGTTATCTCAAATAAATTAGTGCTAAAAAAAGGAGTCCCTCAAGGTTCAGTGCTGGGTCCACTGCTATATATTTTGTATACAAACGATATTCCGAATGTCACTGGCGAAAAGACAATCTTATATGCAGATGACACCACTCTGCTATTTAGCGATGATTTAATAAATCCACTAACAGAAAGAGTGACATCTGCTGTCGACACTCTGGTGAATTATTTCAATAATAATGGCTTGACATTAAATATTTCAAAGACACAATGCCTTCTTTTTGGTAATCGGAAGCTTTCAGATTTTGAGCTAATGTATAATAATATTAAAATTAATTCAGTTAAAAGTATAAGGTTTCTGGGAGTGGGAATTGATGAACGACTGGACTGGAGAGGACATATTGAAACCGTGGCGGTTAAAATTGCACAATTTTCTTTAGCGCTGAGGATAATATCAGACGCTGTTGGGGTAGATGCTGCACTTTCAGCGCACTATGCATTTATCTACTCAAGGATAAAGTATGGCATAATATTTTGGGGAAACTCGAGCGATATCGGGAGAATTTTGCTTTTGCAAAAGAAATGCGTACGTTCAATATTTAGAATGAAACCCACGGAGAGCTGTAAAAATTATTTTATTGAACAAAAAATACTAACAATAACAAGTATATATGTTGTAGAGTGCATAATGTTTGTTTATGATAACTGGCAATTTTTCAAAAATTTGAAACTAACTCACAATTACCCTACGCGAAATAAGTCCTATTTAGTCGGAGATAAATATAATTTTAGCTACCTACAAAAAAATGTTGATTTCTCATTAATAAAAATGTACAATTTCCTTCCCGAATGTGTTCGAGGTTTGGCAAGAAACAAGTTAAAAGCCACATTAAAAATCTTTCTAGCAAAGAAAGCCTTTTATTCATTGGAAGAATTTTACAGATCCGATAAAGCTGTGTATATAAGTCTGATATCTAATGTGTAATATTTGTTGTTTGTATATATTAATAATATTTGTTGTTTGTATATATTAATTCTATCGTTTTTTTATTTCTTCTATGTATTTGCTTATTTTACTTAGTTAGGATCTTAGTTTAATTGTAGTATTATCTTAACTGTAATTATATTATTTTGGTGTGAAATATTCTTATTTGACAATGTTTCCATGCCTGTTTGGGCTATTTTATGTGTTTAAAATAAAAATATTGACTCAAAACTGACAACTGAAGAGACAGCTTTATTTATTTGTCAAATTACATAGAAAGCAATGCCAATTCAGCACAATATTTTTTTTACTCGTAATAAATTCCTTGAAACAATAATTTCTGAATATTTTTTAAAACGTAACTCGCTATTATGGAAAAAAATATTGTTTTATACACGACGATAAAATTGCATTATCGTCTCCCGAAATTAAGAACCTAACCTAAACGAGACAAGTCGAAACAAGACGAGACAAGACGAGGTAGCGGATAGACAGTTAACTTTTGATCCAAAAGGATATTTCGTGATTTTTAATTTTTTCCTTCCATTATAAGTTTAAAGCTATCTAAAATTCGAAATTTGAAGTTTGTGACACATCTAGAAGTACCTTAAAATTTTGATGATCTGTCGGTGAATCAATGTCGAAATTAAAAAAATATTTTGACAAGCGATAATTCATAAACTATGAGGTATAATAATTACTAGATATTTTGGTAACCTAGTTACCAAAATACATAAAAATTAATATTCTGGCTTTATCCACAACGAAGTTACAGGGTGGTCAAAAGTGCCTCTAAGACCTCCGAGAAAAGGATGGTACGGCTATGCTCGACATGGCAGATCTATTTGCTATCTGTATTTTTTAGTTCTTTAGTAAAAAATGTTGTCTTCTTTTTCAGTTTATTTTTAAGAAACATACATCCTCTGCCCTAATATTATAAAAATATATTTACTCAAATTTTTTTAGCTTCATTTATAGTATACTAAGGGCTGGCAAAGGTTAGTCTTGGGTCGAGATTTCCGTATGTAAGAAGAGTACAATGCGTTTATAATGTACTGAACAAAGAGAGGACAGTAAACACGTTGCCAAACGTATGAAATAAACCGAGAAACTTCGCTAAGAGACGTGGAAGGGGATAAGCAGATTTGTCGCAGTTGACCGGTCGACCCAATCAATACCTCTGTCAGTACTTAAAGTTCTAGGGAGAGGTGTACGTCATGCGTTCAGCTTCACGATTTAATTACGTCTCGTGATACTTAATTTGTTTATTTATTAACGAGTCGTTGTAATTTTCCCTATAGCTTGAATTTTTTTAAGTGCAAGCTAGAAACACTTGCATTTTTGGTAAAAATAAGTGGAATTGAGTGGGTGTTCGATAGTGGTCGCGCTATTAGAACTCTGAATTCAAAAATCGATATCTAGAAATCTATTAGAAATAATAGATTGTAGTTTTTTTCAAGAACTTTGTTAATATTTCTGCTGTATTTTCTTTGTAGACAGTATGTGAAAATCTTTATCAATAAAAAAATTACACGATTGCTGAAATGCTATGCTCTAAAAGTAAATAGATGGATTGTTTACAATTTTTGAATGGAAAAAACAACCTTATCGAATTTTTCTTATGTAAACATATTGTAAAATATCCGATCTTGAAAATAAAAAAAAAAGTTTCAATATCTAAAGTGGTTCTTGAGTTATGGCCTGTTATGTGTAAAAAAGTTGACTTTTTAAATTTTCGCGATTACTGACGTTTTCTCGTTAAAAAAAAATGACACCCTAACGATATCCTTATATTTCCATTTCAGATGCTCAGAAACATGTCTAATGTTTTTATCTAGTTATCTCTTGAAAAAAAAGTCTTTTAAAAATAAGCGGTTTGCGATCGTGATTTTACTTTACTTGATAGGGAAAGGCGTATCGGCAACGCCGCAACAGTACACCGTCGATTTACTTCCACACATGTAAATGCCGACCCAAAAGTAACTGTTGCCAGCACGGTATAGCTGTGCTTCTTTATAGTTTATAGCAAGAAATAACTCGAAAGTAATTGAACTTGAAAATTCTTAAAATCTCCCCTTCACTACAGTTTCACCCAAGTTATAATTAACATAGCCAACGCTTATTCAAACATAATCAACCTTTTAATAAAAATCAACCACAATCTCTACGCGTTCTACAAAAAAAAATCTACACTACAAATTGCAAATTCCGAAATGAGTTTCTTTTCATATGGTGTTCGAGGAAAAAATCGAGAACATCGGGAAAAAAGAAATCCATAGCACACTATCGATTTCAACCTCTTAATAAGAAGATCGCAGAAAGAGGAACGAAGAAAAAGAAGAACGCGGAGCTGAATATTAATTATTGTGGTTCGTACAGATGCACAGATGAAGATAAAAGTCTTCGCATGGAACGAACAGCTGTTAATTAGGGGAAGGAACGGTTTGCACGAGGTAGCAGTTGTTTTTTCTATGGCCGTCTATGCTAGT